GAGATTGACATTGAGGAAGACCCTGAGATTGCTGCTAACTCGTGTTCTCTCCTGTTGACTTCCGTTGACTGGCGTTGACTTGCGTTGACTTGCAGGTGGTGGAGGAGTTTGACTGGCAAATTCACTGGGTGGAGATTGACATCGAGGAGGACCCTGAGATTGCCGAGGCGGCTGGGATCATGGGCACGCCTGTGGTTCATTTCTTCAAGAACAAGGAGAAGATCAAGTGAGTGCCAGTATTGTCTGCTCTGGTGTTCCTCGTCTCCTCACACACCCCCTTGCTCCTCAAACTCACACACTCCCTCTGCTACAACCCACTCTCCCTTGCCCTCTCCCTATTACCTGCTTGCCTGCCCCTCCCTCCCCACTCCATTAAGATCAAGGGAGATATAGAGTGTACCTGGAATGTATTGAGGAGCATAATAGGGCCTCACTGGAGAATATGCACGTCTCTCACGATCTCCCCTTTCCCTCTTGCCTTCTCCATCTTACCTGCTTGCCTGTTGATGCCTCCCACTTTCAGTGAGATCAAGGGTGTGAAGATGAAGAGAGTGTACCGGGAATTCATCGAGGCGAATAAGTAAAGCGTTTCTGCAAGCCTGCAATGAAAAATGTCAACCAGCAAGTGCACATATGTACATGTGCAGGATCAGGGAGGAAATCTGTAGTGAGAAGAATTACCTAGAGCACATAGGCTGGAGAAAGAGCAGTGTCCGGCAACACATTCCAGTCCATCCCAACCCCTCCGAATCCATTCCGACCGCCATAAGCATCCCAGCCCATTCCAGCCAAACCTTTCTCAATCTTTTCACGAGCTCAGCCAATGCCATCCCAGCACCGCCTGCCTGAGTGGACGTTTCAGCAGGGTGTAACACCGCAGTAAGTCGTACTGCTTTAGCATCAAAATGTCTAGCAACTTGTGTGATGTAACTAATCTTCTTGTTGAGTGTTTGAACGTATACAGTGTGATACAATATGGTGATGGTTCACTGCAGAAACCGACACATTGTGCAGAACTGTTAGTGTGTACTAAGGCCGGATTCCTCACTTCGTGTCATCCGCACATTGTGTCATCCGAGTTTTTTTTCTCCCGCGCAAAGGGTTTCCCGATTCGACTTCGGGTCATCCGACGCGTCGAATTTGAGTGGTCCCAAATGTTCGGATGACACAAGGCCGGATGACACGAGGACAGGAATCCGCCCTAACTTATGGTACCTCTGATCATCCAGCACGAATCTGAATCCATGACAAAGAATGAATATAATGCATCTAGTACAAACATACTGCCACCCACACCATTCCAACCTACGGTATGCCTACCTGCCTTGCTCTAATATAAATGCCAAAAACACTCAACACCACAACACCATCATCATCACCAGCAATCCTCGTTTAGGAGCATTCAGTGTGCCTTACACCCATTACACCCACTGATTTTGATAAATCAGTGTCCCTTGGGAGCTGCTCCTCGTGCCACATCAGCATCATCATCATTGTCAGGAATCCTCTGACCAATCACCTGTGCCCGGCTGACATCAGCAACGCCAGATAGGATTTCATCCACAAAGGATGATCCTGCCCTTGCTGCTCGTGACTGCTGCTGCTGCTGCTGCTGCTGCTGCTGCTGCTGCTGCTGCTGCTGCTGCTGCTGCTGCTGGTGCTGCAGGGAGGAGCGATGATACTGTTCTCTGCTATTGCTGGCCCCTGTTCTTCCTCCCAAGCCTCCTGCTCCTGCCATCCCAGGCCTGATGTTGACGCTCGGGGGACGTACTGCCCGAACCAACGGCACAGGTACGGCCGGCACATGCTTTCTGTCTGCACTTCTACCCCCCCAGTCCAAACCACTACTTCTTTCAATTCCACTTGATCCTCCCGCACCCCCTCCCCCTCTCGTTCCCCCACCCACGCCCCCCCAATCAAGCCCTGAGTCCCCAGGAGGGCCGGCCCGGTGGGCCCGTTTGGACTGTAGCAGGCCTCCAGCTGGCATCTCTGCTGCTGCTGCTTCCCTCTGCCGCTTGCGACTCTCTGCTGCTGACAGTGGTGGTGGTGGTGCTGCTGCTGCTGGCGTTCTTGTTGCTGCATCACCAGCAGCACCAGCAGCAGCACCAGAAACAGTGGCTTTGCTTTTCTCCACCAGATTAGCCCACTTGGAAGGAGCATCACGGGGCAAAGAGTCTCGATGCTGTTGCTGTTGGTGCCCCTGCTGCTGCTGCTTGTGGTGGTGCTGGTTGTGCTGCTGTTGCTGCTCTCTCCCCCTGTCCCTTGAGCCCGACCTACTCCGATCGCCCATTCTCTCTTTCTCCCTATCCCGTTCCTTCTCCCTCATCCTCTCCCTTTCCTTCTCCCTTACTCTCTCATGCTCTCTCGCCTTATCCCTTTCTCCTTCCCTCACCCCCTCCCCTCCTCTCCCCTCTCTCATCCTAATTTCCCTTCTCCATCTTTCAGCCTCCCTCTTCACCCCACTTAATCCGTTTCTCCTATCCCCTTCCCTCTTCACACACCACATGAAGAACCCCTTCTCACCGTTCTGAACCCACACGTTCGTCCTAAGCTGCTTCACCACCTCTGGAATGTCAAACACAGGTCTATCCCTTTTCTCCGGTACCCTGCCAGGTTCCCTCTCCCTGCTCCCTCTTCTCTCCATCTCTCTTTCTCTTCCTCTGTCCCTTTCTCTGTCCCTTTCCCTGTCTCTTGCTCTGTCCCTATCTGTATCTCTGTTTCTTTCCCTGTCCCTATCCCTGTCCCTATCCCTGTCTCTTTCCTGGTCCCTGTCCCGGCTCCTTCCCCTGTCCATACTCCGTCCCCTCTCCTTGTCTAATTCTCTGTCCCTATCCCTCCGTCCCCTCTCCTGGTCTAAATTTCTTGCCCCATATCCCGCTGCTTCCCTCATTACTGCCCCGTCCCAATCCCCTCTCTCCCTCTCCCTTTTCCCCAATTCATCTACCTTCTGAACCTCCTCAGTCAGCCTCGCCCCATGCTCCCTCCCCTCAGGCTCTCTCATCTCTTCTTCTCCTTTCCTTAACACTGCTCCATCATCTCTCACCCTCGGCCCTGCTCCTGTTTCAGGCACCCTTGTCTCACAAGTCTCTGACAACTCCTCTCTGCTTGCGTATGTGTGCTTCGGGTCTGCTGCTGAATGGATGTGTGCCTTTTCTGCTGTTTGTACTGGCAAACTCGCTTCTACCTCTACCCTAGATTTCGCCTCAGCTGCTGCTGTCGCCTCTGCTGCTGCTTTCGCCGCTGCTGCTGCTTTCACCTCAGCTGCTGCTGTCGCCTCCGCTGTTTCTGCCCCTGTTGCTGTTGCATCCCCTGGTACCCTTGCCTCCTTCGGCCTCTCCTCTCTTGCTTTTTCATCCCTCAATTTCTCCTCCCTCAATTTCTCCTCCCTCCCTCTCTCCTCCTTCCTTCTCTCCTCTCTTGCTTTCTCCTCCCTCGCTTTCTCCTCCCTCCCTCTCTCATCCTTCCTTCTTTCCTCTCTTGATTTCTCCTCTCTCACTCTCTCCTCCCTCCCTCTCTCCTCATTCCTTCTCTCCTCTCTTGCTTTCTCCTCCCTCACTCTCTCCTCTCTTGCATTCTCCTCCCTCACTCTCTCCTCTCTAACACTCTCCTCCCTCAATCTCTCCTCCCTTTCAGCTCCCCCACTTCTCCCCTCCCCTCCTTGTCTCCTCTGCCCTTCCTCCTCACCCCTCCTCCCTCCCTCCTCTCCCCCACCCCTCTCCCTCTCAGGCAAAAACCTCAAATCAGCCCTCTCTCCCCTCACCAACCCCTCCCTGTAAGGCCTTCTCACCCTAAAAACCACCCCTCTTTCCTTAGCATCACACAGCAGGGCACACCAAGGCTTGCTCTGAGCCAAAGTGGCCGCATTACCCACAATCCACAGCGCCTTTCTCGCTCTAGTCAGCGCCACGTTCATCCGCCGTTCATCTGCCACGAATCCAACGGTCCTCCTCTCTTCCCTCGACGGCCGATCGCCGAAGGTTGATTTACCGATGAGAGAGGAGGAAGGGAACGAGGAGGAGGGATGGGAAGAGGAGGAATGGAAAGAGGAGGAGAGGAAGGAGGAAGGAGATGCTCGGACAGTGGAGAAGACTAGAATGTCCACCTCCCTGCCCTGAAAGCCGTCCACTGTGTTGAACTCAATGTCTGCTGCACCCCCGCGCCCCAGTGTTCGGCTAAAAGTGTCTCTTAGAAGAAAGAGCTGCTGCTTGTAGGGTGTGATGACACCCACCCTGCCTGGTGCGCATTCCTCGGGGAAGCTGATACAAGTGAGACACACACACACAAGCACACACATTAGAGAACAGGGAAGGGAGAGGAGGAGAAATGTGTCTCTTAGAAGGAACAGCTGTTGCTTGTAGGGTGTGATGACACCCACTCTGCCTGGTGCGCATTCCTCTGGAACCCTGGTACAAGGGTCATACACACCACACACACATGCATAAGGCACAAGGAGAGTAGAGGGCGTGAGACACTCAGAAAGAAGAGTTGTAGGGTGTGATGACACCCACTCTGCCCGGTGCGCATTCCTCGGGAAACCTCGTAGAAGGGCAATGCATTTATACAGTACAGTAGAGGGTGGGGAGAGGAGAAGACAGGTCACTTAGAAGGAAGAGCTGCTGCTTGTAGGGCGTCGTCACACCCACTCTGCGTCGTCACACCCACTCTGCGTCGTCACACCCACTCTGCGTGGTGCACAATCCGCTGGGAAGCTGAGAAAGAAACACACATGCAAATAGGGACGGGACGGGAGGGGAGTTGAAAAGAGTCACGAGCATGCAGTGAAGGAATGGGCGCCTGCGGGAACCTGCAACTCTCGTCCTCTCCTCTCCACCCACCTTCCACGTCACATACACAGGGTTTTGAGGCGCCTCACAAGTCGTCTATTATCCCGCAATTCTTCTGAGGCGCCTCAAAACTCGTCCTCTCCTCTCCACCCACCTTCCACGTCAAATACACACAGAGTAAGGCAGCAGTGCGAGCACAACAACTCGAACAAAAGCTTACCGTTGCTGCAGCAGCCGGTACAACTCCAGTGCAGCCGTTGCTTCAGCCTCGTTGCAGAGAGAAGGGGCTCCTGCTGGCCCTTTCGTCCTCTCCACGCCATCCTCCACGTCAAACACGCCATATGGAAGCAGCGGGGCCGTGGACCCTACACTGTACTGCCGCTGCTCAGCCTGTAACGAATCAGACTGTAACGAGGACGGTGAGGTGAAATTGGATGGTAAGGCTTGGAAGGGGGAGGACCAGGAGGGGGTGGTGACGCAGGGAGCGTCAGAGAGGAGAGACTGGTAGAAGAAGGAGGAGGGGAAGCGGGAGATGTGGGGGTTCATGCGGTACTGGGTGGACAGCATGGTAACCGGGTAACCAGACGTCTGCAGTCGCTCGAAGAGCGAGCGCTCGTAGCGGAGGTTGGATGCGGTGCGGGAGAGAACTGTGGCTGGGAGCTGCTTGGGGTCGCCCACCTGGTGAGAGAGGTGAAGAGGGGTAAAAATGGGTGGAGAGTTAATGGCAATGAGTACAGACTGGTAAAATGGGATGGGAGGGAAGAAGAACGAGTGCTCGAACCGAAGGCTGCTAATTCGGCAATAATGAAACCAAGTCAACACGTACCATGATGCATCGGCTGCTGATTCGACTGAGCAGCTGGACGTGGCGGGCTCCAAGGCCTGAGCAGCCTCATCGATCACCACTGCATCAAACAGACCCTCTGTCAACGACGGCAGCACTCCACCTGACCCTCATCGATCACCACAGCATCAAGCAACCCCTCATTAATCAACAAGTCAACACATCAACCAAGTCAGCACGCACCATGATGCATCGGCTGCTGATCCGACTAAGCAGCTGGAGGGGAATCAGTGTGGCGGGCTCCAATGCCTGAGCAGCCTCATCGATCACCACAGCATCAAACAGTCCCTCATCGATCAACGAGTCAACACGCAACCAACCAAGTCAGCACGCACCATGATGCATCGGCTGCTGATCCGACTAAGCAGCTGGAGGGGAATCAGTGTGGCGGGCTCCAAGGCCTGAGCAGCCTCATCGATCACCACAGCATCAAACAGTCCCTCATCGATCAACGAGTCAACACGTCAACCAACCAAGTCAGCACGCACCATGATGCATCGGCTGCTGATCCGACTAAGCAGCTGGAGGGGAATCAGTGTGGCGGGCTCCAAGGCCTGAGCAGCCTCATCGATCACCACAGCATCAAACAGTCCCTCATCGATCAACGAGTCAACACGTCAACCAACCAAGTCAGCACGCACCATGATGCATCGGCTGCTGATCCGACTAAGCAGCTGGAGGGGAATCAGTGTGGCGGGCTCCAATGCCTGAGCAGCCTCATCGATCACCACTGCATCAAACAGCCCCTCCATCCACGACGGCAGCACCCCACCTGACCCTCCACCTGAAAAACCACCTGAAGCTCCTCCCCTCAGTCCTCCCCCCATGCCTCCTCCCCATCCCCTCCCCCTCGCTCCAAGAACCCCCCCTCCCATCCCCCCACTCCCCCCAAACCTCCCACCAGCAGCAGCACCACCCATCCCCTCTGCTCCTCCTCCCCCTCTCCCCCCTTTCTCCCCTGCCCCTTCCCAACAGGCTGTAAACACATCTCCACCACACGCATTCAACGTAGTCACCACTACTTCCGCCTCTCTTATAATCTCCTTTTTCACCGCTGCCCGCCGCGCTTTATCCTCTTCCGCAGCTGCCCGCCGCTCCTTCTCAGCCGCTGCCAGGTCAGCCGAAATTTCCCGCTTCTTCCGATACAGCAGATTAAGCCTCGCTTTAATCGTCTCCTCCCCGTGCGATATAATCTCCTCTGCTATCTCCTCAGCCGTTTTCTCCTCCTCTCCCCCTCCCCTTCCACCCTCCCTTCTCCTCTCCCTCGCACCACCACCCTTCCCTCCATCCGCATCCTCCGCTCTTCCCTCCTCCCCACCCTCCCCATCCTCCCCTGAACGTTTCTTGCATCTAAGAGCCTCTACTGCTCTGATCACCTCAAAGGCACGCTCTAGCTGCTGTCTTAACTGCGCCACTCTCTCCCTTACTGCACTCTCTGTCCCTAAACCACCACTCGCACCAGCAGCACCACCAGCACCAGCAGCACCACTGCCTGTGCCCCCACGGGTGTCAACACCACCGCGAGCACCACCGGCAGAAAACGCCCCATCACCAAACACGTCCCTCCAATCCTTCTCACTCAAAACCCCACCACCACCCTCTCTCCCCCCTTCGTTACTGTCACCACCACTGCCTACATTCACACCACGCGCAGCTGCTTCTTTCGCAAGCCTCTTAGCCACAAGTGTATCAATGTGAATATGCAGAGAGTCCGGATGGACGGCTGACACGTTCCCGACGCGCACAACCGACGGTTGAGATCGCGCCGTCTCATCCTCCCCATCTTTGGCTGCTTCTGCATGGGCTCGGAAGATTCTAGATATGATTTCATCTACTGCAGCGTTGGATTGCGCACACACCAGCACCCTCGTCCGCAGCTTCTTCCCCCCTGCCCCTCCTGCCCCCTCTCCCCCTCCCCCTCCCCCTCCCCCTTCCTCCCACTCCACTACCTCCTCCCGCTCCCCCTCCTCGACTCAACCCCCCTCCTCCCCTCACTCCTCCCCTCCCTCCCCCTCTCACTCCCCCTCTCTCCAAGTCCATAGCAACAGCAGCATCTTGCCACATACGCGCCATAGCCACTGCAGTACCCACCCTCCTCCCCTCCCCACCCAATCCCCCTCCTCCCCCACCCCCACCCGCCCCACCCCTCAACCCCGGCGCCCTCCCAAGCTGCCTAACCCTCGGCTCTTTCAAATCCCAACCAGCTCCCTTGTCTTCTCCTGCTCTCGAGTGCTCCTGACTCCCTGGTTGTGTTTTCTTCTTGCAGGCTAGAAGGGCTGTGATGATGGCAACGATGGTGCGGGTCTTGCCTGTCCCCGGCGGTCCCTGTACCAATACCAGCTGCCGAATCGCCTCTGTACTGCCACCACCAGCACCATCAACACCAAAACCAGCAGCACCGGCAGCAGAAGCAGCAGCAGCAGCAGCGGCAGCGGAACGGCCAGCAGAAGCAGCAGGAGCAGCACCACTGAAGCCCGTACTGCTGCCGCATGACCCGCCCTTGTTGGTTCCAACAGCCTGCTGAATGGCTTGCAGCTGGTGCCTGTTGAACTGGGCCTCGTACCTGTGCCTGAGAGAGAACGGCAAGGGCGTTCCTTCCAGAGACTCAGTGGCACCAGCACTGGCAGCACGGAAGCAGCTGGGCTTAAGCAGCGGCGGCAGCAGAGGCAGGTACTGAGCGGCAGCGAGGGCCTGGAACTCGCGCATGTGGGGCACGAGGGAGAGGATGCGCGTGACGTGCCAGCAGCTGCGGTCGCCCATCAGCTGCTTGCAGCGCGCCAGGCGAGGCGACGCGGTATGTGGGAGGAAGAGACGTAACTGAATAATCATTGCCCGTGACTCCCTCTCGTACTCTCTCCTCTCCACCTGAGAAGAGGGGTGGGGCAAGGCGGGAGAAGGGAGCAAGTGAGAGAGGGCAGCGAGGGCCTGGAACTCGCGCATGTGGGGCACGAGGGAGAGGATGCGCGTGACGTGCCAGCAGCTGCGGTCGCCCATCAGCTGCTTGCAGCGCGCCAGGCGAGGCGACGCGGTATGTGGGAGGAAGAGACGTAACTGAATAATCATTGCCCGTGACTCCCTCTCGTACTCTCTCCTCTCCACCTGAGAAGAGGGGTGGGGCAAGGCGGGAGAAGGGAGCAAGTGAGAGAGGGCAGCGAGGGCCTGGAACTCGCGCATGTGGGGCACGAGGGAGAGGATGCGCGTGACGTGCCAGCAGCTGCGGTCGCCCATCAGCTGCTTGCAGCGCGCCAGGCGAGGCGACGCGGTATGTGGGAGGAAGAGACGTAACTGAATAATCATTGCCCATGACTCCCTCTCGTACTCTCTCCTCTCCACCTGAGAAGAGGGGTGGGGCAAGGCGGGAGAAGGGAGCAAGTGAGAGAGGGCAGCGAGGGCCTGGAACTCGCGCATGTGGGGCACGAGGGAGAGGATGCGCGTGACGTGCCAGCAGCTGCGGTCGCCCATCAGCTGCTTGCAGCGCGCCAGGCGAGGCGACGCGGTATGTGGGAGGAAGAGACGTAACTGAATAATCATTGCCCGTGACTCCCTCTCGTACTCTCTCCTCTCCACCTGAGAAGAGGGGTGGGGCAAGGCGGGAGAAGGGAGCAAGTGAGAGAGGGCAGCGAGGGCCTGGAACTCGCGCATGTGCGGCACGAGGGAGAGGATGCGCGTGACGTGCCAGCAGCTGCGGTCGCCCATCAGCTGCTTGCAGCGCGCCAGGCGAGGCGACGCGGTATGTGGGAGGAAGAGACGTAACTGAATAATCATTGCCCGTGACTCCCTCTCGTACTCTCTCCTCTCCACCTGAGAAGAGGGGTGGGGCAAGGCGGGAGAAGGGAGCAAGTGAGAGAGGGCAGCGAGGGCCTGGAACTCGCGCATGTGGGGCACGAGGGAGAGGATGCGCGTGACGTGCCAGCAGCTGCGGTCGCCCATCAGCTGCTTGCAGCGCGCCAGGCGAGGCGACGCGGTATGTGGGAGGAAGAGACGTAACTGAATAATCATTGCCCATGACTCCCTCTCGTACTCTCTCCTCTCCACCTGAGAAGAGGGGTGGGGCAAGGCGGGAGAAGGGAGCAAGTGAGAGAGGGCAGCGAGGGCCTGGAACTCGCGCATGTGGGGCACGAGGGAGAGGATGCGCGTGACGTGCCAGCAGCTGCGGTCGCCCATCAGCTGCTTGCAGCGCGCCAGGCGAGGCGACGCGGTATGTGGGAGGAAGAGACGTAACTGAATAATCATTGCCCGTGACTCCCTCTCGTACTCTCTCCTCTCCACCTGAGAAGAGGGGTGGGGCAAGGCGGGAGAAGGGAGCAAGTGAGAGAGGGCAGCGAGGGCCTGGAACTCGCGCATGTGCGGCACGAGGGAGAGGATGCGCGTGACGTGCCAGCAGCTGCGGTCGCCCATCAGCTGCTTGCAGCGCGCCAGGCGAGGCGACGCGGTATGTGGGAGGAAGAGACGTAACTGAATAATCATTGCCCGTGACTCCCTCTCGTACTCTCTCCTCTCCACCTGAGAAGAGGGGTGGGGCAAGGCGGGATGAGGGAGCAAGTGAGAGAGGGCAGCGAGGGCCTGGAACTCGCGCATGTGGGGCACGAAGGAGAGGATGCGCGTGACGTGCCAGCAGCTGCGGTCGCCCATCAGCTGCTTGCAGCGCGCCAGGCGAGGCGACGCGGTATGTGGGAGGAAGAGACGTAACTGAATAATCATTGCCCGTGACTCCCTCTCGTACTCTCTCCTCTCCACCTGAGAAGAGGGGTGGGGCAAGGCGGGAGAAGGGAGCAAGTGAGAGAGGGCAGCGAGGGCCTGGAACTCGCGCATGTGGGGCACGAGGGAGAGGATGCGCGTGACGTGCCAGCAGCTGCGGTCGCCCATCAGCTGCTTGCAGCGCGCCAGGCGAGGCGACGCGGTATGTGGGAGGAAGAGACGTAACTGAATAATCATTGCCCGTGACTCCCTCTCGTACTCTCTCCTCTCCACCTGAGAAGAGGGGTGGGGCAAGGCGGGATGAGGGAGCAAGTGAGAGAGGGCAGCGAGGGCCTGGAACTCGCGCATGTGGGGCACGAGGGAGAGGATGCGCGTGACGTGCCAGCAGCTGCGGTCGCCCATCAGCTGCTTGCAGCGCGCCAGGCGAGGCGACGCGGTATGTGGGAGGAAGAGACGTAACTGAATAATCATTGCCCGTGACTCCCTCTCGTACTCTCTCCTCTCCACCTGAGAAGAGGGGTGGGGCAAGGCGGGAGAAGGGAGCAAGTGAGAGAGGGCAGCGAGGGCCTGGGACTCGCGCATGTGGGGCACGAGGGAGAGGATGCGCGTGACGTGCCAGCAGCTGCGGTCGCCCAGTAGTTGCTTGCAGCGTGTGAGACGAGGTGAGGCGGTGGGGGGCAGGAAGAGGCGTAGCTGGATGACCATAGCGCGCGATTCCCGCTCGTATTCTCTCCTCTCCACCTGCGAAAAGAGGGAGAAACCGCAGGGAGGACGAGGGGTTGGGGAGAGCGGGAGAAGGGGAGAGACTAAGGTCAGGCACGTAGGTATGAGCAGCAGAGGCAGGTACTGCGCGGCAGCGAGGGCCTGGGACTCGCGCATGTGCGGGACGAGGGAGAGGATGCGCGTGACGTGCCAGCAGCTGCGGTCGCCCATCAGCTGCTTGCAGCGCGCCAGGCGAGGCGAGGCGGTGGGGGGCAGGAAGAGGCGTAGCTGGATGACCATAGCGCGCGATTCTCTCTCGTATTCTCTCCTCTCCACCTGGGGGAAGGGATAACAGCAGGGTGGAAGTGGGGTGCGGTGGGGTGGGGTGGGGTATGGTTGGCGGTGTGGGGAAGGAAGAGACGCAGCTGGATGATCACTGGCCGAAACTCGCTCTCATACTCTCTCGCTTCTACACGTGGAAGAAGAGATACAGAAGAGTAATACAGGACCGTTGTCCACAGAATCCAGGAAAAGCTCCTGTTAGATTCAACCTCACCTTGGCCAGCACATGAAGCGCGGCGGAAGAATTGTCATCCCCAGCAGTAGCAGCAGCCGCTGCTGCAGCAGAAGCATGGTCAGGCACTTTCCGGGTGAGCAGCACGAGATCATTCTCCCCACAGACCTCCCCCATATGCACATGAAGAGTGATGTGCTGAAGGTTCTTACCTTGGCCAGCACATGAAGCTGCGGTGCTGCCACAGCAGCAGCAGCACCACCACCACCAGCAGCAGCAGCAGCAGCAGCAGCATGGTCGGGCACTTTACGGGTGAGCAGCACGAGATCATTCTCCCCACAGACCCACACCATTCACATCAATCTCTCTCACACACAATGATTCTCGTCTCACCTTGGCCAGCACATGAAGCTGCTGTGCTGCCACTGCTGCCGCAGCATCACCACCACCGGCCGCAGCTGCTGCCGCCGCAGCATGGTCGGGCACTTTTCGAGTGAGCAGCACGAGATCATTCTCCCCACAGAAGGCCCACGACCCCGACGAAGCTCCTGGCTCTGCCATGAACCTCGCGAGCTGGAAATCGTCCACTCTCTCTATTGACAGCATTCGTAGAGCTCCCACATATGCCACCTCCGCCCCTCCCCTCCTCTCCCCTGCTCCCCCTGCTCCCCCTGCTCCCCCTGCTCCCCCTGCTCCCCCTGCTCCCCCGCTTCCCGCTCCTCCCGCTCCTCCTCCTCCTGCCCCTCCACCCCCACCCGAGCCTACAGCATCTTCGTATGATCGCCGAAGCTGTGCCTTGAATTCCTCCAGGACTAGTGGCTGAAAGACCCGAACGTACTCTGCTACCGAACCAAACTCGTCCGGCACCCGAACCAGCCCCCGGCTCGCCGAACCTGCAGGCTCGGAACCCGACACAACCTCATAGTAATCCATCGCCAGGATCTTCCGAAACCAATCGTCTAGCTTCGGCAGCGGCGGCTTCTTCCAAGCCGTCCAGTCCTGGATGCCGAGCCTACCCGCCAAGCCTGCCGGGCCGCCCCGGTCCGAGCCTAGCGCGATGGTTTGGTGGCGTTTGATCTGGTCTGCAACGCGGTTCATGCCCTCCAAACCACCTATCGAAAGCTTTCCTCCTGGCCTCCTTGCCTTGGCTGCTTCTCTTTCCAACTCTGCATCTAAGTCATCATCTGCTAACACCTCTAGAAGCACGGCTGCCTTCGGTTTTCCTGCCCCTGCTGCCCCTGCTGCTCCTGCTGCCCCTGCTCCACCTGCCCCTGCAGCTGCTGCTGCTGCTGACCGTGCCACCATTGGTGGAACAGGGGCTTTGCCAGATAAGCCTGCACCAGATAAGCCTGCACCAGGTAAACCTGCAACTGAGGGTTGCTCCACAGTGAATGCAAACGGATCCGCTGCTGCACCAGCCCCCCCTGCCCCGCCCTGCTGCTGCTGCTTCAGCCTCTCCGCCAGCTGTCGCTCTCTGATTTGCCGCTGCACGTCCCCCAAAGCACTGTTCCTCTGCTCCACCTCTGCCTTGTGCGACTCTCGAATCGCTGACAGCTTTCCCCCTCCGCCTGCCCCTTTCATTGTGCCTGCCTTCCTGTTAAGCAGGCTTCGCGGCTTTTTGAAAACCACCCCGCCTGCACCAAGCCTCGGTCCAGCCCTCAAATTCCCAGTGGCAGTAGTGCCACCAGCAGTAGCAGCTGCTGCTCCTGCAATTTGTGTGCGCAGGTATTTCTCGAGAGTGTTTCGGCGCCGCTGCTTCGCTGCCTGAGAGGAGAGGAGAGAGGCTAAGGGTGTGGCGGCGGAGTGAGGGGTGGAGGACGACGGGGAAGCAGAGGAGGTTCCGGGACCTGAAGAAAACGGGAACGATGGGGCTGACTTCGCAAATACACCTTCCCCAGATGCACCCACCCCAGATGGAGTCTCAGCCTCTGCGCCCCCACCTTTACTGCCTCGCTTCAGCTGCCCTATCGGCACCTCATCCTCCTCCTCCTCATCTTCCTCCCCCATCAACTCCTCCTCTTCCTCCTCCTCCTCCTCTTCCTCCTCCTCCTCCTCCTCCTCCATCTCTTCCTCTGCTAGCTCCTCCATACTCGTCTCACCCAGTCTCTCCTTCTCCTCTCCCTTAATTTCCTGCCCAACTGCTTTCACCCCAGTACCATCCAACCCAGCAGCACCCTCCTCAACATCGTCTAGATCTATAGTCTCGACCACTCCTCCCTTCCCCTTTCTGGCAGTCCCCTTCCCTGCTTCTCCAACACTCCAACCCCCGCCCCATCCCACTCTCTCCTCTCTTTTCCTCTCCCTTCTTTCCTCCTCGTCCTCACCCCTCTTTTCCGCTCGCTCCTGCCCCCTCTCCTCTTCCTCATCCTCACTAAACAAGTAGATCAGATCTTCAATTCCCTCTCTCCCACCCTCATCCTCTCCCTCCCCATCCTCAGGCGGAACTCTCAGGTTCGGCAGCGGCTGCTTCGGCGGAGGTTCGGCATCCGAAGCTGAGATAAGCGATGCTGCATGCTGCGCTGCTGCCAAAAGCCTCTCCTTCTGCTCTTGAGACAAACTCACCTTAGCACTTAGCTTAATTCCAGCGATCAGACAACTACAGAAATCCCTCAGCAGAACAGCCCACTTCCACCTCCCCCAGATCCCACTTCCCCCTTGCCCTCCACTCCTGTTGTTCCTGCTGATACTGTCACCACCTTTGTTACAGTCATTAATGTGGTTACCACCACTTATGATGTTCCATGTAACCTGTAACGCTTTCAGCACTGTTGCTGAAGCATCCACCCATCGATGCAGTATAGACCCGTCCTTTACAGTCACACAAGCTGCCACGTCAGCCACCCAATCAGCTTGCTCCTCTCTCCCTCCAGCCCCCGCACCACCCATACCCCCATCCCCAAACCATGCAATCCGTCGCCCTGCCGAGCCTCCACCCCAGGTTTGGCCGATGCTCCGTTCCAGAAGCAGGTTCGGATTCTCCGGGGAAGAAGCAGCGAGGGGGAAGAGAGAGAGTTTACCATCGCAACCCATACTTGGAACTTTGAAAAGCCCAGGGGCAGTTGGATGGGGTGAGGCAGTGGTGTTTATAGCAGCAGCAGTGGCAGCAGCTTTGGGAGTGCTGCTGCTACTGCTCGTGATGGAAGAGGAGGAAGGGAGGAGATGGTTCACGGCCAGGGGAAGAATCTCGAACAGACGGACGAATACGAGCTTCTGGTGAAGGGAGGGGAATGCAGAGAGAGGGAGGGAGGGAGGGGAAAGCAGGGAGGGGAAGGAAGAGGGTGAGATTCCAATGGGAGGAAAGGGAGTAGATGGTTCACGGCCAGGGGAAGGATCTCGAACAGACGGACAAATGCGAGCTTCTGGTGAAGGGATAGACGAGGATGGGAATGCAGGGGAGGGGAAGGCATGGGAGGGAAGGGGAAGGGAAGGAGGCAGGAGAAAAAAGGGAGAGGCGTAGGCGATGGTATCAGCGTATAATGACATCTTATCCATACGTACCACAACACCCATTTCAGCAAAATATATATTTCTCCTGAGAGCAGATCTTGAAAGAATACCTGGCCGCCAGTGGTGATGGTATCAGCACATGCCCTGCAACGCCACACGAGAAAAGCCACCATGGGCCACAGCACACGGGATACATCCCATCCCACCGCCCTCCACACCTCCATAATCTCCCTGTCCTCAATGTGTATACACATCTGGAGATGGTTACCTGACCGCCAGTGGTGATGGTATCAGCACATGCCCTGCAACGCCACACCAGGAAAGCTATCATGGGCCACAGCACACGGGATACATCCCATCCCACCGCTCTCCACACCTCCTTCCTCTCCGTCTCCTTCCTCTCCGTCTCCTCCCTCTCCCACTCCTTTGCCTTCCCCCTCGCCCTCCCCTCCTCATGCAGCTGCTCCGCTTTTAGACCAGCAGCCGCCGTGCCATCAGCAGCACCAGGCGTGGCAGCAGCAGCAGCACTACCACCACCACCACCATCAGTACCACCACCAGTTGCCACACTTGGCTTGGTAAAAAACTTCTTGATCCCCATTTGTGCTCCTACCCCTACCCCTGCTCCAGCCCCACTCCTCCCCAACCCTCCAGATTTAGCCATGAGGCTAGGTGAGGGAGGAGAGGGACTGGGCAGAGGAGTGGAGTGCGGTGGAGGGATGCAGGAGAGGTGTACGGAGGGAGGGCCGAGGAGCTTGGATGCGTAGAAGAGAAGGCCCTGGATGATTGATGCTTGCTTGCCTGTGGGGTCCAGGGACAACTGGTAGGTGGGTAGGTGCATGCGGAGAGAACGAATGATGGGTGGATACAAGGACGGAGCGGGATGGTGGGAGGGCGGGCCGAGGAGCTTGGAAGCGTGGAAGAGAAGGCCTTGGATGATCGATGCCTGCTTGCCTGTGGGGTCAAGGGCGAGCTGGTGGGTGGGAGGGGCATGGAAAGAGTAGGGGCGGAGAACGGTAAAAGAAGGCAGGGGCTGAAGAGAAAACCTTGGAAAATCGACGCCTGCTTGTCTGGAGGGGCTATGGGGAGCTGGTGGATGGAACAGGCATGGGGTGGGGAGATAAAGGAAGATGGGCGGATACAAGATGGGGAGGGATGGGGAGCAGTTACACCTGTGATGTGTGCGGTCACATTGAACAGAAGGGCATAATTAACCCACACCCATGGCCACCACAAAACCTCATGCCTATCTAATACTCTTGGACCATTGAAGTACCCATCTCTCACCACAGCAGCCGCCTTGGCAAACGCCCGAACGAGCCCGCGGGCAGAGGCAGGGGAGGAGGCGAGGAAGGCGAGCTGGTGGTCAATGCGGTGATCCCTGCACAGTGAAGTGAGGAGCTCGCGAGCCATGTCCCTGTTGGGCTGGGTGAAGGGAGGTTGGGAGGGGTTTGGGGCATGGGGAGAGGTTCGGGGGGTATGGGGAGGGAGGAAGGCGAGTTGGTGGTCGATGCGATGGTCCCTGCAGAGGGAGGTTAGCAACTCTCGAGCCATGTCCCTGTTGGGCTGGGGAGGGAGGTGGAAAGGGTAGAGGGGGAACAGTGGGGAGAGGGACGCACAAGGGATGCAGCAAGGAAAGTGAGCTGGTGGTCCCTGCAGAGCGAGGTGAGGAGCTCGCGAGCCATGTCCCTGTAGGGCTGGGAGATGGGGAGAGGTGGAAGGAGGGGAAGTGCGCAGGGCACAAGAAGAAAGTGAGCTGGTGGTCCCTGCAGAGCGAGGTGAGGAGCTCGCGAGCCATGTCCCTGTTGGGCTGGGGAGGGAGGTGGAAAGGGTAGAGGGGGAACAGTGGGGAGAGGGACGCACAAGGGATGCAGCAAGGAAGGCGAGCTGGTGGTCCCTGCAGAGCGAGGTGAGGAGCTCGCGAGCCATGTCCCTGTTGGGCTGGGAGATGGGGAGAGGTGGAAGGAGGGGAAGTGCGCAGGGCACAAGAAGAAAGTGAGCTGGTGGTCCCTGCAGAGCGAGGTGAGGAGCTCGCGAGCCATGTCCCTGTTGGGCTGGGAGATGGGGAGAGGTGGAAGGAGGGGAAGTGCGCAGGGCACAAGAAGAAAGTGAGCTGGTGGTCCCTGCAGAGCGAGGTGAGGAGCTCGCGAGCCATGTCCCTGTTGGGCTGGAACGGGGAGAGGTGGAAGGAGGGGAAGTGCGCAGGGCACAAGAAGAAAGTGAGCTGGTGGTCCCTGCAGAGCGAGGTGAGGAGCTCGCGAGCCATGTCCCTGTTGGGCTGGGAGATGGGGAGAGGTGGAAGGAGGGGAAGTGCGCAGGGCACAAGAAGAAAGTGAGCTGGTGGTCCCTGCAGAGCGAGGTGAGGAGCTCGCGAGCCATGTCCCTGTTGGGCTGGAATGGGGAGAGGTGGAAGGAGGGGAAGTGCGCAGGGCACAAGAAGAAAGTGAGCTGGTGGTCCCTGCAGAGCGAGGTGAGGAGCTCGCGAGCCATGTCCCTGTTGGGCTGGGAGGGAGAGGTGGAAGGAGGGGAAGTGCGCAGGGCACAAGCAGAAGAAAGTGAGATGGTGGTCCCTGCAGAGCGAGGTAAGGAGCTCGCGAGCCATGTCCCTGTTGGGCTGGAATGGGGAGAGGTGGAAGGAGGGGAAGTGCGCAGGGCACAAGAAGAAAGTGAGCTGGTGGTCCCTGCAGAGCGAGGTGAGGAGCTCGCGAGCCATGTCCCTGTTGGGCTGGAATGGGGAGAGGTGGAAGGAGGGGAAGTGCGCAGGGCACAAGAAGAAAGTGAGCTGGTGGTCCCTGCAGAGCGAGGTGAGGAGCTCGCGAGCCATGTCCCTGTTGGGCTGGGAGGGAGAGGTGGAAGGAGGGGAAGTGCGCAGGGCACAAGCAGAAGAAAGTGAGATGGTGGTCCCTGCAGAGCGAGGTAAGGAGCTCGCGAGCCATGTCCCTGTTGGGCTGGAATGGGGAGAGGTGGAAGGAGGGGAAGTGCGCAGGGCACAAGAAGAAAGTGAGCTGGTGGTCCCTGCAGAGAGAGGTGAGGAGCTCGCGAGCCATGTCCCTGTTGGGCTGGAATGGGGAGAGGTGGAAGGAGGGGAAGTGCGCAGGGCACAAGAAGAAAGTGAGCTGGTGGTCCCTGCAGAGCGAGGTGAGGAGCTCGCGAGCCATGTCCCTGTTGGGCTGGGAGGGAGAGGTGGAAGGAGGGGAAGTGCGCAGGGCACAAGCAGAAGAAAGTGAGATGGTGGTCCCTGCAGAGCGAGGTAAGGAGCTCGCGAGCCATGTCCCTGTTGGGCTGGAATGGGGAGAGGTGGAAGGAGGGGAAGTGCGCAGGGCACAAGAAGAAAGTGAGCTGGTGGTCCCTGCAGAGCGAGGTGAGGAGCTCGCGAGCCATGTCCCTGTTGGGCTGGAACGGGGAGAGGTGGAAGGAGGGGAAGTGCGCAGGGCACAAGAAGAAAGTGAGCTGGTGGTCCCTGCAGAGCGAGGTGAGGAGCTCGCGAGCCATGTCCCTGTTGGGCTGGGAGGGAGAGGTGGAAGGAGGGGAAGTGCGCAGGGCACAAGCAGAAGAAAGTGAGATGGTGGTCCCTGCAGAGCGAGGTGAGGAGCTCGCGAGCCATGTCCCTGTTGGGCTGGAATGGGGAGAGGTGGAAGGAGGGGAAGTGCGCAGGGCACAAGAAGAAAGTGAGCTGGTGGTCCCTGCAGAGCGAGGTGAGGAGCTCGCGAGCCATGTCCCTGTTGGGCTGGGAGGGAGAGGTGGAAGGAGGGGAAGTGCGCAGGGCACAAGCAGAAGAAAGTGAGATGGTGGTCCCTGCAGAGCGAGGTAAGGAGCTCGCGAGCCATGTCCCTGTTGGGCTGGAATGGGGAGAGGTGGAAGGAGGGGAAGTGCGCAGGGCACAAGAAGAAAGTGAGCTGGTGGTCCCTGCAGAGCGAGGTGAGGAGCTCGCGAGCCATGTCCCTGTTGGGCTGGAATGGGGAGAGGTGGAAGGAGGGGAAGTGCGCAGGGCACAAGAAGAAAGTGAGCTGGTGGTCCCTGCAGAGCGAGGTGAGGAGCTCGCGAGCCATGTCCCTGTTGGGCTGGGAGGGAGAGGTGGAAGGAGGGGAAGTGCGCAGGGCACAAGCAGAAGAAAGTGAGATGGTGGTCCCTGCAGAGCGAGGTGAGGAGCTCCCAAGCCATGTCCCTGTTGGGCTGGAATGGGGAGAGGTGGAAGGAGGGGAAGTGCGCAGGGCACAAAAAGAAAGTGAGCTGGTGGTCCCTGCAGAGCGAGGTGAGGAGCTCCCGAGCCATGTCCCTGTTGGGCTGGGATGGGGAGAGGGGGAAAGGTGCAACAGTTGTACAGATAAAGGAAGGCAAGCTGATGTGGTGGTCAGTGCGGTGGTTTACGCAGAGGGACGTGAGGCGAAAGGATTGGGGGGGTGAGGGGTAGGGGAAAGGTGGGGTAAGGTACGGGGATGATGCAAGAACCTCAAGCGACAATACTTGTCAACAGTTTCAGCTCGAGTTATTGCAGTGGACCGGGGAGAGAGGAGGGGAGCCGACTAGTTGACATTTTTTACTAACTACTCCAGAATTGTTCAGGGAGGAGAGGAGGGGAGCTGACCAATTGGAAGTCGATGAGGAGGAAGATGAGAGGCTCTGCCAGGCTGGCATGCCACGTCAGCAGCTTGAGCCGATTGGCGCCTCTGATCTGGACGAGGCATGAGGACACGCTCCTGTGGTACAATGACACGTGGCATGGAAAGGAAAGGGAGAGGCGAGGAAGGAGTGAGGAAGGAATGTAAAGAGGGGAACAGATGGAGTAGTGGGGAGACCGAGAGGAGTATGAATTGGAAAGATTGGAATAGGATGGGTGGGAAGAAAACGGAAGGAACATGGGGGAAACAGGTGGAGTGGGAGGAAAACGAAGGAAATGGAGTACAAAAACCCAACCCACCCACCCACCCAACTCCTCTTCATGTGCTGCTGCCGCCACCGCGTTTACACAGCAGTTACGAAGAATTGGAGATGCTATTGACAATCCTTAAAGCAACACCCAGCCCACCCACCTCTGCAGAATGACGCTCAACTCCTCTTCATGTGCTGCTGCCGCCACCTCATTCACACACCCTGCCTTCGCCCCTCGCCCCCCTCCCCCAGCCCCAGGAGCCAATCTCCAGTGCAGAGCAGCTGTAACCACCGCACTACTGGTAACAGCAGGGCTGCTGGTAACCGCCGGGGTGCTAATCTTACTCCCAACAGCACCAGCAGCACCAGTAGCACCAGCAGAACCAGCAGCAGCTGCTGCTGCGGAAGCAGAGAGGCAGAAATGTCCTGCCGCCCAAACAGCTGCTCGGAGTAACGGTTTTGGTAACCACTGGGGGGGAGTTCGCTCTAATAGCTCCACCCAGAGTGCCGGAGCACACTGCCACCTGTCGCTCTCTGCCGCTGCCACCTCAGCAAGCCGATCCAGTTGGTCTTGAGGCAATCCTTCCGAAATTGAGGAGGTGGAGGAGGAAGAAATTTGGCATGTGCTAGTGTCAGCGCCAGCAATACCAGCAGCACCACCCTCGCCCCCCTCCCCTCCCTGCCCTCCCTCCTCTCCATCCCCTGGGCAAACCAGCGACCGCGAAAATACGCTCGGAACACCCGAGCCAAAACCAGAGCCTGCGCCCGAACCTTGTGACAAAGCACCCGTGAAGGCTCGGGAGAGAGCGAGGGAGGTGAGGGCGGCAGTATCAGCAGTGATGATTGCTTGAGCTAGGTGGATGGCTGGCAGGCGGAGGGGGTCGGGGAGAGATGCGTCCTTGACTGCCCCCACGAGGAGTGGCCCCCAGATGTCAGCACAGTCGGTGGGCGGGAGAGGAGGGGACAGGAGGTAGGAGTGAAGGATGAGGTTGAATGCGATCTGATGAAGGCGAAGGGAAGGGGAAGGGGAAATGGAAAAGGGAAGGGAAAAGGGAAAGGGGAAGAGGAAGGGAAAGGGGAAAGGCAAAGGAAGAAAGGGGAGGGTGAGATGCCATAAGACCAACACAACACAGTGAGCGGAGGGGGTTGGAGAGAGATGCGTCCTTGACTGCCCCCACGAGGAGTGGTCCCCAGATGTCAGCACAGTCGGTGGGCGGGAGAGGTGGAGTGAGCAGGTAGGAGTGCAGGATGAGGCTGAATGCGATCTGATGCGGTGGAGCGGGGGCAGGGAGGGGGGTCAGCGAGAAGGTGACAGAAAACCAATGCGGACGGGTTGAAGGGGGGGTGGGGTGGGGCGAACAAGGGAGTGGGAGGGACGAGAGAGTGGGGGGAAGGGGAGAGGAGCGAGGAAATGAAATTGGAATCAAACATGAGTCAGAGCGAAAGTGAAAAATACAAAGTAAAACACGGGAGAGGGGCTTGCAGGGTTTAGGGTTTGAGTGAGTGAGTGAGAATGAAGCGGTTACCCGGCGAGCGATCTTGATGGTGGTGGTGCTGAAGTTGCGGCTGTTGGGCAGCTGGATGAGCAGAAAGAAGAGGATGCTGCGCCTCTGCCTCTCGAATTCCTCCGTCTCTAGTGACTCCACGGACTGCAGCAAGAGTAGAAAGCAGAGAGGTGTGGGGCAGCGGGGAGAGGCTTGAAAATGGTTGCATGGAACAAGGAGCGGCTGTTGGGCAGCTGGATGAGCAGAAAGAAGAGGATGCTTCGCCGCTGCCTCTCAAACTCCTCCGTCTCTAGTGACTCAACCGACTGATTGAGGCAGGAAGGGGACAGTGGATGAACAACGACTTATTTAGATTTTAAAAATAAAAAAATAAATAAATAAATAATAATAATACAAAATCTGTGCGGTTACGATTTCTTCATTTCTTCAAAAATATAACGAGGATGACAATGACTTCTGAGTGAACTCAAGTGCCACAACGAAACGAGGGCACGAGGACACGAATAATACCTTAAAACGATAATGGGGATAAGGATGTTAAGAACGACTGGACGGGAAGGCATGGAAGACTTAGACAGACCTGCAGGAAGGGCGGCAGGAGGTCGAGCAGGAGCTTGTGGGTGGGCTCGTGGGAGGAGTTGAAGCACTGCGAGATGAGTGTGTTGCGCACCACTCCGGGCGGGAAGGCGGAGTGCAGCCAGAGCTTGTAACCTGGAGGTGCTAGCGTGAGGGAAAGGTGGAACGGAGGAGAAGGGGGAGGAGCTGAGGCACGGCGAGATGAGTGTGTTGCGGCCGACACCGGGGGGGAAGGCCGAATGCAACCAGAGCTTGTAGCCTGGAGGAAGGATGATGGAAAATGAAGGGAAGGGGATAGAAAATCAGGATGGGGCGCATGGATGGTTAGGTGGGGGTGGGGTGGGTGGGGTGGGCTCGTGGGAGGAATTGCGGGAGCCGAAGCTCTGGAAAATGAGTGTGTTGCGGACCAGAGCTTGTAGCCTGCGAGTGGGAGGGAAGGCTGAATGCAGCCAGAGCTTGTAGCCTGGGGGAATGGAGAGACGTTGGTGGGTTGGTGGGGAGGTGGGAGACAGGAAGTGGGTTGGTGGTGGAACAGAGACTCTCAGACACCCATATTCGACATTAAAAACAGGACCACCCAACCACACACCCACCTGTGACTTGCAGCATCATTTGAAGACAAGCCAGAGCAGGCCGGAACACTGAGGTGTCTTCCCCCACGTGGTTCAGCACTATGCTCACAACGGCTGGGTAGCGCTCCACCACACACTGATCGGAACTCAAGCTGGCTCTTTAAGGGGCACCCACCCACCTGTGACTTGCAGCATCATCCTGAGGCAAGCCAGGGCAGGCCGGAACACAGAGGTGTCCTCCCCCACGTGGTTGAGCACTATGCTCACAAAGGCAGGATAGCGCTCCACCACGCCCTCGTCCAGTGCTGATGGCGCCATGAGGGAGAGGCTGAGAGAGGGGTTGGGAAAGGTTGAGAGAGGTTTGAAGAGAATGAGAGATGGACCGCACACACAGGGTTGCCCCTCTCAGCAGCATTAGAGTTGAACCAAAAGCACGCCCACACCACACCACGCCACACCTCACCACACCAAAACAAACCCACACCCAACCACACCGGTGAGCAGCCCCTGCCACATATCCTCCTTTGATTGCACCACACGAGGCCGCTCGCCCTCCTCCCTTTCAGCAGCGTTCAAGTTGATTCTAAATGAATACAAAGCCCCACCCACACAGTCTACAGCCCCAGACTCACATCGTGAGAAGTCCCTGCCACATGTCCTCCTTTGAATGCACCACACGAGGCCGCTCGACCATTTCCCCCCCACCCCCCACTCCTGCTCCCCTGTGGGCACTGGCAGCAGCAGCGGCGCCACCAGCAACACCGGCTCTTCCCAAGCCTGTTGCCGAACCTGTCCCCGAGCCTGTTCCCGAGCCTGTACCAGTGCCAGTAGCGGGTGTGCCTGTATCAAAGAGGTCGTACTCCAGGGCGTGCATGCACTGCTGCAGCAGAGGGTCGATGGGCCTCAGATCTGCTGCTGTTCTGTTAAGGGTGTGGGGGAGAGGTGTGAAGAGGTGAAGAGAATGAAAGGGCAAGAGTTGAATAGGCAAAGAGGTCATACTCCAGGGCGTGCATGCACTGCGCAACAGAGGGTCGATGGGCCTCAGATCTGCTGCTGTTCTGTTTCAGGTGGGAGGTTGGGTTGGGTGGGCGAGAAGAGGGAATTGGGGGCAGTAAGAGGATGTGACGGGTGAAGATAAATCAAGGGAAATAGGTCGCATTCCAGTGCGTGCATGCACTGCTGCAGCAGAGGGTCGATTGGCCTCAAATCCGCTGCTGTTCTGTTTGGGGTGGAGGTTGGAAGGGAAGGAGGAGGGGGTGGATGGAGGGGTGAAGAGAATGAGAGGGCAGAAGATACATAGACGCAAAAAAATCACAGAATGCAAAGACGTGGATATTTGAATGGGATAATGTGGAGGAGCATGGAAATGACATGAAAGTAAGAGTGACGCACTTGAAGAGGCCGAGGGGTTTGGCGAGGGTATAGACGATGGCGCGAGTGTCCTTGCAGGGGTGCAGCATGAGATGGTAGAGACCCTGAAGATGCAAGAAGCAGTGACAACAAGTAGTAGGTTGATGGCAGTACTACGCGTATCAGTCACCGGATATCGCTGTCCTGGAGTTAAAGGTAAGTAGAAGTGCCTTTCAACAAGCACCAGAGCAGGGCCGGCGAGGGCAAACACCTTGGCATCCTCTAGCACACGCGGGTACATGAGCTGAGCAGCTCGAACATGAGGCATATCACTCCCGCTTCCCCACTTCGCCACTTCCCCTTTTACTCACCGGGTATCGCTGGCCCGGGGTGAGTGACAGATCAAAGTGCCTTTCCACGAGCACCAGAGCAGGTCCAGCAAGAGCAAACACCTCTGCGTCCTCCAGCACACGCGGGTACATGAGCAGCTCGAACATGAGGCAGATCACTCACTTACTGGGTACCTTTGTCCCGGGGTAAGAGACAAGTCGAAGTGTCTCTCTACAAGCACCAGAGCAGGTCCAGCGAGGGCAAACAACTCGGCATCCTCCAGTACACGCGGGTACATGAGCAGCTCGAGCATGCGGCATATCGCACATGAGGCACATCACTCATGGCCCATCCTCCCTTCTCTACTCACTCACCGGGTATCTCTGTCCCGGGGTGAGTGACAGGTCGAAGTGCCTTTCCACGAGCACCAGAGCCGGGCCAGCAAGGGCAAACACCTCTGCATCCTCCAGCACTCGCGGATACATGAGCAGCTCGAACATGAGGCATATCAACCCCGGCCCGTCCCTCTCCGCATCCAAGACCTGCCCCCCACTCCCACTGCTCCCAGCACCACTAGCAACACCCCCAGAACCGCTCAAAACACCACCAGCACCGCTCGAAACACCACCAGAACTGGCTCCAACACCTCCACCAGCCCCTCCACCCGCCCGACCCACCAGCGCCCTCAGCTCCCCAGCCACCCTCTCCTCATCCAACCTCCTCAGCGTGTCCAACACAGGCCCCACCACCTCCTCCACATACTCCTCCTCGTAAACCTGCTTCGCCGCGTGGTATCGAGCCACACAGCGCGTGCAGGCGCGCATCTCCCCCGCCATGCGCGCCCAGAGGGTGTGCAGGGTGGCGCGCGTGTCGGGCGGACCGGAGTGGAAGTGGTAGAAAGGTTCGAGGAGGGGCTGAGTGAGGGTGCGGTGGCGGCACCACAGGTGGGAGGAGGGGGGGAGTGCAGAGAGGAATGCAAAGGCATCGGTAAACCTGGGAGGGAGCAGGGAGGGGAGAAGTGAGAGAGAGGACGGGGGAAGTGGGGGTTCTGAATTGAGAAGAGAGCCACACAGCGCGTGCAGGCGCGCATTTCCCCCGCCATGCGCGCCCAGAGGGTGTGGAGCGTGGCGCGGGTGTCGGGTGGACCGGAGTGGAAGTGGTAGAAAGATTCGAGGAGGGGCTGAGTGAGGGCGCGGTGGCGGCACCACAGGTGGGAGGAGGGGGGGAGCGCGGAGAGGAAGGCAAAGGCATCGGTGAACCTGGGAAAGGGGAGAATGGGCGGGGGACACGGAAAAATGGTGGTGATTAGAAGGTAAACGGAACGTTGCTCCAACTCGGGCGGGCCGGAGTGGTAGTGGTAGACAGGCTCCAGAAGTGGTTGGGTGAGGGTGAGGTGGCGGCACCAGAGGTGAGAGGAAGGGGGAAGCGCGGAGAGGAAGGCAAAGGCATCGGTGAACCTGGGAGCGGAGTTTGGGAAAAAAGGGGGAGAGGGGCAGTACAGGAAAAACGAGGGGTTCTGAATCGGGTGTCGGGCGGGCCGGAGTGGTCGTGATAGAAGGGCTCCAGCAGGGGCTGGGTGAGGGTGCGGTGGCGGCACCAGAGATGGGCGGAAGGGGGGAGCGCGGAGAGGAAGGCAAAGGCATCGGTAAACCTGGAAAAGGGATGGAGGGAGAGGAGTTGGGGGGAGAGAGAGGTGAGGGAGGGGAGGAGGAAGAGGAAAAGGAGGACAAAGAAGTTTTCGAACCAAAATATAATCATGAACCAAAGCAGGTGAATGGAACAGCAGGCACCTGATCACACTGTTGAAGAGAACATGCCGCATTCAACAATGTTTGCTCTACAGACGCTCTAACAGCTTCTCCAACTACAGCATTTCTTCCAATACCATTGCCCCTTGAGAGCCATCAGTTTCTCCTCCGCCTCGTCATCCTCCGGAAGCTCCCCCAACGCCTCCTCTATCCGCTCCCACCGCGCCTGCAGCTGCTTCTGCGCCGCCTCAGGGGTAAGATTCCCCCCTGATCCCCTTCCGCTCCCCACGGCTCCTCTTCCAGAACCCCCCTCATCCGCTTTTCCCTTTCCACCAGATGACGGAGCCATGCTGAGTGTATCAACGTTGCGGCTTTACGTTTACACTAACACAATGACGCTGCCACAGTTCTACGATACCGAAACAGCTTGTAGCGAATTCGTAGTGCCTGACCAACCATGGCCAATCTTGAGGGTCTACAGTTCAACCTGACGGCGCATAGCTCAGCCTGACGGCGTACAGCTCAGCTTGTACGGCCAAGACTGATCACACTCGACTGGTTTGGGTTCCCAACCAGAGCACGCTGATCATGAGGCGAGCATATCATGCTTCAATCAGGCTGCAGTATTTCCTCGACCAGACTTCGTCATCTGGAGTCTGCGGAAATGGTAACAAGCTGATGATGATGAGTGGTCTGCATAACAAAACCTGTTTGCCAACAACTCTTTATCGGAGAGTTGTACACCACACGAACTCGAAGACACTAAAGATCAACATCCAGAGATGATCCGCGCCGTTAAAAAGCAGGAATAAACTCGTTACTTCCGAGGTACGATATGCCTTCCTCGCGTCCTCTAACCCAAGCTCCAAGTAAGACCACAGTCATCCGTCCCGCCGCCATGATGTGCTAATGTGATCAGCTTTGTACTGTATACCTTGGGAGTGTCAGAAGAATCCTTGAGGCTGCCATCATGAGTTTGAGGTGGTGTCGCAAAAGTTCGTTTGAATGCGGCTTAGTCTGGTTCATTGCGTTTTAGAGCGATATGGAGTGTTTTGGGACAGCAATTGGTTTCCCTCGATGGCGCCGTGAGCGTCACGATGTTGGCGGGAAGCGAATTCAACTGGTCATATCGGAGAATTCATACAGTGAGGGGCATTAACAATTCAGAAATCTTTCTCTTATAACTAGATACAATACATAAAACTTTCCAACCCACTACCATTATATCTATCAGTACAATGTACACCTACTATCTAGCACCTAATCAATGGAGCACTCAAGAGGAACTCCATCCTCTACCACAAGCTCCATCGGCTTGGCTCCCTCCACCGTTTCTGCCTTCACCTCTCCCACCACCTTCAAGCAAAAGTCGACATCAATAGAGTCACACCCAGGGCTCTGCAGCGCTTCATGCAGCCACACCCTGCACTGATCCACCACTTCAGTCACATCCATTTGACTCAACCGCTTCCCAAATCCAGAGCTGTGCTTTCCTTCGGCTTCCTCCGACCCACAATCACCACTATCACCACCATCACCACCACCACCTCTAACCACTGCCACGTCAGCTCCTTCCCAAAACGTAGCGCACGCACCCAAGTCTCCTTCCGGAAGTTCAGGAAGATCCGTCAAATCCAGCAGCAGCGGAATCTGTGCAAGCTCCCCAAGAATATCATTAACATCAACCACAGAATCTCCACCGTTCCCCTTAGCCATAGACCGACCTTTCCTCTTCAATCCAGAACGTTTCTTGCTCCCAGCAGCATCGGCATAAGCTTTTGGCGTCCGCTTCCCTGTCAGCAGAAACATCCGGTCCTCCTCTGACTTGCACTGACACGCCAGGCACTGACACGGCGTTTCATCCGACGAGGCTGGCTTCAACTGCTTCTCCAGAGCCTCCCAAAGACCCCCCTCTTCCGATCCCGAGTCAACGTCCAGCTCTTCATTTGCTGCTAAAACAGCGGACGCAGGGGAAGGAGGGTCCACGCGCCTAACTTTGGATGGCTGCTGCTGCTGCTGCTGCTGCTGCTGCTGGAATTTGTCACTTGCTGCAGGTGAAAACTCCAGATTCCGCTTCCGCTTTCCGAGAGGAGCTTCGTCAGGGGACAGTCGCTCTTGGGACATAGCAACAGCAGCACCAGGAGCAGCAGACGGAGCGACAGGAGCAGCAGACGGAGCGACAAGAGCAGCAGCAGCGGAGGGGATTTGCGTTCCGCTGCCGCGACCGGGGGGCAGCTGCAGCAGAGAGATGCGCATTGGCTGCACCGCCGGGAGCGGAGGAGGAATGGCCACGTGGCCTTGCTGAGGTGTCACCTCAGGCTGCGACATGACGTTGTTAGCCAAGGCCGGCTCGACAAGAAGCTCCGGGAACTCGTCGCCTGCGACGTCCAGCGACGAGAAGTCGACGTCGCCACCAGTAGCATGGAACGCGTCGAGAAGGAAGTCGCCAGCATCGCCGAGCGCATCGCGGAGCGCATCGCCAAGGCACGCATCGCTGAGTTTGCTCTCGAGAATCACGCGAGTCTCCTTCACGAGGTCCGGTTTCACTGCGATCTGGCTCACGTCGTTCGCGGCAAGCTCGGTCGCAGTCAGATCCCTTCCAGTCAGCTCAACGGCAGTCAGCTCGTCAACCAGATTGACCTCGGCGATCAGGCTCGTCTCGTCCGTCAGATCCAAGTTCAGGATCCAATCAGCGCCGTCCGCAGACCCCGCGGCAACCGCAGCCGCGGCAGCAGACGATGAGCTCTCCTCGACGATCAGATCTTCCAGGTTTCCGAATGCGCCGACAGGAACCTCGTCAACGTTAATGTTACCGTTAACGTCCAGTTGATTGTCGGACGGAACAGACAGGAACTCCGGAAGTGGGAGGTCGTCGGGGAAAGAGATTCGCGCGGAGGTCGCGAGCAGCTCGGTGGAAGCGTCGTCGTTGGAAGCAGCAAACTCGTGCGACATTCACAACCAGGGCGCGATGAAAAAACGGCGATTGAGAGAGCGACCGGACAGCGAGGCTTGGCTCTGCGGAGGCTGAGGCGAGTATACTCAGCGGCCAGACAGTCTACTTGGGAAGAGTTCAAACACAGAAGCGCACAAAGGAATGAAAACAGACTAGCAGAATATGTAGTAAGTTGGCCTCCTAGTAGGCCGAGGACTGCTGAAAGAGGCTTCCGATGGGGAGGGGAAACGCACTCACAAACCAGGTACCATTATGTTGCTGGGTTTTCAGTGGTGTGCAGAACGGTTTGATTCGGTATGAGCGGTTGAAGCGGTGTGTTGTGTCGATTCCAAGGTTTTAGGGGGACCAGAAATTCGAGGATCAAGCAGCAGCGACGCGGAATGCCAGGGCGAGCATCGCAATTTGATTAGACTCCGACGAATGTCCGGAGGAATATGGGTCGCAGGGAATGCACGGACGGGCATGTGTCGCAGGGAATGCATCTAGGAATCCGGGTAGCAAGGATTTCGCAAATGTGTTTGGGTCGCGAAGAATGCCCAGAGAAATTTAGTCGCAGAGCGCGAAGGGAAATTCTGGGCGACGTAGGCGGAGGTCCCCCGAGAATCCCGATGGCCAACCCACGAGCAATGGCGGGAAAAGTGCGGAGAGTTGCTCCCAGTTGGCCACGGGCGGGAACGAGTACATGCCCGTTCGAAAACAGGCATGCAAGCCAGGGGTGGCTGTGGGATAGTAGACTGCAGTGGTACGGTTCGGTAGTCATAGGGAAATGTGTAAATTGCTTACCCGTACTACATGAATTAATCGTCTAAAATACGAATGTAGTTTCTACAACCACAACTCTGTGACGGACTCCCTGCACAAATTGCGACCCAAAACGTCTCAACAATATCCAATGTAGCGATCATTGTGATGACGGAGCTATGGATACAGCGCGAAACTGATTCACACTCTTAGCCCCAGCTTCCAACTCTTGCTTCTCCCTCTTGCTGTCCCAACCATGCTCCTTGGCCAATAGCTTGACAACACGTGGCAAGGCATGCATTGCAGCATCAGCATCCAGGAAGGCGATACGCGATCGGCGACACAGGAAGTCTGCTGCAGTCTCGCAGAACTCGTTTCGGGCAGCAAAAACTACTTCAGCCTCAATGTCAGGGAACCCTGGCGCAAGGCGCTCGGCCAATAGCTCAGTCTGAGGGGGATGGGAAAGAACGGACAGTTGTAGATGTTCTTAAATAGCACAAGGGCCAAGATACTGCGTGGGCTAAAAGCAACAAACCTTCAGTGCCTTATTGGTGCATTTACCTGTGTCTGGAAAAAAGTCCTACCAGAGGATGGCACATGATACATATTCCAGCAAGAGAGAATCCAACATGGCAAAACACTTACAGTTGCTATCTCCTTCACTTTGCTTGCATTCGTCCCATAAGACCGCACCAGGTGGTACACCACCGCGGAATCCAGCCGGTACGGGAGGATCCGACGGTCAGGAGCCACCCGCAGCACATCGGCGTTCTGCGCGAGCTGGGAGAAGAGCGCAGGGGTGAAGCCAGCAGCGCCTGTGAGGGGCAGATGCTCCGTGACGCTGGGAGGTAGGGCGAGAGTGCTATTGCTGCTGCTGCTGCTGGTGGTGGTGGTGGTTGATGGGTTGGTGGGGCTGCTGGTGGTTGGTGCTGTGAGGTTGCCGACTCGAATGGCTGTGTTGACCGTGTCCTCTGCCATGCTGAGGATGACGGGAAGCAGGGTGGAGATGAGGGGAGAAAAAACAACAGGGAGTTTAAAGTCGCCGACTTGGATGGCTGTGTCGACCGTGTCCTCTGCCATGCTGAGAGACAAGGAGAGAGGGGGAGGGAAGCAGGGACGCAGGGAAGGAGGGACGCAGGGAAGGGAGAGAGATAAATATTAGCAAAAGCAGTTGCGCGAAGTGGCAAGAAGAAAGTGAGCGTGGAGTGATGTGTTTTACATGCAAAAACAACGATATACATAAGTAGGCAAAATCTGTTACACTCACCTCCTGTACGTGGTCCACTTGCCACCTGTGACTGTAACGAGAGTGCCTCCCTCCACCATCACAGTGTGCTCTCGGACCACATTCGATGTATCTGCCTTGCTCCCTTCCGTCTGCTGCCCCTCCTCTGTCTTCATCCCTTCCGGGTTCCCTGCTCCTGCCGCACCTCCCTCGGGTTTACCCTCTTCTTGTGCGGGTGTTTTCGACTTGACCCCTTTCCGCAGAAGGGGGCGGAGCCCGCCCCACACAGACAGGACATCTTCCTTGCGCACCTGCAGTTACCAAGTTACCACACATGGAAAGCAATCACATTAGCTGACTTCAAAACTAACAGAAGAGAGATTACTATGATAGGTGGTTTGACTGACAGTTGATGGTTTGGCACGTGCTCAGACCCAAAAGATGTAGAAAGTTTGAATCGTTGGTCTGTCTGCAGTTGTTGCATGCTGAGTGATTAGCCCAGAATGCACATAAGCAGTTGCCCTCGTTACACTCACATGCACATCCAGGTAGTTGCTAAGGGTATCCACGATGAATTGAACCTCCTTCTCCGTAAGCACCGCACAACCACCACCTCCAAAAGCGAGCTTATTTCCGCACATCAAAACCAATCACCCACACCAGATCCAATCACTCACATCCACGTCCAGGTAGTTGCTGAACCACGATGAACTGAACCTCCTTCTCCGTGGGAACAGGCACATCCACCACCTCCGAAGGCGCATCTGTCGTTCCCGCCACCACCCTCCCCAGCCACCACCCTCCCCAGCCACCACCCTCCCCAGCCACCACCCTCCCCAGCCATCACCCTCCCCAGCCACCACCCTCCCCAGCCACCACCCTCCCCAGCCATCACCCTCCCCAGCCACCACCCTCCCCAGCCACCACCCTCCCCAGCCACCACCCTCCCCAGCCACCACCCTCCCCAGCCACCACCCTCCCCAGCCACCACCCTCCCCAGCCACCACCCTCCCCAGCCATCACCCTCCCCAGCCACCACCCTCCCCAGCCACCACCCTCCCCAGCCACCACCCTCCCCAGCCACCACCCTCCCCAGCCATCACCCTCCCCAGCCACCACCCTCCCCAGCCACCACCCTCCCCAGCCACCACCCTCCCCAGGGAATCAATGTGCGGCAGGCATTGCACTCACAAAAAACTCAACCCAATCACTCACATCCACGTCCAGGTAGTTGCTGAGCGTATCCACGATGAACTGAACCTCCTTCTCCGTGGGTACCGGCACATCCACCACCTCTGAAGGCGCGCTTATTGCACCGTGATGCTTGTGTTGATATGAATCCATCACAACCGGTTCCAAACAGTTGCCTTCGTTACACTCACATCCACATCCAGGTAGTTGCTCAGGGTATCCACGATGAATTGAACCTCCTTCTCCGTGGGAACAGGCACATCCACCACCTCGGAAGGCGCGTCTGTCGTTCCCGCCACCACCCTCCCCAGCCACGGAAGCATGAACATCACCCTCCCGTCCGCCGTCTTCGGTATAAGCAGACCCACGTTTCCGCCGCCGACGCCGCTGCCGCTGGCAGTGCCTGCCCCTGCGCCTGACGTGCTGCCTGAGGCTGCTCCCAGGTAGAAGTCGGGGAGAACAACGTGCGAGCCAGAGGAAGCCAGGACGGCGAGAGGAGTGTTGGGGTCTGCCATACGGCGAATGCTGTTTGGAAACCGGGGAGGGAGAGGGGGGAGGAGCGGTTGGGAATTGAGGTGCAGATTGTTTTACATTGTGGTGCCAGAGCCTGATGTGCTGCCAGAGGCTGCTCCCAGCTAGAAGTCGGGGAGAACGACGTGGGAGCCGGAGGAGGCGAGGACTGCGAGAGGCGTGTTGGGATCCGCCATACGGAAAATGCTGTTTGGAAGGAGGGATATGGGTGTGGGGAGGGCGGGCAGGAATTGGGTGTGGCGGGAGGGGGGAGGGGGGGGGGGGGGGGAGAGAAAGAGGGTTGGGGGTTGTGAGCCTCACGTGCTGCCTCAAGCGGCTCCCAGGTAGAAGTCGGGGAGAACGACATGGGAACCGGAAGAGGCGAGCACTGCGAGAGGCGTGTTGGGATCTGCCATTCGGCGAATGCTGTTCAGGATCGAGGGGCGGAGGCGGGGGCTTAGGGGGGAGAGAGAGGGAATGTGGAGGGCAGGGAGCGGGGAGGGGAATGTGGCGCGAAAGGGGTTCGAATTGTGAGCTTGGCGTGCTACTACTGGCTGCGCCTGACGTCCTGCTAGTGGCTGTGCCTGCCTGCCCCTGCGCCTGACGTGTTGCCCCAGGCGGTTTGCAGGTAGAAGTCGGGGAGGGAGACGTGGGTGGGAAGTGAGGACTGCAAGAGGAGTGTTGGGATTGGCCAAACTGTGAATTTTGTCTTGAATTGGGATTAGAGGAAGACGTGGAAATACAGATGTGTTGCTACCCTTAAAAGCCGTTATAAACCCCGTGGCTTTCTTTTGTTCCACAATGAACGTCCACCTCAGTGTGTCTTTTCCTTTACTTTCACGATTCTTCCTCCATATGTCCCGCACTTGTTCACAAGCACTATGTCACCTTTCACCTCCTTTCAGCCCCTCGCATGCCCCCCACCTTCTCACCTGTCGCAGTAAGCGCCTGTGGCATTCACCACACCTTCGGGCGCACATCCACCTGCTTCCCCGTCTGCTCGCCCCTCACCACGGCGCCCTCCACTTTCCCATTCCTCCCTCCCATTCCCCTTCTCCCACCTTGCCCCCCACCCTCACTCACCTGTCACAGTAAGCGCCTGTGGCATTCACCACCACTTTCGCGCGCACGTTCACCTGCTTCCCCGTCCACTGCTCATTCTCCGCCTTTCCCCCAACTCCCATTTCCCCTTCTCCCACCTCCCTCTCCCCCACCTCTCACCTGTCGCAGTAAGCGCCTGTCGCGTTAACCACGACCTTCGCGCGCACGTCCACCTGCTTCCCCGTCAGCTCGTCCCTCACCACGGCGCCCTCCACTCGCCCAGTCGGGTCTGTCTTTAACGCGGACACGCTCGCGTGGTTGAGCACGACTGCGCCTGCGCGTGCTGCAGTGGTGGCGAGCGCGAGGTTCAACCGCGCGTCGTCCATCTGCCCATCGTAGTACAGGACTCCCGCCTTCAGCGTGCGGCCGTCTGATGAGGCGGAAGAAGACAAGGGGAAAAGAGGTGTAGATTGGCTGTCCAGTGGCCGCACAGGTGACTAAAGAGGCAACCGTCGTCCCCCATCGTGCTACAGCACTCCCGCTTTCAGCGGCAGAGACGTTTGAGGGAAGAGGGTAGTGCCGTTTAAGGTGACTCTTGAACCAAGTGTCATCAACCAGTTCATTGTATCAAATATGACTTCTGAATCAGGATTGCTACACTGGCCGCTATAGGGTGTTTTGGTTTTCACCACTCACCTCGTGCCTTGTGTGCAAGCGTCGGAACCATCCCAGTAGCTTCAGCTGCCGTGACCACGCGGGACATGTAGAGCACCTTCTTCCCCGCTATAATATCATACGCTTTAAGCCCGGCCCAGTAGTACGGCACCTCCCACCAATGGTAGCACGGCGTGAGCGTGGGTAACGGCCAGACCAGGTGCGGAGCGTTGCGAATCAGAATGCCTCGTTCTGCGAGGGCTTCGTTCACGAGGCGAAGCTGGGCGAGATCTCTGCGAAGGAAGGCCTTTTCGAGGTAACGAACGCCTGGATCGAAGGGGGGAAGTGTGGAGGGGGGTTCAGGAGGAAAGGAGCGTGATGTGCTGCCTGCTGCAAGGACTACGGGAAAAGGACGTGTGAGAAAACAGAAACCCAAGCTCGTTGAGCAGGAATTACGGAAGTTATTCTTCCACACGCTTTCGACGGGACTGACCTCCATGAACGAGTTTGGTGCTTCTAGAGGATGTGCCACAACTGAAGTCGTCTCGCTCCACCATCGCCACGTGGAGGCCCCGCGTAGCAGCGTCCAACGCCACGCCAGCTCCAGTAGCGCCGCCGCCTATAACGAGGATATCGAATGGCCGCGCAGAGCTGCTCCCAGCGAGAGCTGACTTCTGAACCTGCCTCGACGGAACCTCGTCGGCAAGCTCTGGATGGGGAGAAGGAAAACATTGAGCTTTACATCCAGCTGTTTGTTCAGAAATTCACCTAAGATACGCAAAATCGCATTCAAAAGAATGGGAACTCAGACACGTGGATATCACCGAAAGTGCAGCGTGAAATGTGCATCGCAAATGGTTCGCCTGATCAATCGTGCGTAGGCTTCTAGAGTCAGGCATGTAAAACAATGGAAGACTGACAACACTGTCGAACCACACCATGGCACGTACTGGGTAGGTTCTTAGGAGGGTCGGCATGGCCGGTGGAGTGGATGTAAGCCGCGAGAGCAGCAGCTGCGCCTGCACCTCCGAAGAGTACCACCTTTGAGAACAACCGACCGGTTGTGCGAATGCTCATTCTGGCTATTCTGAACTGCTAGCTGATCCGACGAGCTGGATTGAGTTGCGAGTATCTGACTACTCGGTGCTACGAAATCATCGGCTGGCTGTCGCGACGCAACCAGAACCGGTTGCAGCACAATATATGTCCACGCAAAGAAGCTGCGATGCCACCGACCTTGATGTCACGTCAATGCGACTCGAAACTTGATAGGAACGGCACTGCAACACGACTCGTACACTAATCTCAAAAGTTCATCTAGCAAGAACCCAGACGCTGTCTGATTATCTCTGCTAATGAGTATACTACTGATTGGGAAAGGCTAGACGAAGCCTGAATTGCCTGAATAACTGCAGAAGACGGTGTGAATCTGCAATAAATGATTCCTGAATCCTGGACAACAATACTGACTCGTTCCTGATGAGCAACTGATATTGCTCCCCAACGGACGAAAGGGATTAGGAGGAATGGAGCTGTGATTGTTTGTGATCCATGGACCGAGACCAGGCTGGAACAGCATGTGAAATTCAAGGTCAAGCAAATCCCGAGACATGTCAGACATGTGGACCCGCGATTCCCGAGGTGCGTCCCTTTCCCGCGCGTTGCTGGACAGAGATGGGTCATCGGTGGCCCAATATGAGTCAGCCATGGTCCAACAACCTATTCGCGGCACGTAGGCAGCCACGTGCGAATGGAGAAGTCGGAATCGCGGTTGGTGGGGCGAGATGCGCTGGCAGCCCCATAAATCCACGATGTCATTGACGCGGCGGAGAAAAATCAGGTTTAGAATGACTCTCAACTTCATACAAGCTGCTGTGTGTACGCGAGCTCTTAACCTAATACAAACTCTTCTCCATACAAGTTTCATGCATTAATATAAAATCGTTTGTGGTGGGCCAAGAAGTCTGGCTTGCTTGGACATTTCGGCCAAATGCCAGTCCTCTAAGTACCATTCTGGAGTGCTATTCGTTGGAAATACTTCTTCACACAACTTAACATCACCTCGAAGTAGGCCCTGCTTGCCAAAACAGATGGTTCGAAGGGCAAACACTTAGAAAATGGACGTCATAAGAGTACACAGACGAAGAACAAAACACAAAAAGACCGAGAGAAACGAAATATAGCCAGAAGCATAACAAAAGGCATACCTGGAAGTGGTTCAGTAAATGGCCAGATGACGCGGGCAAGTCTACTCCATTATCCACTGGCTCAATCGTACGATGCACCTGGACGGATTGTGGTCGTGAGATGGGCCGTTCAATCAAACGTGTATGCAGACACTAGGGAACAACGGCAAACAAACTGAAACTAATCTGCATACATATTTATGTAAATATATTCAACACACACACACACACACATCCAATGCATCAGCATTACTTGCCTGCATGGCCTTGACGAGTTTTGTGTTGGCGATAACTTTCCGATGCCCGAAGTAATTAACGCACTTATCCTCCTCATGACCCGCATTCTTGGGCCCTACGCAGTAGATGTGCGGCCAGTGGAAGGGCACTCGCTCAAGATAAGAGTGCTCCGATGGGGGCTGAGGGCTGAGAGACAACAAGAGAGATGGGAACGGGGAAGAGCATTCGGTCAAGATAACAGTGCGCTGATGGAGGCTGAGGGGTGTGGCTGATGAGAGAGGTAGGGGTTGAGGACTAGTTTTGAGGAGCCTCAAAAGCTGTGGAAGGGCATTCACTCAAGGTAAGTGCTGCGATGCAGCTCCAATGGGCTGTGGGCTGTGGGCTCCGATGCTCCAGGTAAAAGTGCTCCGATGCGGGCTGTGGGCTGTGGGGTGACACGAGAGGCGGGGATTGGTGACGTGAAGACAGTAATGAAAGTGATTTTTGAGTCGACTACATATGAGACAAATGCGTCCTGATGGGGGGCGAGGTCTGTGGGGTGACGAGAGAGGTGAGGTAGGGCATGCCAGGGCGCTCCTGTAGCAAGCACTCAAAGGCAGCATTTGATGGACCACCAAAGGCTGCCAAAGGTGAGGTAGGGCATGCCAGAGTGCTCCTTTAGCAACCACTTTTGAGATGTCTGAAAAGTCAAGGGTGATATAGGGTGCATCAGAGTGTTCCTGTAGCAAGCACTCAAAGGCAGCATTCGATGGACCACCAGAGGCTGCCAAAGGTGAGGTAGGGCATGCCAGAGCGCTCCTGTAGCAAGCACTCAACTGTAGCACATTACTCAGTTCACACACACTTACCCCACACACATATCACCCATTCTACCACACACACATATCACCCATTCTACCACACACACATATCACCCATTCTACCACACACACATATCACCCATTCTACCACACACACATATCACCCATTCTACCACACACACATAGCACCCATTCTACCACACACACATATCACCCATTCTACCACACACACATATCACCCATTCTACCACACACACATATCACCCATTCGACCACACACACATATCACCCATTCTACCACACACACATATCACCCATTCTACCACACACACATATCACCCATTCTACCACACACACATAGCACCCATTCTACCACACACACATATCACCCATTCTACCACACACACATATCACCCATTCTACCACACACACATATCACCCATTCTACCACACACACATATCACCCATTCTACCACACACACATATCACCCATTCTACCACACACACATATCACCCATTCTACCACACACACATATCACCCATTCTACCACACACACATATCACCCATTCTACCACACACACATATCACCCATTCTACCACACACACATATCACCCATTCTACCACACACACATATCACCCATTCTACCACACACACATAGCACCCATTCTACCACACACACATATCACCCATTCTACCACACACACATATCACCCATACTTACAACACACACATATCACCCATTCTACCACACACACATATCACCCATACTTACAACACACACATATCACCCATACTTACAACACACACATATCACCCATACTTACAACACACACATATCACCCATACTTACAACACACACATATCACCCATACTTACAACACACACATATCACCCATTCTACCACACACACATATCACCCATTCTACCACACACACATATCACCCATTCTACCACACACACATATCACCCATTCTACCACACACACATATCACCCATTCTACCACACACACATATCACCCATTCTACCACACACACATATCACCCATTCTACCACACACACATATCACCCATTCTACCACACACACATATCACCCATTCTACCACACACACATATCACCCATTCTACCACACACACATATCACCCATTCTACCACACACACATATCACCCATTCTACCACACACACATATCACCCATTCTACCACACACACATATCACCCATTCTACCACACACACATATCACCCATTCTACCACACACACATATCACCCATTCTACCACACACACATATCACCCATTCTACCACACACACATATCACCCATTCTACCACACACACATATCACCCATTCTACCACACACACATATCACCCATTCTACCACACACACATATCACCCATTCTACCACACACACATATCACCCATTCTACCACACACACATATCACCCATTCTACCACACACACATATCACCCATTCTACCACACACACATATCACCCATTCTACCACACACACATATCACCCATTCTACCACACACACATATCACCCATTCTACCACACACACTCACCGGCAGCGTTCAATGGACCACCAGAGGCTGCCAAAGGTGAGGTACGGCGCGCCAGAGTGCTCGTTCAACAACCCTTGGAGGGTTTGGGGCGGCTGGATGTAGAGAAACTCGTCAAAGTCAGCAAAGATCACCCACCTGGCGTAGTGGGGAGTGAGAGGAAGAGCGAGAGTGAAGGAGAGAGAAAGAGAGATGTGTGTGAACGTGGGAGTAAGAGAGGGTAACAGGTGGAATGTGGGTCTGGGGTGGTTGGATGTAGAGAAACGCGTCGAAGCCAGCAAAGGTCACCCACCTGGAGGGTGAGGGAGGGAGAGAGGTGGGTGAGAGAGGGAGAGAGGGAGGAACAGGTGGAATGAGGGTTTGGGGTGGCTGGATGGAGAGAAACTCGTCAAAGTCGACAAAGATGACCCACCTGGAGGGTGAGGGAGGGAGAGAGAGAGATAGATGCGGTGAGGAAGAGAGAGAAGGACGAGAAAGAGAATGAGAGATGGTGAGAGGGAGTGAGAGAGGCAGTCAGTCAACACTCGTTTTCAGAATCCATTCACAGTTCTTCACAACTCGATACTGCTGCTGGAGCGTCTACTGAAGACACTGCAGCCCTTGTATTATGAGTGAGGAGGTTCTTGGGATGGAAGGAGCATAGGGGCTTGTAACACGTTCAATAAGGAAAAACTCACTTGGACACATATTTCACCCGATAGAGGCAGTTATTCAACACAAGCACGTTTTGCTTGGACTCATATCTGGAAAGGGGAAGCACAGGGGGACATGAAGCACAGGGAGACGGGAAGCACAGGGGAATGGGATGCAGAGAGGGGAGAAGCACAAGGGAATGGGATGCAGAGAGGGGAGAAGCACAAGGGAATGGGATGCAGAGAGGGGAGAAGCACAAGGGAATCAGAAGCGCAGGGGGGGAAGATAATGAGACTGTTTGTCATATTATAACAAACTTAGAAACACTGTCGTTAACTTACTTGTACCAGCTCTCTCCCCACTCAGTTGTCCCTTCACCACTCAAACGTCTGCTCCCCGCTCACTCGTACCCACCACACTACCTCCCCACTCACTTGTACCCCTCCCCACTCACTTGTACCCTCCCCGCATGTCCAATATCTCCATCATCCCTGCTGCTATGTAAGGCTCCAGGACCTGTGAGTGGGTGAGTGAGAGAGTAAGTGAGGGACGGTGGGAGAGAGGGAGTGAGTGATGAAGTGAGTTAGGAAGGGAAAAGTAGGAAGGATAAGAGTGGCAGTGGGAGCGAGGAAATGAGTGAGTGTGGGAGTGTGGGAGGGAGGGAGGGAGGGAGGGAGGGAGGGAGGGAGGGAGGGAGGGAGGGAGGGAGGGAGGGAGGGAGGGAGGGAGGGAGGGAGGTGAGAATAAGGAAAAGGAACAGTGATCCCTCTTGAGAAAGCAAACGGATCAGAGGGAGCTAATGAGGCAAGGGTAAGGCACATTCATTTAATATAAGGCAAGGCAGTCTGCCACTGTCTAGGAGCTGATACAGTGTAAAAGTATGTACAGTGTATGACGCGTATTCAGACAAAAAGCGTTCTTTTACGTGCATATGTGTCTCAGAGGAGAAAGAAAGTGTACGTTCAGGGTAGGGCACCTGGGTGCGTTGCGTTGTGCAGAGCATAAGAGTGAGAACAACGGCTCACCTCGTAAATGTCTTCCACAACAGACGCACCGTCGTTGAGAACAAAGTATTCCACACGCAGGTAGTGCAGGGCTATCTGGTAGCGGGGGGAGGGGAGGAGAGGGGAAGGGGAGATGTTTGGTTTGGAAGGGAGGAAGGAAGGCGGGGTGTGGTGTGGCACATGGTGTGTGTGGGGAAGAAAGGGGGGCCTGAGATAGAAGCACCGTGGTTGAGAACAAAGTACTCCACACCAAGGTAGTGCAGGGCTATCTGGGAAGGGGAGAGAAGGAGGGAGGGACACAGAGTGGGGTGTGCGATACATGGTGTGGGAAAGAAGGGGGGCCTGTGACAGAGGCAGTTTGGTTGTTTTTGAGTCGACTCAAAAACAGGCCTGTGACTGAGGCAGTGTGGTTGTTTTTGAGTCGACTCAAAAACAGGCCTGTGACTGAGGCAGTGTGGTTGTTTTTGAGTCGACTCAAAAACAGGCCTGTGACTGAGGCAGTGTGGTTGTTTTTGAGTCGACTCAAAAACAGGCCTGTGACAGAGGCAGTTTGGTTGTTTTTGAGTCGACTCAAAAACAGGCCTGTGACTGAGGCAGTGTGGTTGTTTTTGAGTCGACTCAAAAACAGGCCTGTGACTGAGGCAGTGTGGTTGTTTTTGAGTCGACTCAAAAACAGGCCTGTGACTGAGGCAGTGTGGTTGTTTTTGAGTCGACTCAAAAACAGGCCTGTGACAGAGGCAGTGTGGTTGTTTTTGAGTCAAACAGGCCTGTGACTGAGGCAGTGTGGTTGTTTTTGAGTCGACTCAAAAACAGGCCTGTGACTGAGGCAGTGTGGTTGTTTTTGAGTCGACTCAAAAACAGGCCTGTGACAGAGGCAGTGTGGTTGTTTTTGAGTCGACTCAAAAACAGGCCTGTGACTGAGGCAGTGTGGTTGTTTTTGAGTCGACTCAAAAACAGGCCTGTGACTGAGGCAGTGTGGTTGTTTTTGAGTCGACTCAAAAACAGGCCTGTGACTGAGGCAGTGTGGTTGTTTTTGAGTCGACTCAAAAACAGGCCTGTGACTGAGGCAGTGTGGTTGTTTTTGAGTCGACTCAAAGACAGGCCTGTGACTGAGGCAGTGTGGTTGTTTTTGAGTCGACTCAAAAACAGGCCTGTGACTGAGGCAGTGTGGTTGTTTTTGAGTCGACTCAAAAACAGGCCTGTGACTGAGGCAGTGTGGTTGTTTTTGAGTCGACTCAAAAACAGGCCTGTGACTGAGGCAGTGTGGTTGTTTTTGAGTCGACTCAAAAACAGGCCTGTGACTGAGGCAGTGTGGTTGTTTTTGAGTCGACTCAAAAACAGGCCTGTGACTGAGGCAGTGTGGTTGTTTTTGAGTCGACTCAAAAACAGGCCTGTGACTGAGGCAGTGTGGTTGTTTTTGAGTCGACTCAAAAACAGGCCTGTGACTGAGGCAGTGTGGTTGAGAACGAAGTACTCCACGGCCACGCAGTGCAGGGCTATCTGGGGAGGAGACGAAGGGACGCAGAGGGGGGTGAGGGGCACATGGTGTGGGAAAAAAAGTGGCCTGGGATAGAAGCACCGTCGTTGAGAACAAAGTACTCCCTGGCCAGGTAGTGCAGGGCTATGTGGGGGAAGGGAAGAGATGAAGGGACGCAGAGGGGGGTGAGGGGCACATGGTGGAAAAAAGTGGCCTGGGATAGAAGCACCGTCGTTGAGAACAAAGTACTCCCTGCCCAGGTAGTGCAGGGCTATGTGGGGGAAGGGAAGAGATGAAGGGACGCAGAGGGGGGTGAGGGGCACATGGTGTGGGAAAAAAAGTGGCCTGGGATAGAAGCACCGTCGTTGAGAACAAAGTACTCCCTGCCCAGGTAGTGCAGGGCTATGTGGGGGAAGGGAAGAGATGAAGGGACGCAGAGGGGGGTGAGGGGCACATGGTTGTGGTTGGGAAAAAAGGGGGCCCTGCGAGAGAGGAACCGTCGTTGAGAACAAAGTACTCCCTGGCCAGGTAGTGCAGGGCCATTCTGGGGGAAGGGATGTGATGATGAAAGATAATGAGGGGAAGAGGGGAGGGGTGGGGCAGAGGAACCGTCGTTGAGAACAACGTACTCCACGCCTAGGTAGTGCAGGGCTATCTGGGGGAAGGGAAGAAATGAAAGGAAGGACGCAGAGGGGGGAGTGGGGCACATGGTGCGGGAACGAAGCGGCACATGGCCTGGGTTAAAAGCACCGTCGTCGAGAGCAAAGTACTTCACACCCAGGTAGTGCAGGGCTATCTGGGGGAAGGGAAGAGACAGGGAGGAAGCGATGTGACGAGGTGTGGGGCCGTTAGTATGGGGCATATCGCACACCCAGGTAGTGCAGGGCTGTCTGGGGTAAGGGAAGAGACAGGGAGGAAGCGATGTGACGAGGTGTGGGGCCGTTAGTGTGGGGCACATCGCACGCCCAGGTAGTGCAGGGCCTGCCTTTGAGTCGACTCAAAAGCAGTGTGGGGCGACTCAAAAGCAGTGTGGGGCGACTCAAAAGCAGTGTGGGGCGACTCAAAAGCAGTGTGGGGCGACTCAAAAGCAGTGTGGGGCGACTCAAAAGCAGTGTGGGGCGACTCAAAAGCAGTGTGGGGCGACTCAAAAGCAGTGTGGGGCGACTCAAAAGCAGTGTGGGGCGACTCAAAAGCAGTGTGGGGCGACTCAAAAGCAGTGTGGGGCACATCGCCCACCCAGGTAGTGCAGGGCTATCTGGGGTAAGGGAAGAGATGAAGGGATGTGACGAGGTGTCGGGCAGGCAGTGTGGCCTGCACATTCATTCATACCTGCAGCCACTCCTGAACAGTCTTTGGGTTGAGGAGGCGGTACATGGGGTAGGAGCAGAAGGCCAGGTTGTATGGGGGAGGTGCATCAATGGGAAACTCTTCTGGCTCCTCCTCGTGCATCACCACTGCCTGCTCGTCTGCATGACAGTGGGGGCAGAGAAGGGAAGCACCCATCCACACCCATTCGAGCCCATCTCGCCTCTCCAAGGGAGGTGCATTGATGTCACCTTTGTCCTGCCCCTCCTCGTGCATGACCACTGCCTGCTCGTCTGTGAGAGAGGGGGAGAGGGGGGGGGGAGGTTGGGTGGGAAGGGGGTGGCGAGGGAGAGCTGGAAGGAAAATGAAAGGCTCTGTACCCATTTGTATCCATCTGCCCCTCCTTGTGCATCATCGCTGCCTGCTCATCTGCATGACAGGGGGGGGGGGGAGGGAGGGAGGGAGGGAGGGAGGGAGGGAGGGAGGGAGGGAGGGAGGGAGGGAGGGAGGGAGGGAGGGAGGGAGGGAGGGAGGGAGGGAGGGAGGGAGGGAGGGAGGGAGGGAGGGAGGGAGGGAGGGATCTTAACAAGGTGAAACCACACCAATGAAGGCAATACAGGCAGATCTTGCCCTCTCAATCACCCCCAACAAACTCATTCCCCCCACTCACACACTCTCACTCACTCCCTACCATCATTCACTCACTTCCGCCCACATAGACAGAAATAACTAGCACGAGAACGGCAGTGCCTCCAGTGGTGCCTGTGCTGTTGAACAGCAGAGTAGTGAAGGCAATGCAGGCAAACGCTCCTCATCTACTCACTCCCGCACACTTAGAGAGACATACCTAGCATGAGAACGGCAGTGCCTCCAGTGGTGCCGGTGCTGTTGACCAGCAGAGTACACTCGTAAATTGCCGTCTCGTATAACAGCCAGTGGTGTTCCGAAGGGTAAATTACCCTAACTTTTCCCTCTGCGTACCCTCCATCCAATGCTATCCAGTAGCATTTGCTGGCCTGGAAAGAGCAAAAAAGGGGAAAAAGAAAACAATGTGGTTTCTTATTCAACTTCCTAACAGCAGAAGGTTAAAAAAAAAAAAACAACAACAACAACAACAACAACAAAAACACACATACAAGTGGTTATAACAAAACAAGAGAAAACCAACTCCACACCTGTCAACTCACCCCACTGCATGTCAACTGAACCCACAACGTGTCAATTCAACCCCCACTGCATGTCAACTCACCCCACTGCATGTCAACTCACCCCACTGCATGTCAACTCACCCCACTTCCTCCCTCTTCCTTCAACTCCCGCAGCGAGTGTCCCACAGCAGCGAACTGATTACCATTGATGCGGTAACCACCCGCCATGACGAACCGGTGCTGGCCAATGGGAGCGCCCGAGACAGGTGGCGGCTCCTGATAGGCCCGCTGCAGAAACGGCCGCTTGGTGAGGCAGGGATTGGATATTGATCCGATGTGGCGCATGTTTCCCCCTTCCACGTCAGCATCTGGCGAGGGCAGGGGGAGGGGGAAGGGGAGAGGGAGGGGGAGGGGAAGGGAAAGGGAGAGGAGGGGAAGAGAGGGGGAAATGGGGAGGGAGGGGGAAGTGGAAAAAGAGGGGGAGGGGGAGAGATGCAGTTGAAGTTGGAGGACGAGAGGGAAGAGAGACGGATGGAGAGAAGGGAAGGGAACGGGCAATTGAAATTGGATCTCGAGAAGATAAAGATAATACTTGGCAAGTCAGATTCTAGAAAGGAAAAGGAGGAGAGAAAATCAAACAAACAAACAAACACCTGTCCTGTAATCGAGCTTCCGTGTACTTAGTTCCTCGGGTTGACCCGGCAAAAACACTCCTTGCTTCTGTGCCTGCTGCCAGAGCCTCTCATTCAACTTTGCCTGAGGCGGGGGGGAAAGAAATGGTTTCCGCCTAGCAGCCCCTCCCCCATTCCCCCTCCCCCCCGCTCCCCCTCCCCGCCATCCCTCAGCCTTTCCCGCGCGTCCATGCTGGTGCGAAGATTGAGAGCCTTTCTCCTGGTCCGAGCGTCTGAAATTCCCGTAAGAACCGGCGCCGATCCCGCCGTGTTTCACGCCATTGGTCCCGGAATGTCCGCGTTGCTGGCGCATCAGCTGCTTCCGCGCAAGCTCCGCGCTGGACTGGCGGAGAAGCTTCTCGCGGTCGTAGCTGGCGGAGATGTTGAGAATGGCCAGGAGAATCAGCGACGGCCCGAACAGAACAATACACGTAGTTAATAGCGAGACGCGAGGTCGACCCGCTGTTTCGTTAGGTGATGCTGCAGCTCCTCCCGGATCAGAATTTCCTGCTGCTGACAGAAAGGCGGAGGAAGAGGCGTGTTGGTCTGTTTTATTAAGTACCAGCTTGACAACTTCTGTTTTACTGGGAACTTTCTGGAACGAAGCGACATTTCGACGATGCGTCGTTGACGAAGAGCCGGCCTCTTCGCCAGGGTAACCCTCCGACACCATTGTCGCGCCGCCGGAAACTCTGCGACTAACAAACGCTAGCAGCAATGACGACCGAAGCGCCGTCGCAGTTTGTTAAACGCGGTCATTCCCCTGCATATACCTCAATGCAGCTAACTGATGATTATCCTCAAGTCGAATGAATAATGACCTCCTTTATGTGCCTCGATTCCAGCAAAATTTGTCCTCGGTCAACAAGAGCTAGAATGTCTATTTCGCTGTCTGAATTACGCTACACATGGAAACCATGATAACACCAGCCAAATTGGTGGTTACAGAGGATTCTTACAAACTAAGGTACCTGGTAGGTAGTACGCCAATAAAAGCCACTGGTAGTCGGGTAATTCAGCCAGAAATGATGCCAGAAATGATGTTCATGAGGTATGGTAGTCCTGAATCCTGATTCCTGAAGAAATATGCTCAAAACAGTTTCCTTCAGATATTCCCCAGATAGTCCCAGAGAGACATCACCAGGGTTGATTCCACGATCACTAAAAGCGGTTGAGTACGATAATGTGCACTCTGGAGCGGTATTCAACCTTCACCGCCTTGTACCGCTATTCACCAGCCTGAAAACATTGATAACTTATTCGTATGTCACGTCAACGCATCATGCAAGAATTGGAGAGGACAGGCTTGAACCTTCCTAACGAATGTACGGTATGATACGGTCCAGGTAATACCAGCACGGTGCAATGACGTTTCGGGAAGTTTGAACAGCACCACCAGATCTGCCAGGTGAATAAAAACTTCCTCAGCTAAACCCTGTGCACCATTTTGGAGCCATCGGATTCAGGGCAGGATAGATTGGATTCTCCAATCAAATGTGTTGCAGGTTTCTGTTCTGTTCCCATTGGCACAATTGGGACCGCAACTTGCACTCTGGGACCGTCGATCTGGCTGTATCCTACAGATTTTTTGCCATCATTCCGACCGACCATTGCAGTTTTTCCTCAATCGAAAGTGATTCTCCACAGAACTGAAGAAGACTATACCTTCATTATATACCTTCATTATTTACGTAAAGAACAACATAACCACTTCAGGAAAGATTTGCATCGCATCACAGAACGTTATAACTTGCCTCATGGATCATTGAACCTTATGAGGGTAAATGTGCGTGACGACTGAACTAAAATGTTATCCCACCAGCTGAAAACTCTGGCATCTGCACCACACAACCAAACGGAACAACACAGATGCCACAACAAAGTGTTCACATCCAGCAAAGCAAAGAAAAAGGAAATCCAAGCAACTGACGATGACAGCAAGCATCGGCAGCTTCTTTAAACACGGCACCAACTTACTGGTCTGGGAGGAAGTGAAGAAATCCAATCAGCAGGACGCGTCGGAAGCAATCCCAAGCCATTCAACTGCATAGTAATGTGGAAGGAGCAAGATTGAAGTATTGTGGGTAGAATGGAGCAGCGAGTAATCACAAGAGGTAGCAAAGAGTAGCAAGGGGTATCAGGGAGTAGCAACAAAGTAGCCATCGGTAGTGTGCAGTAGCAGCAAAATAGCACCTTCCAGAGGCCGATGGAGAGGAGGAAGAGGTTAACTGCGGCATACATCATCTTTGGCAGCACCAAGTCCACCTTGGGGTCCTTAAATGGCTCAAACGCTGCAAGGGGTCAGGGGTTTTGTGGGGGTTGAAGGAGAGGAGATGGAAGGGGGAAAGAAGAACGCATTTTGAATCGACTTTAGTCACCTTGGGGTTCTTGAATGACTCAAAGGCTTCAGAAGGAGAAGACTGGGCACCCAAGGGAACCGAGAAACATCCCAGTGTTGATGGTCTTTGGGGCTGAGATGGGTTGCCAGATATGGAAAAGGTAATTCCAGCACTAAAGATGTGGATTGAGATACTAGGTTTTCGAAACACCCAGAATATGTGCAGGCATGAGCTGAGACACCCAGATACATACCAGCGTTGATGGTCCTAAGCGCTGACATAGGTTGCCAGAGGATGGAGAAGGTCACTTCAATGCTGAAGATGTGAAAAATGAAACCGGAAATCAGACACACCCAGAAACATACCCGCACGCATCAATGGTCCTCAGTGCCGAAATAGGTTGCCAGAGGATGGAGAAAGTGATTCCGATGCTGAAGATGTGCACTGAGAAACTGGAAACAAAACACACCCAGAAACATACCCGCATTGATGGTCCTAAGTGCTGAGATGGGTTGCCAGAGGATGGAGAAGGTGATTCCGATGCTGAAGATGTGCACTGAGCTGCCCGCCATCCAGAGCATGAATGCCATCATGAGGAGATTCTTGGTGGGAGACTGCGCCAGGGCCCATGCACGCTGAGAAGGGAATGGCGTAACAAGGAAGAGAAGGGGGGCAAGCAGGGAAACTGGGATGCTGAAGAATTGGCACTAAGCTGCCGGCCATCCAGAGCATGAATGAGGAGATTCTTGGTGGGAGACACGCTGAAAGAGGGAGAAGATGGGGCAACAAGGAGGCGAACGGAGGGTAACAGGGAAACGAGGAGGGACTTCGATGGAATCTGGGATGCTGAAGATGTGAACTGAGCTGCCAGCCATCCAGAGCATGGATTCCATCATGAGGAGATTCTTGGTGGGAGACTGGGCTAGGGCCCATGCACGCTGAATGGGGGAGGTAACGAGGTTAGCAAAGGGAACTGAAGTTGTGAACTGAGCTGCCGGCCATCCAGGGAATGAACCCCATCAGGTGCAGACTTATACGTTCACGCCTTTCCTTGCCTCTTCTATTGGAAAACGAGCATCTCCATGCAGCTTGCTGTTAAGTGATCGACCCCATTCTGTGAGATTCACGTCTTCTCAAGCCTTTCTCACCTCCTGCTTCTTTGCCGGGTCTAGGGCCTTATCTTTCGGTGCCAACGCCTTAGATCCGCTGCCACTGGACACCTGATACAAGCACAGGCGATACAATAACACACACTTAAATCACACATGATACGAGAACATGCACCACCTACAATAACAGTGAGTTTTTAGGACCTGCAAGAGACGGAAGCACGTAACAGGCGCATGAGTCTATATCAGAGCCTCTGCGAATCAGGGGCCTATTACGAATTCTGAGCCGTCTCAGGAACGGTTACACGCATGTGGTTACCAGATTACTGTTACTAGGAGTTACTTGCTCACCAGCTCTGCCGCGTTTCGATTGAATCCAGGCGGATCGGGGACGTCCCTCGAGATTCCCGACGCCGCGTCGGCCAGGTCGACGGCCCATCGGCGCGCTTCCTTCTTTCCATTCGCAGACATGCCTCACGACTGTCGCACGAGTACGAGCTTCCCAGGCACTTCAATGACAAGCCGAGGGACAAGCTACGACTAACGACGCCTTACGACTAGCAACAACGAGGCGCGAGGATAAACGAGTCGCGAAAGCGGAAACGGGTGGTTACTTCTGCGAAACGATGTCGATATTTGACAATGACACCACGGCTAGGTGTGTCCAGTATAACATGCTCCGATATGTCTGCGAGTTTATAGACAAACCCATCTCGGGCCACAGTACTTTGAGAATGTCGGCACCACCGTACCGTAATCGACTCCGCTGCACCGTGAGGAATACACTGTTTTGGGATTGCACCGCATTTGAAGCAGAGATTGACTGTGGAATGTAAAATCTTTCAACAAAAAAAAAAAGGATTCACATCTGCACTGTAGTTGTGGACTGATACACAGTGCAGAATCTATGTAGAGCATGTCAGATCTGAACGCACAACCCGTACATTGTTCACCACCGGCGGCAACTTTTATCTAAGGTATACGGAAGGCAGGGAAGGGAACAATACCATAACTCGCTCACTTGGACTTCAAACCATGAGCACTCAACCTAAGCAAGTCAGCAAATCGCTGACTAAAGCAGCCGCCTTGATTAGCGTAGCCTGGCACGGCTGAGTCCGTAGGCTGTGCTCTGTACTGTACACCTGGAAGCAGCCTCCACTACTAAGCTCCTTCAGCTTCACACCACGAGGTTAGACAAGAACCCTGCAACAAAAATGAGGTTCTCGTTACAATTCAAACACCTGCTGCTGGGTGGTAGACAGACACCTTCCAAGTCTCTCCACTCAGCACCAGCACCGCAGACTGCAGTAGGCGGTAACCAGCACAGCAGCAACACAGACTCCAACCAGGCACGCCAAGGCATGACAGACTGGTCATGCTTTCGCCCGGTTCTTAATGCAATGCAGAGCCATTAACGGTGTGGCCACAGGTTGGCTTGGCTGTTGGTGCAGGAGGAGGAGAATGGAAGTTGGTCAAGCAGGAGTAGAAGTAGAGGCATTGTTGTGTTCACTACCGTTTTCACAGCTGGCATCACTGTTGCCGCTACTGCTGCTGCTCGTAGTGCTGGTAGTGCTGCTGCCACTACCGCTGCCACTGCTGGTGCTTTCAGTGTTGCTGCTGCTTCCACTGCTGCTGCTGCTTCCGGCACTACCACTGCTCCCACTGCTGCTAGTAGCAGCGGCAGGTGGGGCAGTGATGTCGTATTTGCAGAGGGGGCAGGTGGGGCGGGTACGCAGCCACTTGTCAACACAGGCGGAGTGGAAGTGGTGCGAGCAGGGCAGCTCCCTCAGCAGCACCGCGTCCTCGTATGGCCCCAGGCAGATGCAGCACTCCTGGGAGGGAGGAGGAAGGTAATGGAGAGAGAGAGGGCGGAGAGGGAGAGGGGGGGAAGAGGATGAGGAACAGAACGAGTTCGTGCAGCAGAGGCACTGTGCAGCACAACTAGGACGAAGCAAAGAGGGAGCAAGGAGAGAAGATACCGCATATGGTGGAAACTGAGGATGAGAAACACAAAACATAGTCAGAGACTCTGAACGTGGTGCGAAAAGGGAATCTCCAGGATAAGTAGAGAGCGTTAAGGGGTGGGGGAAAGAGGGGTGCAGGGCGGAGAGGGAGGGGAGAAGGGGTGATGGGGCTGGAAGCGGAATGTGGGAGGGAGAATGGAGAGCGGAGATACAGCAATGGGAGCCGAGAAGGAAAGCGTCAACCCAGCCCATCCCCGACCCAATCCATCCCCAACCCACTCCATCCCCAACCCACCCATCCCCAACCCACTCCATCCCCTAAAGCATCAACGGGTATCAACCTACCGCATCATCGTCCGCCACTTCTCTCTCCCGCGGCGGCTGACTCGACCCTCCCACTTGCGTCATGACCCCCCCTGCCGGCTCGTCAATCGTCACCCGAACCTCCTCCTTCCCCTCGGCACCCGCGCTACCCGTTCCGTGCCCGCTGCTGCCCCCCGTACCACCGCTGCTGGTTCCGTGATCACAGCTGCTACCCTTCGGCGCACTGCTATTTAACCCACTACTGCTGCTGGCGCTAGTTGTGGTGGTGGTGGTGCTGCTGCTGCTGCTGCTGCTGCTGCTGGTCGCAACGCCTAGAGCCTCGGTGATGGCGCAGAGCGCGGAGGACGCGGTGAGCGGGCGGCTGCCGCTCGGCGGAGAGCCGCGCCGGCGGAACTTGAACTGCGGGAGGGACTGGATCTGCTCGTTCGTGGCTCCTTCCTGTTCGCCCATGGCGTAGAGGACGGCGATGATGCAGGGCAGGCAGCAGCACACGGCGATGCCCACCAGACACGCGAGCGCGATGCAGAAGATGACGAAGAACACGTCGAACGCCAGAAACGACATGCACACCCTGCGGATTGGGGTTGCGGAGAAACGGTAAGATTCGAGCGGTTATGTCGGTTATGTCACAACAACAACAATGTCGCGAATGAGAGCGTCCTATAGAAATTATGAGGAAAGGAAGGGCGTGTAATTGAAACATCACCAGGAGAGTATGGGAGCGTCTAAGAAAGCTTACCAGGAGAGGATGGGAGCGTCTTCGAATGTGTCGTCGAATGTGGAGATAATCCATGCGAAGCCCACGGACCACCAGAGGAACGAGAAGACCGTGTTCGCCGACTCGATTTGCTTCGCGATGCTGCGAGAAGCCAGGCAGACAAAAAAGCATAGCCAAGAATGGACGTGACGATGACGAAAAGAATGAACGTTTCGGAAATGGGAAGATTCCAGAACTGATTTGCTGGGTGCAGAACTGGTACCGGCGGACTCGAATTGCTGCACACTGAGCAAAGATTGTATCACCAGGAGATATGATGGCAAAGATGATATCGGCGTATCTTTTGGGCCGGCTAAGAAAAGCCACATCTCCGTTCCCCGGCAGTACCTGTCAATCCGATCATCTTCCAATCGCTGCTCTCCCGCACCCGCCTCCGCTTCCTCCTCCTCGTCATCGCTCCCTCTCTGCAGCAACCCCTCGCGAAGATCCCCCGAACTCCCACCCCCCCCTGCTCCCCCTCCCCTTCCGCTTCCTCCTCCGCTCACGCTCCGCAGCCCGCGCAACCCCCGCCTGCTGCTCCGGATCGCTCCGCCGCTCCGCCTGGCCCGAATCCGGTCGCTCCTGCGCTCCTCCGCGCCGTGCTGCCGACGGTCGAACTCCACGAGAACGCACACAATGTGGATGATGCACTGCGCTGAATACCCCATGAGCCACACGCCGAGCGGAGCGGCCGGCTCCTCGTTGTTGTTGCGACTAACGGAGAGCGTCGCGATGGCGACGAGTACGAAGATGAGGTTCCAGAGCGTGTCGAGGAGCACGATGGGACGGGAATAGGCCCAGTTGCTCTGTCGCTCCTCCAGCTGCAGCGAAACGGACAACAAAAAAAGAGAGGGAAGACAGACCAGGAAAGAGCAAGTAGATGAGGTTCCAGAGAGTGTCGAGGAACACGGTGGGACGGAAATAGGCCCAGTTTCTTTAGCACTCTTCCAAGAATACAGGATCAAAAGAAATATATAATTATATAAGATTACGACGCAAAGAAAGAAACGAAGAGACGAAACTAGGTAACGCGAGAAAAGAAAACGTTACAGAACTTTGACACGTAACAACACGAAAGAACGTGTAAAGAAAGAACTCATCAGCTGCGTACCTCTTCTGACGCCGTATCGCGAACCCGTATGGACTGCTGGCGCATCAACCGTTGGCTGCTCGCCTGACGAATCAGCCTCGCCGCTCCTAAGGCGACCGCACCTCCCGTTCTAGGCACCGAACCTGAAGGGACTGCTCTTGTCTCGCTTCCTGGAGATAACGTCAAATCCTCAGACGAATTTCCGCTCCCTATGCTTATCAGCCGGAAACTTCCGCCATCGCCAGCGCTGGTCCCCCTGAGGCTCCTATTCCGACCGCTTCTGCCTCGACTGCTTCTGCTAGCGTTAGTCAAGTCGCTGTTAGTATCACTGGCGGCATTCGTAGACGACACTGGCTCCATTACTTGCTCTCTATCTGTGACGCTGTCACGGATGTCAGGTATGCTACTTGTGGAGTTGTCCCTATTGGAGGCGTCAGACTGGGCTACTGGCTCGAAACTGGAGTTGGGAGCCGTCGCGTCGTCATCGTTTCTTCTCTGCTGTGACATCACGCTCACGAGATCCCTAGCAGGCGTTGCATGAAACTATTGGGAAACCTGGGAGGTGGTGATTCTAATCCTAGCACTCCTATTCTCCGGAGACCGGCATGAAACTACAGGATTCAGGATTCAAAAAGCACAATAAATTTAGAATCTGTACGCAGATGCGCTCAACTAAATCCGCACCGGAACTGAAAACCACGCAAAGCTCGCTGAAATTCGTAAAAAGACAGCTAGCTCATGAGCCCTATGGCAACAACAGATAGCCACAAACCCAGTCAAAACCTGGTTGCATGTCCCCTACAAGCATGTCCCTGTCGAACTCAAGCTCAGCAATACTCCCATGGAGAAAGAAGCGGAACGGAGAGGAAAGCTACCGCGGTGAGATTTGTGGCGAGGAACAGTGGCAGGGGGGTGCTGGAAGTGCTCCGTACCCCTTTGAAAACGCACTGTACCGTATCAAAACAATAGGAAAGCATTTGCACCCTTGCTTTTCAAAGTTGATGCAGGTGCTCTGTCTCTTCAAGATGCAGCTCTTTCCAGCTTTCCGAAGGAATCGAGAGGCTGGTGTTGGTACAGTACGTAGCTGCTCGCCAAAGCTGCTCCACATCGTTTTGCCCTGGGAGTTCCGCGAACGCCCTTGGTTTTGAAAGGCGGGCGGAGGATGAGGTCGGGAGGGACCGCGGGACGGGGAGCGGGGTTGCAGGTTTCGGATTGGAGGGAGACTCGGAGATTGGTTCACGGGCGCGGATTTGGGGGGTTTGTGTGCGGAACTGGATTTTGAAGGCGGTGCCTTGAGGGAAACTGGGATGGAGGGGGAGGGGAGGGAGGCGTTTGGGCAGCATGTGGGGCATGAAGGCAACAGGGCTGGGTTTCATCGGTTGGGGGAAACAACGACTGAGCCCAGGCATTCCGAAGGGGAACGCGTTCAGCTGCGACGGCGTCTCACAGGGCCCTTTCCCTCAGAACCATTTCCCACCACGTATTGTGCCTTCTTAATGCTTTGGAACCGTACAGCACTTGCTGAACCGCACTGAAGTTACCCATTCTGACAAGCCTGATGACGAGGCAGGGTGGAGGCAAGGGCAATACTGCCGACTTGACTCCGCTTGGTGCGCGGAAGTCTGGTTGGTGGGTTTCGTTTCGGTGGGCCTGAAAACGCCAGGAAATGCGTTTCGTTGAATGGAAAGGCGCAGCGCTGCGCAGCAGGACCCCAGTCAGGAGGAACCCAGCCCTGGCCCGGCTGGCTCAACTCCTGGCCTGAAGTGGTACGCAGCTTGTGTACGACTGGCTTGTTTCGTATCGCACGCTGCTGCGACAGTCCGACGTCCCAAGAAGCGACAGCGACTCGACAGCGGAACATTCGCCAGCGGAGGTTTGGGAGACCGGGCTGTGAGTGAAAGCTGTTTGTCACTCGCGGGCAGCAAGCAAATGAATTTTGAAACCGCCGATAGAGGACGAGGCGGCAAAAGAAACAGCAAAACCAAACGAGCCATCCCAGTCGAAAGACATCGAACCTGTCGCTGAACGCAATCCCTTGTTCCAGTGCGTCGCACGGGAAACGCGATAGTGGAGCCAGGTCAAACGCAGTGTGCTTCAAACGACTCTGTCGGATGTGACAACAGCGAAGCTCTAGCTTTGAACACAATCTATGTGGATGCTCAAATCTGCATATGTATGACCCAGAGAACAGGCCTGTCTATGGCGAGTACAACTGACGCTTCTTGTCCAAGCAGCCCTTTATAAGCTGATCATTGCTAGTGAATTCCAGGGTATCCCTACATGCCCTAAACCAGAAGGGAAAAGTAGTGCAGCTTGCCACCACGTTGAACACGCGGTGGTTTGGAACCGCTAGCAACACTTGTATCTGAGGTGCTGTAGGCCCTCGTAGACTTGTATTAGCGTCAAAGTCGTGAGGGGAGATGTCCAAGTCTTGCAAGGGCCTGGCGTACGAGCTCGTCAAGTGCGTCGCAGAAAGCCCGTGTGTGAAGGTGAGAGGCCTTGCGAAAGCGAGATTTTGGCCGTTACCTTGCCAACGAAATTCGCCATATTCCGTTGGTAGCACGCTCTCCTCGTTGCACTCACCTCTCTCTCCATACATCTTCAATTCACGGTACAATCCAATACGACCTTCTTCGTATAGTGGTTTCAACCTCGTCGATTTTTCTACCCGTCTGCCTTTTCGTGCATCAGTAGCAAAGTCGGCCAGTGCGGGAGTGCGTTTGTTTCACGTCCTCTTGCGATCTTCTTGCTACGTCCTACTTGTCCGGTTTGTCATGCTTCAGGAGCAGGGTCGGCCGGTGCAGGAGTGCGCGGGAAAGCAGCCGCCTGAGATTCCGTCCAAGTGTGTGGGGCTGAGGGAAACTTACGCAAAGTGCAAGAGAGGACAGGTGAGATGCGCGAAGCGGTATTTCAGACTCTTTGTGAACAGCCGCCCGAGATTCCCTCCAAGTGTATGGGGCTGAGGGAAACCTACGCCAAGTGCAAGAGAGGGCAGGTGAGATGCGCAAGGCGATTCTTGAAAATGAAAATGAAAATGTAGCCACGTGATTAAAGTGATAATTTGAGACGTCTCAAAATATCGCTTTTTCCACGTGGCGCTTGAAAGAGCAGCCGGCAGAGATCCTGTTAGTGGATGCGAGGCTGATGAAAATTCAATTTCAGTGCAAGAGCGTGAGGCTGGGGGAAATGCACTCCCAGTGCAAGAGCGTGGGGCTGTGAGAAATGTACGCCAACTGCAAGAACGATTAGTTGAGTTTGCGGGACTGGCGGTTGTGATATTTGATCTGGGAGGAATGGGGACGAGCTGTGCTTCTTTCAGTTTCAGTTCAGCCATTCCTCGACTCTATGCCAAGTGCAAGAGAGGGCAGGTGAGGGTAGTTTTGGGCAGGTGAGGGCACGTGTATTTAGTTAAGGCCAAGAAGGTGAAGGGGTGGAGCAGCAGCGCTGCTTTACGATTCCATTCGGTTGAAACAGACCAGTGATACGTGCTTGTAGTATCTCCTCCTAGTATGTTTGGGTGAGGGAACTGCATGCGAGGTTTGGAGGCGGAAGCAGGATAGAGTGGGATGATGTGAGGAGGGTGGATGGGATCCAGAGGCTGGTCTTGGCTGGATCGAGTGATGAAGAGTAGGATATGGGAGACTCAACTCCAGTATTGATAAGGTTGGAGTGGCTGTAGCTCGAATTTTAATGGCTTTGCATTCGCTTTCTTTCCTTCCATGTGTCTGATCATTTCGCAGGTGGACATGCGAACACGGATACGAGGCAACAAAGGATATTAACTGTAATCACATTACAGGAACAAGCCGGCCTGGAAGCAGAGTGAAGTATGGGACACAATGTGGTGGCTCGATGGGACTCAATGTAGTGGCCTGCTAATACCTACGGTATTCCCATGTGGTAAGTCATTGTTGACATTCCGCATGAATTCTAGTCCAAACATTTGTTGTGCTGCTTGCGGAACTCATCGTTGTGCTTTTTGTTGCAGGGTTGTCTTGGCTGGCACTTATGATTCTTGTGTAGCGCTTTGTGCTGTAATATAGTTTCTAAGTTTCAGGAAATGTTCTGCTGCGATATATCTGTACGTACATTGAAGCTACATGAAAATAGTTCAAATTCGTTAGGGAACAGGACGGCTGAGTTTTCCTGTGGGGGGGATAAAATTGCGTGTGGAAGGTGGATTCGCCCTCAGAACCTTTTTTGGCTTCCAGTTGTCGTGGCGCGGTTTCAAGTCTTAGGAGTGCATGTCTCGGATGTGATATGATGTCACGACTTATGAGAGCCGCACACGCGGCTCGTGCGAGCTATGAGTCCACGTGCCCTGCGGTGTTCCTAATTCTCGAGCGACCCGCATCGCACTCTATTGGTCGCGCACCAAAAGCTTTTGTCGCATCGTCTCAGCTCGTCGTAAAATTTCGCATGCACGGATCAATGCCTTTACGAATTCGCGTAACCATCTCGCGAGCGAGGCATTCGCTGTTCGCGTCTCTCTAAAAGGCATTTTGAGGCTGTTCGCTTGCAACCATGGCGAGGCTCGCTGTCTCTGGGAAAGCTGAGCCTGCTGCTCGTCAAATTCCAGAAGCGAACCTGCTGCTCGATTTCAGGTGATTCTGAAACTTTTATGTGAGGATAAGGAGGGAAAGGAGCAGGTCCACGAGGATTCAAGGCCAGCTGCCACGAGGAGGCATTCAAGGTTGGATAGGATTTACTAAGATTGAGCTCAAGGTGTTTTGATACATACCGATAGGTTCTCTGTCTACTAGCTGCTCGGAGATAAGGCTTTCCGAATATTGGCGTACTACAGCATGGAGCACTTGGTAACGAATTTTAGACTCAATACCGGGGATGAGATCCCTGCTGTGGGTTTGGGAACATGGAAGATTGCACCTGAAGATGCTGATGTTGCTGTGTCTGCTGCTCTGGAGGTAAGAATTTTGCATCTTAGATCGTGAAACTCATTTTGCAGTCCAAATATACATGCTTTTTTATTTCTCTTTTTTTCCTACACCTCATTTCCGTGAGACACGCAGGCTGGTTATCGTCACTTTGACTGCGCTCCAAAGTACAACAACGAACCTGAGGTATGTCTATCTGCTGTGGAGTCTGGCTTTAAAAAATTAACAATTGCACGAGAACAATGTACAGGCCTCGTCGTCAGTACAAACCTAGGCACAGAATAGGCGTTCTCGTGCTCAGGTTACAATCATGGAGTCATCTGGGTATGAGTAATCTCACGCGAACCTGTGCTGACGTGGCTTCCATGTCATGCCATGTCAGCAGATCGGGAGAGCATTGGAGGATGGCATGGCAAGGATGGGAATTGACCGCAAAGACCTCTTCATAACCTCCAAGCTCTGGTAACCACTAATTTTTGAGAAACCTCGAAATTGAGACGATTTTTTAGGCGCCTTAAAAACATAACCTCCAAGCTCTGGTAATCACTAATTTCAGCAGGTTGACATGGCATTTTATCCTTTTTTAACCTCACTCATCTCCTTTCTCTGGCACCCCGTCCCTCCGTCAATCCGGACAGCTCCACTGCTCCTTCTACATCACTTCTTTCCACGCCTCTTAACTCCTTCCTTCCCCTGCTCACCGCACTACACCCATGTCATTCAGGCCTACAGAATTCTCCCCTCCTGACGTTCTCCCAGCGCTGCAAAGGACTCTTCAGGACCTCCGGCTCTCCTATCTGGACCTCTTTCTCGTAAGTCTTCCCTTTTCTGCATGTAAGTTGCTTCTCATTTCCATCTGAGTCAACTCAGGACTCGCTTTTGGAAGAATCTTCAGGACCTCCGCCTTTCCTATCTGAACCTCTTTTTGGTTGACCTCTTAGGTTTCCCCAGTTCAGTTTGCCCTTATTTCTAAACTCCCTTCTCATTTTCCTCCTTTTGACCCCTTTCGTCTTCTCAGCTTCATATACCAGTGCAAATGGCCAAGCCTTGGCACTCCCCTCCTCAGAGGGAGGACAGGGTGCTGACGTGGCAGGTGGCTGCCACGTGGCAGCAGATGGAGGCAGCAGTGGAGCAGGGACTAGTGCGCGCAATCGGCGTCTCCAATTGGTCGGTGACGAGGCTGAAGCAGCTGCTGAGCTGGCGGCCTGTGCACGTGCCAGCTGTCAACCAGGTGGAGGCGCATCCTCACTGGCGACAAGATGCTCTGCTGGCGTTTTGCAAGGAAAAAGGGATACACGTGTCGGTGAGTGGTGGAACACGTTTGCACACAGAGTGCATGCATATGTTTGCTTATCTTTTGGTCAAGGTTAAGGGGATACACGTGGAAGTGAGTTGTGGACATCCCTACTTGCGGTTTTGATCTGTTTTTTCAAGAGATACGTGTATAGCATATAGTATGTACATACTTGCCTTGCCCTGCCCTCACTTTCTGCTCCCACCAGGCCACCTCCTGTGTATTGCCCTGTGTTCATCCCTCATGCCTCCCGTGCCTCTAAACCATCCCTTGAACAAAGCCCTACTACCTTGCCTTCTATCCCCTCCGTGCTTCCACTAGGCCTACGCCACTCTTGGCTCAAGATGAATCTCAAGGGGGTCGCCCTGTGTATGATGAATTTCTCTTGTATCCTGTGATCCCACACCATCCTCTGATCAAAGCCTTTCCCTGCCCTACCCTCCATGCTTCCACCAGGCCTATGCACCTCTCGGTTCCAGGGATCTCCCAGTGCATGATGATAATCTCATGCCCCCGGCGCCTCTATACCATCCCTAGGATTTCTGTCATGCCTGCCCTTCCTTCCTGCTTCCACCAGGCCTATGCACCTCTCGGTTCCAGGGATCGGCCTGTGTTTGACGAGTCTCTCATGCCTCCTGTGCTGCTAGACCATCCCCTGATCAAAGAGGTATGTGGTCGAGGTATGCGCAAAATGAGATCCTAGTAAATTTGAGGGGTGAATCAATGCGCTTGGTGATCCTGCTTCTCTTTCTTGTATAGACGCTCTGAGTTTGCTTTCTTGAGCTTCGATCTTCGCTTCAATTTTTGTCTCATGCGTTGAGCTTTAATCTTCTTCTTTTTGCCATTTGCTTGTTTCTCATCTTTTCCCTGTTCCTTTCGTCCCATTTTTTCACGTCCTTTTGCGTCCCGTGTTTCCTTTTCTTTTTCTCGTCCTTCTTTCTACCCCTTAGTTCAAGAAAAACATCGGTCTGTTTGAAGTGGTGAGATTCGGTTTCAAGCCTCCTTTTGATCTTCCGTTTGCTACCTTCTTAATCATCAGATGGCCAACTGTTGAGGTTTCTCAACAGCGCAAGTAGCTGGTGCCCTGTTATTCCTTTTTCTTTTTTCTTTAATCATCAGGTGGCTAATACTTTGCACCAGACTCCAGCGCAAGTGGCGCTGCGGTGGGGCATACAGAGGGGGATGAGCGTTCTGCCTAAGAGCAGCAACCCATGGCACATCAAGGAGAACATTGGCCTCTTCGACTGGTGCATACCTCCAATGGACTTCCACGCACTCTCCCTCATAGAACCCCAGGTAAGATGGTGAGGTTCGGGTTTAAAGGGGGATGAGCGTTCTGCCTAAGAGCAGCAACCCATGGCACATCAAGGAGAACATCGGGCTCTTCGACTGGCAGATCCTCCTATGGACTTCCACGCACTATCCCTCATAGAACCCCAGGTAAGATGGTCAGGTTCAGGTTTAGAGAGGGTTGAGCGTGCTACCCAAGGTGAGGCGAACCCAAGGTGAGGTGACAACTGCACGCAGGTGAGATGGTGAGGTTCAGGTTTAGAGAGGGATGAGCGTCCTGCCTAAGAGCAGCAACCCATGGCACATCAAGGAGAACATTGGCCTGTTCGACTTGCACATTCCTCCAATGGACTTCCATGCACTGTCTCTTATAGAACCCCAGGTGAGGTGACAACTGCATGCAGGTGAGGTGGTGAGGTTCAGGTTCAGAGGGGCATGAGCGTGCTTCCTAAGAGCAGCAAACCATGGCACATCAAGGAGAACGTTGGCCTGTTCGACTGGTGCATACCTATGATGAGAAAGACGCAGCCAGGACGCTGCGTCCTGCGTCTGGACGCAGCGTCCGGACGCTAGGACGCAGGACGCGCGTCCAGACGCAGGACGCACGCCGAATGTTTTTTCGGGCAGCCCGAAAAAAAAATCGATCACGATTTTGACATTCGCGATTCCGACGCGAATGTCGAAATCGCGAAATTTCGACCCCCAAGCCCAATTCGCCATTGTAAACAAGCCCCACTAGCATTTCATAACAACTCATGCAAAATGGAAATTCACTCAAACCTCTCAACCACTTCACATTTACGAATCCCAACCTTTGTGGCCTACCACCACCAAGCACATTTAGCAAAGCAATTTGTGGTTTCTCATTTTCCCCTCCCAACCAATTCTCTTTCGTAAACCCTTTGAGGTTTAGCTTAGCTTACTACCTAAACTACCTTAATCTTACATTGTGGGGGAAAATTTTGTGGTTGGGGAAAATTTTGCATTGAAAGTGTGGTAGGTCTCCCCCCCCCCCTCTCCCAAGCCCTATACTACTTTTTTTTGCCCTGCCCGGGGTTTTTTTTTGCCCTGCCCGGGCTTGCGTCTTTTGGTGCGTCTTTTAGGTCCGGGTTCTGCGTCCTGCGTCTGGACGCATGCGTCCAGGATGCAGGACGCGTCTTTCGCATCATAGGTGCATACCTCCAATGGACTTCCACGCGCTGTCCCTCATAGAACCCCAGGTGAGGTTAGATTTTCCAGATGAGGTGGTGAGGATCAAGATTGGAAGGGGATGACCATGATTCTAGGAGCAGCAACCCATGGCACATCAAGGAGAACACCGGTCTGTTTGACTGGCACATACTCCCTGTGGACTTCCACGCACTCTCCCTTATAGAACCGCAGGTGAGGTCAAAACTCCAGGTTATATGGTGTCAGAATCCCAGTCACCAACCACTGGGATAAAAGGGCTTGTTTATATAGCGGGTGAGTGCGCCCATAACCCCCCAGGCCGACGTGCCTGTAACCCTTCCCTAGGATCATCGGGGATCCCCAGTGGACCTCTGACACCCCCCCGCACTGGGATGCCCGAAGTGCACACACCGGGAATCGAACCCGAGACCTTCGCTCTGATACCATGTCAGAATCCCAGTCACTAACCACTGGGATAAAATGGCTTGTTTATATAGCGGGTGAGTGCGCCCATAACCCCCCAGGCCGACGTGCCTGTAACCCTTCCCTAGGATTATCGGAGATCCCAAGTGGACCTCTGACATATGGTTGGATCTCGTATTACAACGAAATGGGCGTGCTCTTTAAGAGCAACAACCATGCAGCATCAAGGAGAATATGGGCTGTTCGGTTGTCACACATACCTCCAATGCACTTCCGCGCACTCTCCCTTGGATTTCTGAGTAGTTTTTTCCAGTGGCTGTTCCGAGTATTGATTATTCTGCTGTTGTGCGATTCACCTGAACCATGCATGTACTTGCAGGTTCGAATACTGGACTATTATGGCTACTGGGTCGGCGAAGGCCGGCCCTTTCTGGAGCCTGAGGAGCTTTGGAACGATGAGGCGGACAAAGCGGGAGAGGGGCACAAAGTGGATGAAGGGGATGAGATAGCTTTTAACAAAAAGGGAGGGGGCAGGAATGGCAATGATGAGTGGGAGGAGTGATGTAGGTGGAGTTTGTTCCTCAAGTGACTCTGACATTGGCCTCCTTTCACCATTTGCTGTGTTGTCCTTACATGCTGCGTTATTAGCCACTCGTGCGCATTCTCATACAAAAAAATGTCGACACACGAAAGAGGAGTGGCAGGCATGATGTTCTGCTGTGCATTGCCAATGTTCCCCACCTGTGTCCAACAAGGTTACTGGTGTGTTAGATGTCATAATACACTACAAATGGAAATTGAATTCAAAGTGCAAGCAGTACTACATCTGGCATTCCACCATCCACGCGAAAAGTGCATGCACAAAAGTATTCGACGACAAGTGAAACGCCGCGCTGCCTGATCTACGGTATCGATAACTTTGCCACGAGACGGAGGTGGTATTCGCGGGAATTGAGGTGGTGTCCGCAGACCAATGTTTTTTCGGTGGACATGAGTTTGCCTATGTGGAACACAATGACGTGCCTCAGGTCACGCGCGCCTTTCTAGGCAACCTGGTGTGTAGTAGCGCGCACGAGTTTTCCTGGTTTAGACCATTCGTAGAAGTACAGTATCCTAAGACAATGTGTAGTCCGTGGAATAACTTGCAGACGTCACAACATATAACAGTGAAGATTATATAGAATGCATGAAGTCTATGGTATTGTACACTTTGACTTCAGCTAAAGGTGTTTTAGTTTAGAAGCGTGTACTGTTATTCGTTGACATTTTTGTAGGCCATACGGTTGTTAGAGTGTAGCGCATTCTCTAACACGATGGTTGAGGCGCTTTTTGGGATTGTTCTGTTTTCTACGCTTTGACTCGTCGACGTGGCTGGCATGATCGTGAGGTCGCCTATTTGACTAACCAGAGCACGCCATCTGGAAGATTCAGAATGAACGGTGAATGAGATGCAAGGATGCTGCCCTGTTTTTGAAGGGAGATGAACCCAAGGGAGGGTGAACCTGTGCAGGCCGAATCCATTTGATGGATGTTGCGCGAGAGCTTATCTTCGTTCAGTGCGACTCGAATCTAGCTGCCCCGAGAAAGGAAACCTTTCTGGTCAGCTGATTGGGATGTTGACCTCATGTGTCATGATAGAAATACAGACGATGCTCGCGAAACCGCCCACCCTCCTCAGGCCCAAGTACACGCGACAGTCCAAGCGGTCAGCTTTCACAGCCAATGGCCCACTCGATACACGTCCATTAAAGCCCGTTTACACGACGCTTGCCACCCTGTAAAGTGTACTTGCGGAAGAGTTGGCGAACATTGTTAGAAAAAACAAGCGACTCAACCCACTGGTCAGTTGATACAGTTTTGGTTGGTAACCTGGATACTACATAGTGTCCCAAATCGCCTTGGAATTTTGGTCTGTCCCCAACAGTCCCAACCGCCCAGAAATTCCCCGGGACTCTTTTAGGCATCAGGTGTACACATGAACCCTTCTTGCCATGGACAACGCGACAGGCGGGGAGTCTTGGGATGGATGGGGGATGGCTGATTGAGCAATGGCAAAGCGCAATCTGATGTTGTGATGTTTGTCATAATTCTTACACAGTACTGAGCTGCACTGTACTGGAGTCCTGACCAGGGGTCTTGATTCGTTTTGGGCCACCCTGCCGAATCAAAGTTCCAGGTCGAAGTCACAATGGCACTGCAGTGTGGCTGCCGCGTCGTACCCTAGAAATGGCAGGGTGTTGAATACTTTCTGGTCTGTTTGGCAGGGTGGAAAAAAAAACTAGGCTGCAGCGGTCCAATCTGTGCGAGTGTCTCCGTGGAAAGTACTTAGCCAGTTTTCGAGCAGATCCGATGCTTGACGTGCTGTATGTGTGAGTGTCTCAGTGGAAAGGACTCAGTTTTCTAGCACATCTGATGCTTGTCCTGGTGTACGTGTGACTGTCTCCGTGGCAAGGACTTAGCCAGTTTTTGATTGTCTAGTTTTTACCAAGGGAGAAAAACTCACTCAGAGTGCTGTCACTACCGAACTCGGCCAAGGCAGTGTGCTACAAGAACCAATAACTGAAAAACAAGGGTAATAATTACACGAGGCATGATCGTGACAGGGTGGTAGAACTCGAATCCTGTATTTACAGTGCGATCCTTAAAATGACCCTGAAAAACAGGCTAGTCAGGGTAAAATGCCCTGTAATCCCGAGGCCTGGTCCTGACTTCTCATTTCACGACTGCACGCAAGAAGGTGTGTTGTTGCACTGTAACCTAGCAACAAACGAGGAAGTGGGCCGGTGAGGCGAAGATTATCCCTGAGTTGTCCCCTGCCTTCATTCCTGAACATTCAACTTTCGCGGTGCTCTCAACGCGTTTTCGCACATGTTTGCCCAGTATGATGTTTTGCACCTTGCCGTGTTGCTGTGTGGCTCCCCTCATGGGGAGAAGAATGGGGTGGGGGAGGAAGAGCGCTGAGTGGAACCTCTGGGGTCTTTTGCAGCACAGCAGGGGCAGCAGCAGCTGCTGCTGCTCTTGCTGCTGTACTTGACCATGAATGTTCGGGCTTGTCTCGGGCAGCATTGAATCACTTGCAGGGGAAACCTTCCTACCGACGCTAGGCTGCACGTCCATTTCAATTCCTCCTCTTTCCACAGCTGGTTTTGCGCCAAGTACGTACACTGTACTACAGCACCGTACTCCTTTCCAGAAGGAAGGCAGAAGAAGGCGGAATGCCGGGGGTCCGGGGGACACTACGAAGGGTTTTCCTCTGGCCCTAAATTGCGGCCACCTCCCCCCCCACCGATCACCGTTCACTATTCCCACGTACAGCGCAACTGTACAGTGCCCGATCACCCACCCCCGTTCCGCCACGCCCACCCGCACATTTCTCCCCCCTCCCTCCCCCCCCCCTCCCCCCCCTCCACACCACCATTCAGGGTCGTTTCGGAACCCCCCTTGCCCGCTCGCTCTTGTCAGAGAGAGTCACCTCGACCGTTTCGCCTCGTCGCCGCGAGTCCACGGCACCTGTCTTGTGTGTCTTGCTTCATGCAGTGCCGCTTCGTTGGGCTCACGGGATAGGACCCGAGCTCACAGCTCCAAGCCGCTCGTTTCCTTGGATACTCCCGCAGCATAAAATACCACTCGCCCCAGGAGTTCAGGTCCCGTACATCCGATCGGCGTCATGTCGTCGATGCGTTTCGTCAACCCCCCATCTTGCGAATCTCGAGAGATATCGCACGCCGTCGCCCACACGCGTGGCGAAGGCAACTCGAGCAACTCTTCCAGCTGTCAGCACTGCTGGCTCGCGAACGAACGGAGCGTATTATTTGATGCCAAATCCGTTCTTTTCAGCCTTACTATAGAGCACCAGCTCGCGCGAAACGCATGTGGTCAACATGCGCGATCAGACGTATTAAGATATTTTAGCGGTCGTTATTCCTCGCCAGCTAGAACCAGCAGTGCCGCTTGGAACCAAGCTTCGGTTCGTCGAGTCAATTCCTGATTCCAGTCGACAGCCCTGGCCGGTTGTCTCGTCGTTAGTTAGCAGGTGACTGAGCGCAATCGTCCACAAACCTTCCAAGACCTGCGGAAAGCGCAAAGCGCAGCGCGCAAAGCGCGATAGAAGCAGCCGGCGACGGAAGCAGTAGTAGAAGCCGGACTCGCTTCCTGATTCTCCGCGATCGACCCTTGGAGATATTTCTGGGCCTGTTCATTGCATCCCTAGCCCTCAGCGCCTTTTACCTCGTGTAGAAGTCGACTTTTCCTTTCCTCACTCCTCTCACTCCTCTCTGATAGTGTCTTAGCTACATATGATCTCAATCACATCCGTCTTAGCCACCCTCAAGTTTCGGTTCTGTTGTGGAAGCACCCAAGAGTTTTGTAGTTGTCGAATTTTAGAGGAATTGAGGCTTCGTCTGGAGATTGGCCAGACAACCATGACGATTCCTGCGTACCCCATCGCTGCCACCCAACAGCTCGGCACTGCGTCTTGTTCTGCTGCTGCTACTAGCAGCAACACCACCAGCAATACTGGACTACTGGATCTACCCCTTGACACCATCTGCACCATTCTCCACCGCTTGCAACCCAAGGATCTCATCGCCGCGTCGCTGACGTGTCGCACATTGAACGGGCTCATCGACCAGCCCAACACGTGGCTGACGCTCTGCCGGAAGTGGGAGGGCCAGCTGGCGCTCAGTGATTGGCTCGTGCACGCGAACTCGGCGAAATGCCTGTTTCGCCTGTTACACACCCTGAGTCCCCTGGTGGGGATGTGGGCGGCGGAGGATCTCGCTCCCAGGGGGGGCCTGCTATACGTCACATGGGAGCGCATGGCGGTTGTCGCTTATCGAATCATCCCCGATTGGCTTGGTAAGTCTGCTGCTATCAGCACTCCAAACCTTCAAAGCGATTCGGTTTCTAGATCGCTACCTCCTCCCCTCCTCCCCTTCTGACTTCCAGCCAACACCTAACTCTGGGATCCCCGTATCCCCCATTCTAATTTCCAATCTCCCCATTTCCCCCCTTTCGCTTTCCCCACTCCCCCTCCCCCCTTGCAGACGGCAATCTCATCTCCGCGCGCCTCTTCACCATCTCCGCCTTCCCCGACGGCACGACGCAGCTCAGCCTGGTCACGGGAAGGGGCGCGGACGACGAGTTTCCGCTCGAGCTGCCCGGCGTGCTCGTCTGGGAGTCCCCCGCGCGCGCAAAATTTCACCTGCAGACGCTCCTCCCGCCGTCGTCCCGCACCCCCGCGAGCTTCGCCGCGTCGCCTTTCGCCAAGGTTGCTGGTAACCGGGTGTCGTCGCCACCGGCGGCGGCGCCGCTGAAGGGCGCCGTCGCAGGGCCGTCGTCCGCGTCCGCGCTGTCGTCGCTGGGCGCTGCGGAGAGGCTCAAGGCGACGTTTCAGCGAGCTGGTCTGGGCCGATATGCCGCTACAGCCGGTCCGCTCTCATCCGTGCTCCCGTCTGCTACAGCTTCCGCTTCTACAGCCGTGCCTCCTTCCGCGATTCGCGCAGCCACGCCTTCTTTACCCCCGCGACCCCCCTCGAGCCGATCCGCTGGCAGCGGTGGCCTCGCCGCCAGTCAGCAACGGTTCAGCCAATCAGGACTCAGCATCGGCGCCGCTAACATCCACAAAGGGGGATGCGTCAGTCCCACGGGGAAGGAGGAGCAAAGCTCGAAGCGCCTTCAGCTGCGCGCTCTGCAGTATCTGACTGGATTGAAACAAGATCGTGGGAGCTCGTCCATGGAAAGTTCGTCGAAGGCAGCCGCGACGGTTCCATCCAAGCGTGCTCGATCCGAGTGTGATAACAATGAGGTCTCGCCTGACGAATCTAGAAGGTTACGGTCGCGCATGGAAGCAACAAGAGAGACACGCGCCGGTAGTGGTGACGTTGCGGTTACCAGCGGGGCTGCGGCGTTTTCTCCCCCGCAAGTGGCTTTTTCTGCTTCCCGCGGTGCTTCCGCCGCGGGGAGTTCCACCTCTGCTGTGCCTTCCGCCTCTGTTGTTCCTTCCGCCAGCAGCGCGGAGTGGTCGCTGAAGCGGCGAGCGATTGGCGCACTTCAATACGCGGACGAATCACCCTGCCTTGGCGCACGCATGGGGGCTGGCGGAGGGGCCTTTGCGGGATTCGGCGGAAGCTCCAGCGGAAAGGGTGGGAATGTGTTCGGGCAGCAAAAAGCGAGCCAGCAAACGTCGGAATGGTCGGACGGGCAGACGAAAAGGGTACCTGTGCCGAAGTCCACCTATAATCGCGTGCTTGTTGCGGGAGAGACTCAGACGAGCGAATCAGCGTCAAGAGGAGGCGACGCGGACACCTCGGGAACGGATTCATGCAGATCTCGTCTGCCCACGTGGGTGCGAGATCTCGAGGGCCTCTGGACAGGCGTGTTTGGACAACACGGGGTTGAGATTCTGAACGTTGCGGTTGAGAACGGCGAAATTGTTGCTACGAAAATCGTTGGAGATCCCAATGTTCCCGGAGGGCATGTGTCGTTCAAGGCTCGGATCGACTCGGTGCAAACAGCTGCTGACGAGAGTGACCGGTGGAATGAAGTGGTGGGCCAAGCGAGGAGTCTGATCCAGGTGCAAGGCCAAGGAGCAGATCCTGCTCTGGGACATCAGCTTCAGTTCTCAAACATGTGAGTATTTGTCCCTGCTTGCATTTCCTTCACATGCCCTGTTTTCGTCACCACACTTTCTCCATCTGATGAGGCTGCTTCTTGCAAGAATGGTGCATACTTCCGTTGTCCCTGCTCATGTGGCTCATGTTTTTCCTTTCCCATTTTGATTGCTCTGTCTTTCTTACAGGTTGGAAGGGGAAGGAAGAATAGCAGACTACAACTTCAAGAACCCTCAATGGGTGAATGGAACTTTGCTGGTTGATTCAGCTGGCCGGATCTCTTTTTTGTGGGAGGAGCTGAACTTCCTTGTGCAAATGAAAAGGCTACACGTGGAGGAGCTTCTCTTCAATGCTTGAAGACCTGCTCTTAGAAATTAGATACTACCTAAGTATGTTCAGCAGAGTACCGTTCGTGCTCTAGTTATTTTTTCGTCTCCTAGTTGAGGCGCTTCATAGTTTTTAGCATTCGTTCTGCACAATTAATACTTCATTGCATTCATTTTAAGGCATTGCTGGCGACCCTGAAACATATATAAGCATTGTTGGCTCTTAGTGCGAATATTCAATCATTGTTTGATCTATTTTACCATATAACGAAAGGGGCTCACGAAGCTCCACGATTCCCACACAAGCTGCGTGAGGCCTCAGAATGGACACACCAAATGCTGACACACCTCGCACTCGAGCTGACGCTACAACAAGCCCCACATCATCAGTCATTGATGACGTGGTGCAACGAAAAGAAAGCGCCAACTCGCCAGCTGGACTTGGTGGTGACACCGCCCTCAGCAAATGGTAGGACACATCGCCAGAAATCTACCCAGCCCTCCCTCAGCTGTGGCAGCAGCGATGCAATCTAGGAATCTCCGAAGTTAGGTACATAGTTGAAAAAAAAGCATCGGCAATATTACTTCTGACAATCATTTCGTAGTACTCTGTGTAGACGGTGGTCTGACTCCGAACTCAATTAGCTGTTCCGGGCCTGTTGGAGCTGCGTTCAACACCCACATCGGAGTTCGGTTATTCTGCTAATTCACCACCCACCAGGTTGCAATGGCGTCCGCAACTGTCGCCAGCATTTCCGCGCCAGCGTCCGCTGTCATAAAGTGTCAAACCTCGGAGCGGAGGTCCCTTATCGCTTCCACTTCCCTCGTGGCACGGCGGCTTCCGTCTGTTAACCTCCAATGCCGATCCGCTTTGAGAAGACCCACCCAGATAAACGCAATGCTTGGCGGAGGTATGTCTCAACTCACTAACTAGTTCTCATTCTGGCGACGGCGTGTTTGGGTGTTGCTTTCTTCTTCGGCTTCTCACGCATTTCATCAGAAGACTCGGGTTCTCTTGAGTCGACTCAAACGCCATCTTTTAATTCGACTCAGAATATTAAATGTTGCTTTCTTCTTCGGCCTCTCACGGATTGCATCACAATACTCGGGTTCTCGCTCGCGCAATTCCTCGAACAGCTCTTCGCTCCCTGCTTAATTCCATTCCCTTCCGTGATGATCTCAATGCGTCCCCCAGGTGACAACAAGACTGAGAAGAAGAAATTCATTACTGCAGCGGAGGAGCCTGATGAGTAAGTTTTCCCTTCTTTTCACAGTAATGCCAACCGCTGAGAACATGCAACGACATAGTAACATGGCCAACAAAGTGCTGCCTTTCATGTGCTAAGTACATGGACAGAAGAATATACCAGTACCGTATCAAACCGCACAGGATGCACAATACCAACGCTCGCTGGTGTTCTGTGCTTTCGTCCCTTCCCCTCAGATATTGGCAGAGTGCTTCGGAAAGAGAGGGAAAAGGCCCCATGAGCACAGTTCTCCCTTACATCGCCATTTTCGGGCTCCTGACACCCTTCATTATTCTCGGAATTGCCTTTGCCAGTGGCTGGATCGACGTTCCAGCCAGGTGATCAGGCACCTTGAACAAGCCCTGAGTTTGGCTGTTGTCCTGTAAATGTGTTGATAGAATAGTGAAATGCATTGATCCCCTGCACCACTTGCCGGCCTAACAGAGGACTGATGTGAGAGACCAGCTAGATTGGTGCATACTGCTAATGAGTGAGGAGGAAAGGAACTAACCATCCACCCCTTGGGTTCAAGCGGTGGTGACAAGCAAACCTTAGTAGTTGAAGGGGTGTTGGTAACAGATGCTGCTTCCATCTGTGAAGTCACAGGGAAGTAGTTCTTGATCAACACTGGATACATTATTACAGCATGTTGATAAATGCTACGGTGGTAAAAGGCTCTGATATCATGTCACGTTAGCATTCTACCGGTACATGCTCATTGGCTGTGCTGAGCTAGCAAATGTTAGAATACTAGCACAAGTGGTAGTTAGGTTTAGGGCCTAGGCTTAGTAGCCTAGGCCAAAGGGGAGTCGAGTGAGTTTGTGCCAAGACGAGAGAATGGGAATGATGTTCACTATAGCACTAGGGTACATATAGCAAACAGAGCATGCAAAGAAGGTGCACCACCAACAGTATATAATAACTACACTAAACTACAGCTACAAGCAGTTACAGATATATTCTAACACTCCCCCATAACTGCCTGCAGCAGGAGTTTGTGCAGAACACAACCTGCAGGGGTACACCAGCAACAGTAGCAGGCACGGTAACAGAGCAGGTACAGCAGCAAAGGGACAGGCGACAACAAGACACTCCTGCCACCCCCTTACTCTCCTCCCCCCCCCCCGACCACAGGAGGGGCAGCAGGGAGAGAGAGGAGGCGGGCTGGCGCTGGCTGGTCACCCCTTCCATCCCCTCACCCTCCCCCTCCCCGTCCCCCCCACACTGCTGCAGGAGCAGCAGAGGGGGGAAGAGAGGAGAGGTGGAGGGACGGCTGCTGGTTGGTCTCACACCCGCCACCCCAGTGCCTCTCCCCCGGCTCCCCCACACCCTCACACCCTCCCCCCCAGCGGCAGCTGCAGCAGTGGGAACGAAAGGAGGAGGAGGGGAAGGGAAGCACACCACCCATCACCCCCACACCCGCCACCCCCATACCCTCCCCCCCACGGCTGCAGGGAGACGAAGGAGGAGGGGGTGGGCGGGGAGAAAGCCGCAGAGCGGCAACAGAGGGTCGGCGCGGGTAGGGCAGGGGCGGCTGCAGAGAGTGCAGGTGCGGGGTGAGGCAGAGGCGGCTGCACCGAGTGCAGGAGTGGGGGCGGCTGCTCCAAGGGCAGACGCTGGGTGGTGCAGGGGCGGCTGCAGCGAGTGCAGGCGCGGGTGAAGCAGGGGCACCGTTGCGGGCGCCAGGGGCGGGTCCGCGGCGGCTCAGGGCACCGTCGCGGGCGCCAGGGGCGGGTCCGCGGCGGCTCAGGGCACCGTCGCGGGCGCCAGGGGCGGGTCCGCGGCGGCTCAGGGCACCGTCGCGGGCGCCAGGGGCGGGTCCGCGGCGGCTCAGGGCACCGTCGCGGGCGCCAGGGGCGGGTCCGCGGCGGCTCAGGGCACCGTCGCGGGCGCCAGGGGCGGGTCCGCGGCGGCTCAGGGCACCGTCGCACACCACGGGGCACGTGACGGGCAGTTCAGGGCACCGTCGCGTGCCACGGGGCGAACGACGGGCAGGGCACCGTCGCTTGCCACTGGGCGCACGACGGGCAGGGCACCGTCGCGTGCCACGGGGCGCACGACGGGCAGGGCACCGTCACGTGCCACGGGGCGCACGACGGACAGCAAATTGAACTGATGTTCTTTGGGAGAAAAGGTGTCATGTATGTCATTTGTTATGAACTAATGGAATTCAGTTACGCAGTGACATCAGGGAAGGGAAGTGTCAGAATGAAGAATGGATGATGCATTGATGTTGGTTGGGGTACATATAGCTAACCCTAAGTTTTGTACCCCCTAAGACAAACCTCACTATAGGCTACAACATTTGACACACCCCCATAGCCTAAGTGAGGGGTGTCTAGCAGAACCAAACGAGTACGGTCACAAGACCAGTCCAAGAAACGAAGCTCAGGGTGGATCACAACGTCACCACACAGTCTGAGCACAAACAACAGTGGCCACAAGGCCAGTCCAAGAAGTAACAGAGATATATAGAAAGCAAAGTAAACAGTACACTCAAGTCTAAGCAACACGAGAACCAGTGTCAACAAGGCCTAACTGCACACAGCACCTCTGGTGGTCACAAGGCGGAAGTGCCTTGGTGAAGATGTCTGCAGTGTTGGCCTCGGACTCCACAAACTCAAAGCGAGCCTGTCCACGCCTCTGCAACTCTCGCAGAAGAAAGTACCTGACGTGAATGTGCTTCACTCTGCTCTCCAGTCGTGGCTCTCGACAAAGGAGAATAGACGCCTTGTTGTCAGTGAACAAGGTCGGTGCAGAGCTCGGCCGCTCACCAAGGTCGGTGAGCAAGAAGGTCAACCAACGCAGCTCCTGTGCCGCCATGGCACCAGCGTAGATCTCAGCCTCAGCTGTAGAGGTCGAGACCGAAGAGGAGCGCGTGGACCGCCAGGAAACAGCTCCAGAACCCAGGCTGAAACAGTACCCCTGAGTAGACCTGTGAGTCTCAGCGTCGTCAGCGTAAGAGGAGTCACAGTGACCAGTAAGTACGACAGACTGCTGCCCTCCAAGAACTAGCCCCACGCCTGATGTCGTCGCTAGGTACTTCGCCACCCTCACAGCTGCTGTCCAGTGAACAGGACGGTGTCTCCCTGACGCAACAAAGCGCGCAAGAACGCTGAGAGGGAAGGCGAGGTCCGGGCGAGTACAAGTCATCAGGTACATGAGGCAACCCACAAGCTCTACGTAGGGACCACTAGGCTCGAACGGCTCGTCAGGAAAGGGTCCAGTGAGTCTGTGGTCAACAGCAAGAGGTGTGCGCTGTACTGTGGAGTGCTGAAGCCCGAACCGCTGAAGGACCTGCTGCACCATGTGTGACTGTGAAAGTGTAATGGTGCGAGCAGCTCTGTCCCTGGTGATCTGCAGGCCAAGGTAGTGGCGCAGCTCACCAAGATCAGTGCAGGTGTGTCTCTTCTGCAGTTCGGACTTCACGTGTGCCAAAGCAACCCTGTCAGGGGTGGCGAAAACAAGGTCGTCAACGTAGACCAGAACAAAGAAAGGTGTGGGGCCACGACGAACGAACAGCGACGGGTCAGCAGAAGACGGCTGGAACCCAAGGTCAGACAGGGTAGAACGCAGGGTGTCGTGCCACTCACGAGGAGCCTGACGAAGACCGTAAACCGGTCGCCTCAGCCTCCACTGGGTCCCAGGAGGGAAAGAGCCAGTGAAGGCAGAGGGACGACGCAACCAGACCTCCTCGTGAAGACTGCCCTGAAGGAAAGCAGTAGAGAAGTCGAGAGAGTGTAACTCGTAGTCTCTCTGTGCTGCTACGTGTAGTAACACCCGAAGAGTGGTCATCTTCGGGGTGGGCGCGAAGGTCTGAAAGAAGTCAACTCCCTCGCGCTGACTGAAACCTCTAGCCACGTAGCGCGCCTTGAAGACCGGAGGAGATCCCGGTGGCCGCTTCACCCTGTAGATCCACATGCCGTCGACTACGTTCGCCCCCGGAGGGGGAACCTCATCGACGTAGGTGCCTGTGGATCTGTAGGAGGCCATCTCTGCGTCCATGGCAGCTCTCCACTGAGAGGCCCAAGGCCCTGACACTGCCTCAGCGTAAGTGCGAGGAGTCGGAATGTCAAGGGCGTCGGGGTCACCCTCAGGGGCGAGGAGCATGGCACAGAGATGAGGGGAAGCGGCCGCCAGGAACTCTAGCTCAAACTGCCTGTCCTCTAGGGCGTCACAGCCAAGGGCAGACACACCCCCGACGGCCAGAGGACTGGAAGGAGGAGCAGCCACAAGAGCGGTGGCGAAGTCAAGGCGGCGGGTAGAGGCAAACTCAGTGACTGCGGCAGTAAGAGCGGACACAGAGGACACAGAGGCACGAGGGTGGGTAACAAGAGAGGCGAGAACACGAGAGAGAACAGGACGGTACGTGCGGTAGTAGTCAGTGACAGGAGAAGGAAGCGACACAGTGAGGGCCGACTCAGGAGGAGACGGAAGCACAGACGGAGACGGACGAGGTGGACGAGAACAAAGGAAGGCTGTACGAAGGTCAGTGAAGGGAACAGGAGACGAGGGACGAGCACGAGGGGAGCGACGAGAGGCCCAAGTCTGAGAAGGAGGAGGAGACAACGAAGACTGAGAACGAGGGAAAACAGCGGGAGAGGGGTCAGGAGGAGGAAGCGGAGGACCAGAGACGGGAGGAGAGGGGGAGGAGGAAGGAGAGGGAGACGGGAGACCAAGGGTCCGAAGACCCGAGACAGGAGGAGGAGACGGCAGCAGCTGCTGCTGCTGCTGCTGCGGCTGCTGCGGCTGCTGCTGCTCCAGCGGCTGCTGCCCCTGCTGCTGCTCCTGCTGCTGCTCCTGCTGCTGTCGCTCCTGCTCCTCGAGCCGCTGCAACTCTCTCTCCTCTCTCTCCAACTCCAGCTGCTCCTCACGAGCACGGCGAACACGAGCCTGGAACCTGGTCGGGTAGGGGTGGGGGGAAGGAGTAGTGTCCGGGGCAGCGGCAGCCCCAGAGTCGACCTCCGAAGCACCAAGCACACCACCCCCAGAGGCAGCACCAACACCAGCTCCAGACCCAGGCTCTCCAGAAACCGAAGGGACACCCTCACCCCCAGACGCAGCACCCCCAGACTCCGCACCAGCACCCCCAGACTCCGCACGACCAGTACCAGCCCCCGGAAGACAAGAGTCCTCTGCAACCCGCGGCTCAGCTCCAACTCCAGCACCCCCAGAACCAGAGACCTGTACAGGGACAGTCGCAGGACCAACCTCCCGAGAGGGAGCACCTGCAGGAGGCGGCGAGGAAGACTGTGGGGAGGGAGGCTGTACAGGGGGGGCTACCGAAGGGGGAGGGCTAGCCTGAGACACACCAGACGGGGCTGGACCAGGGGGGGGAGGCTGTACCGGGGGAGCAGGCGGGGGAGCGGCGGTCAGGAAGAGAGGGGGGGGAGGGACCGGGAGACCTCGACTGGGGTACCTGACGTAGTAGGGGGTGGACTCCTCGAAACGGACGTCACGGGAGTCAAAGAACCGGTGAGAGGGAGGGTGGTAAAAGGTGAAGTCAGAGGAGTCCTCAGGGAAACCAAGGAAGACACAAGGAACGGCGCGAGGCGAGAGCTTGTCCGCGGAGGTGTCGCGGACAAGAGCCAAGCACCCCCAGACACGAAACCTCGACGCGACACCAGGGGACCCTGTCCAAAGACTGGTCGGTGAAGCCTCCGGCCGAGAGACGCGTGGCCAGAGGTTCAGCTGGTGCGCGGCGTACCTGACCGCGTATGGCCACAGGAAATGGGGGGCACGGGCGTGAGTCAAGGAGGTGCGGGCAATCTCCATGACCAGGCCTATGCGACGCTCAGCAACCCCATTCTGCTGTGGGGACTCCGGAAGCGTCCAGGACTGACGAATGCCCTGTTCGCGACAGAATCCAGCGAGAATGCCGGAGCGAAACTCGCCCCCGCGGTCGGAGTGGAGACAGCTGACACGACGACCACGAGTGTCCTGGGTGGTAAGCAACCACCTGATCAGCGTAGAAGTCACCTCAGACTTCCTCGCCAGGGGGAACACTGTGGTGTAGCGGGAGTAGTCGTCAACGACCACCAAAAAGAAACGCTCACGCTCAGGGCCAGGGCGAGGAGAGGGGCCCCAGACGTCCAAGTGCAGCGTCTCAAAAGGCTCGGTGGCCGGACGAAGGGAGGAGGAGTGAGGGGTGGCGCGCAGCCTACCCTCGACGCAAGGACCGCACGGTGGTGCAAGGGACGGCGGCAGCGACGGCAAGACACGCGGGAGACCTAAGACAAGACGCTGACGAGACATAGCGCGAAGACGAGGAGGAGAAGGGTGCCCCAACCGGTGGTGCCACAAAACGGTGGGGTGGGCAAGCGACCGACAGGAGCACGACGCAGCGACCGGACTAGACGGAGGAACCTGACAAGACACAGCTACCTGGGGGGACGGAGCAACCTGGTGAGACGCGAGGACTCGAACGGGGGGCAAAACAGGGGCCGGGGGCAGGAGGGGCGGCTGTGGCTGCGGCTGCGGCTGCTGCTGCTGCTGCAGTCGCTGCTGAGCGCGCGGGCCAGTGTGAAGAGTGTAGAGACCGGAGCCCGGCTCAGCAGCAAAAGTGGCGAGGGGCTGGTAAGAGTCCCCGTCAACACACACCGCAGTCTCTCCAGAAGGCTCAAACCACACACCCACGTGCTGACTCACGAGGGGTCGCACGCCCACCAAGTTCCGGGAGAACGAGGGGACGTGAAACCCAGTGAGAGACCCAGAAGGAGCAGCCGGACACGGCAAGGTGGTAGTGTGACGCGCGGTGACTGGTCCCGAAGTGGGATCAGCCAGCGCCACAGAAACAGGCGCAGGAAGAGGCGTAAGTGTCGTGCTGTCACGAAAGAAGCAGTGAGAGGCTCCAGAGTCCAGCGTGAACGACAGCGAACCGTCCTCTGAGGTAGCCGCTGGACTAGAGTCTACACAAGAACCTACACTAGCAACAGGCAACTGAGCAAGGCTAGCACCTAAGCTAACAACACCAGAGTAAACAGAGTCAGAAACACTAGAGTCAACAACAACATACATAGCATGGGGAGTACCAATCAGATCAACTAACTGCTCAGCAGACATGCCCCACAGAGCGGAGCCGTAACGCTGAACAAGAGGCAGCCAGTCAGGGGCAGGAGCACCAACCCCGTAGACCAAACGAACCGTGTCAGTGAGCTGAGCAAAGCACTGACCAGGGGGGTGAAACCGGCCACAAGGGTGGCCACGACGAGTGCCTGTCAGAACCTGGTAGGTGCAGGGAGTGTAAACAGCACCGCGCTGGGTCTGACGCAGCCCCGACCCTGGAGCCAGCTGCTGCCGCTGCTGCTGCTGAGGCTGCTGGGAGGAGAGGGGCTGCTGGTGCTGCAGAAGCTGCTGCTGACGCTGAGCCTGGTACCACGCCGCTGCTCCACCAACCGGGGCAGGAAGTACAGGAGGCGACTGACGAACTCGGGCGTCGCCACCACCAGCAGGCGCAGTGGAGTCACCAGTCACTGCACGAGGCGCCTCTCCAGGCCCTGAACCTCCACCGCCGCCAGGCGCAACGCCACCTCCACTACCTCCGCCTCCACCTCCACTACCACCACCAGAACCGCCTTTCTTGCCACTCCTACCGCGGGACCGCGACGCAGTCGTAACAGCAGCTGCAGTCGCGTCAGTAGCGGCAGTGGCAAGTGAGGCAGTAAAGGTGGGTAACTGCGGGACTGTGCACCCGTGGAAGAGTGGGGGGGGCACAGCACCAGAGGCAGCGGCTACCGAGCGAAGGTTGCTCTCGACGTCCTTGAGTGCAGACTCAAGGACCTCGACGGTGAGCTCACTAGGGTGCTTCAGCAGAAGCGCGTCGCGAACGGAGGCAAGGCGGTCAGGGAGGCTAGTGGCGATGAAATAGATAGTAATCGCCATAGGGGGAGGAAGCAGTGCAAGCTGTGCCTCAGTGCAAGCAGCGCGGTAACTAGCGTCGAGCGAGCGGAGGTGAGCGATCAAGTCAGCAGAGCGCTCAAAAGACGCTAGGTCAGGAAACAGGAACGGGAGGAACAGGCGGCCAAGAGAGACAGCAGCGGGAGTAGAGTAGCGGGCCTTAATCGCAGTGAGGTACGCAGCAGCGGTGCGAACCTGAGTGAAGTGAACCTCCTCAGACTCAGGGAGGAGGCTGCTGAGCGCGATGCAGGCCGCAGCGTCACGTGACGTCCAAGCCGTCTGGTCAGCTCGCTGAGTGGCAAAGCGGGCTCTAGCGGCGTCGTCAGGGGCAGGTCCTAAAGGCGTAGGGTCGGGGGGCGCAGGTAGGGCACCAGTAGCGTGCGCCCAGAGGGTCTCGCCTGCCTGGACCTGACTCTCTAACAGACGGCGAGCACGAAGAAGCCAGACGGAAAAATCAAGAGGTCTACCGTCAGCGTCGAAACGAAGGACGCGCTGAGTCGCCATAGTGAAAACGAACGCGAACGGAGAGGGAGGGGACAGTAGAAGGTGAGGGGCAAATTAGGGTTCGGCGGTACTCTGGGACAGGGGAGGAGCGGACGCCACAGCGGGCGTGACAGCGGGAGGTAACAGGGGACTAAGCAGCGGGGAACGGGAACGGGCGCAGCGGCGGGCGATGGCAGCGCGCTCGGCAGCAGGGGCCAGCAGCGCGCGCAGCGGGCGACGGCAGGGGGCGCAGCGGCGACGCGCGCAGCGGCGGGCGACGACGGCGGGGCCGCGGCGAGGCGCGCAGGGGGCGGGCGACGGCGGCAGGCGCGGCGGCGACGAGCGCGGTCGCGAGCGACAGTGGCGGGCGCTGCGGGACGGGCGACGCGACGGGGGGAGAGGGCGGGAGCGACGGGACAGGGGGAGGGCGACGCGACGGGGGGAAAGGGGCGGGTGCGACGGGACAGGGGGAGGGCGAAGCGACGGGGGGAAGGGGCGGGCGCGACGGGACAGGGGGAAGGCGACGCGACGGGGGGAAGGAGCGGACGCGACGCGACGGGGGGAGCGGTAACAGCTGGAACGATACGAACGAGAGCGTGGGTCGTTGCTAGGCTCGGTAACAACGAGAAGGAGACGAACGAGAGCTAAGGCTCGGGTGGTACGAACGGAGAACGGCGGAACGGGATCCCACAGGATCCTAACCTAACTGATACCATGTCAGAATGAAGAATGGATGATGCATTGATGTTGGTTGGGGTACATATAGCTAACCCTAAGTTTTGTACCCCCTAAGACAAACCTCACTATAGGCTACAACATTTGACAGGAAGGCCAATCTTTATTGACGGAAGGATTACAGTGGAAGACAAATAGCGGACAGGCACCAAACACCCTGCTTATCACAAGTAAACACAGGCTTACCAGTAACGAGGATGACCAAAATCCTCTTTTATTTGTCTCAATACCTTCATAACCTTTTGCTTATCAAAAGTCAAGGGCTTGAGCCTAGCACCCTTGCCAAAAACAAGGTAGTAATTCAAATCGCACGCATGTGAAAGATGATGAAAGCACGCGTTATCATAATTATCGGGACGAATCTCCAGCACTGTACCGTTGGGCGGCATAAATATCATGTGGGACATCCCTGCCCCATGCCCTGCCACTAGAAGACGAGCCTTGCTGAACAAGTCCCGAGCTGCCAGGAGAACAAGACCGTATGAGGGGGGAATGGGGGGAGCAACGGAGTGAAGCTGAAGGCTGATGCATCACAATGAGAAAACGCAAAGCAAAGAGCAGGAAAAGGTAGACTTGAATGTAGGATCAGGAATTCAATTTGCTTTCGAAAATGGTATACACTGCAAGAACTTCCACTTACTTTCATAAACGCTCTGTGTGCCGTTGAAAATGTGGACCCTGCCCATCCCAAAAAGCTTCTGAACTGCCCCCAGCAGCTGCCCGAACTGCTTCATCGTCCTGCCCTTGGCCCCGAGCCGCTGCACCACCACCACGATCCAATCCTTGGGCAGCGGAAAAACCTTCGTCAAATATTTCCGGTCTCGAAAACCCACACTCGCATTACCCGGCCCACCATCCAAACTGCCCGAAAAATTCCCATGACCATCGCCACGTGGCACGTTCCGGAGCTGCCACCTGTCCTCATAAAAGTACGGCAACCCTTCGGGCAGAAGAATGTGATTATAACGAAGGGTGCGCCAAATGGCAGGAGAGGGATTCCCACAACTCTGGTAGAGTGGCAGGTAAAGATTTTTCACGTGGAAAATGGTTCCCTCGGGAATGGCTAGGCGGCGGAAGAATTTGGTGCTGACTCTGACCAGGTGTTGAATGGTGCGATGATAGAAACGCCACTGGCAGGAGGGATGGAGGAGAGATGGAGCGAGGTGGGGGTTAGGGGGCGGGGGTTTGTGGGGGGAAATAAGAAAGTATGAGACTGGTGGGGTTGAGGGAAGAACGGAGGGCAGGATGGTTGATATATTATGCAGGCTGCGTGTGTGTACATTTCTGTATCCAGAGGTTGTTTTTGAGGAACAAGGAGCATTTGTATCCCTCTTGAGGCGCCTCCAAAGGTGTCGAGCCCAGCTTTACCTGGGAGGGTCGAGCCAGAAGCGGGATGTCTGGATGAGCTGCAAGCACTTTGTGGAGAATATAGAAGGCGGGTTGCCACTCTATGAAGCCGTGATAGAATGCGTCCGCTTGGCGATACACAAGAGAAACTGCTTTGTCAACGTGATACACTTGAGTCTTTCCTGCCTTGAAGGAGAACTGGGGGAGGCGCAGGTAAGGGGGAGAGGTGAAGAACCTGGAGAGTCATACATGTTACATTTGCGCATCTTACGTCGAGGTGAACGTTGCAGTCACCCTTGTTGAAGAGAGCCGTTGCATTGAAAGAATGTTTGCAGAACTTCGTCTATATAGTTGTACAGTTCTAAAGTTACACATTCATGCATTGAAAATGCTTACATTCAAGTGGCCGTTACAGTCACCCTTGTTGAAGAGAGCGGTCGCATTGAACACATGTGTACACTTTCACATGAATAGATGCACTCATTTAAACAGTAAAACAACTACAAATCTTACATTGAGGTGGCCGTTGCAGTCACCCTTGTTAAAGAGAGTGGTGGCATTGAACACATTGCCGTCGTCGTTCACATACACGTCATTCAAGCGAAACACCTATGCGAGTGGGGATGAAATGAAACAGGGGAAAATCAAAGGAAGACAAAAGGGGGAAACTGGAAGAAAGCGATTGAACTCATTGAACAGGGATGGCAAAGGAAGACAAAGGGGGAAACTGAAAGAGAGTGGTCGCATTCAACTCATTGCCGTCGTTGTTCACATACACATCATTTACGCGAAATACCTCTGCGAGTGGGAATGAAACAGGGGAAAAACAAAGGAAGGCAAAAGGGGGAAACTGGAAGAAAGCGATTGAACACATTGCCATCGCCGTTCACGCGCACATTGTTCAACCGAAACTCCTGCATGGGTGGGAAGGAAAAGGGGATGGCAAAGGAAGACAAAGGGGGAAACCGAAAGAGAGTGGTGGCATTGAGCACATTGCCGTTGCCGTTCACGCGCACATTATTAAACCGAAACTCGTGCATGGGTGGAAAAAGAAGAGTTTTGAGACGTCTCAAAACTCTTCTTTTTTCACGTGCCGTTCACGTGCACATTATTCAAGCGAAACTCCTGCATGGGTGGGAAGGAAACCAAAGAGAACGGGAGAGGGAAAGGGAAGAACGAGATTCCACACAACACATTGCCATCCATCATTCGTTCACATACACACAACACTCAAGTGCAACACTGCATGATGGCAGAAACGGTTATACAAGAGAGAATACCTGATAAGCGGCCTGGTCATGCCAGTGGAAGTCCGTGTAATGGCTGCAACTGGTATCCCTCCCCTCTGGTTTCAAGTCGTTCGCGTTATTTATTTTTGGGCAGTTTATCGGAGTGGGCGGCTTCACATACCCCTCATCCACCAATTCTGCGTTCCAGCAGGCTGAGATGTTGGGGAAAAGTTTTCCGCAGCTGCCCGAGAAGTCCGGGCAGGGTTTCCCTGTGCAGTTAAGGGAGAGAAGAGATGTTTTGTGGTGTAGACCGTAGTTGAGATGGAGTATTTGCAGGTCTGAATTGGTAATGTCTCGGTTTAGAGTGGTAATCTCCTCTGCTGACTCGATAGTCCCCTCGCCATATTCACTCTCGTTTGTGTCACCAGCAGCAGTGGTAGCAGCAGCAGCACTAGCATCATCACTAGCAGCAACACGACCAGCAGCAGTAGCAGAGGCACTAGAAGCATTAGTAAAAGCAGGAGCAGCAGAGGCAGTAGCATTAGTAGCAACAGCAGAAGCAGCATAGTCAGCAGCAGCACTAGCGGCAGTTTTCCGAGCCTCAGCAGCAGCAGCACTGGCAGCATGTTGCCGAGCCTCAGCAGCGGCAGCTATGGCAGTAGCCACGGCACCGGGGCTGTGCATGCTGCTGACGTGGCTCAACTCGGCATCCATGCCTCTGCCCGGGCGAAACGCCCATGTGACTGTACCGGGGGGGGGGGTGGTGGTAAGAGGGAGGGAGAGGGGGGAGGAGCGGGGGAGGGAGGGGGGGGAGGAGGGGATGAGGGAGGAGTGGAGATGGTGGGGAGGGAGAAGGGAGAGGGATGCAAAAATGGGTGTACAAAAATTTTGGGGGTAGCGAGGGACACATGTTCGTTTACCAGGGTGCAACGTTCATGTGACTGTATCGGGTTGGTACCGAGAGCTACATGTGATAGGATGAGAGACTTATCGTTTATAATGCGTATGTCCAAAACGCGGTGGGACGACACCTAGAAAGCGCTTCGCTGGGGAAATCTAAACGCATGTTTTGCACCAGTAGCGTGAACGGCGCGTGCCATTGTAACGAGGTGACTTTATAGTCGACTCAAAAGTCAATGGCGTGAACGGCGCGAGCGTGAGAATCGCGACGCACTGATTTGGACGGCAGTGATGCATCCCGCGACGAGGATGGCGAAGAGAACGAAGAGGGTTGCGCGAGGTCGTGGTAACCCGCGGCGAGGGGAACGCGCTGGCATGCGACTGATTGGCGATGGTCGGTCGTCGTCCCATGTGTCATCGTTTCCTAATGGCATCCTCGCTATGAGATGCTTCGCAATCAAGTGATATGCTGCGGAAATGACACATCAAGTGTGGTTGGTGGTGTCTTCGGCTGTGCTCGACAGCTGGGAGCAAGTGAAATAGTGTAGATACTCCTAAACAACCAGTTTCTAGGCTTGATAACACGTCAGAAGGTGCTTGAGCTTTCATTATTTTGTTTTCCAGTAAAATTTGATGGCAAAGAGAGAGTGATGATATTATTCGCTTACAAAACAGCGTACCATTATCTCGATTGTGAGCCATTTGCAGCTATCATAGTTCTAAGGTCGTTACAGAATGTAAAGAAATCAAATTCATGAGATTATACCTTCAATCTTCTTGACACTTCTGTATCGAGTATATCATGACTTGCTTTCTGACACGCGCTGCGGCAGGCATTTTCAAACTAGCGCGGGAGACATTTGACCCTGCCACATGCGGAACCAAACAAATTCTCTGACGCATCAGGGTGAGATGCACAGCACATCACACGGTCCGGGAAACTGAGCCTGCAACACGGGCAGATGTCTTGAGGACGACGGAATTTGAAATTGGCGGCAAATTCTGCAGCCAACCGACTGGCAGGGCTTGGGCAACCCCTGATTGATTCCTCTCGGTTTTGTCTAGCATACTGCGTTGCAAAGCGAAATTGTAAGCGAACCGTACGAAACCGTGAGGAAACCAACCAAACAGTTCGGAATGCAGACACGTTGCTAGCTGGCAAACCCATCAATCACGTTGCTCCCACTCGACAATCCCAGAGTTTCCTGATGCTCCCTGAGCTTGATGATTTTCGCTGAAAGCAGCGGCAATCTCTGAGGTGTTTTCGCTGTGAGCAGCGATAATAAGTGTATGTTGGATGTGATGTGGACCGTCGATTCTCCCATCATTTGTGTGCCTAAATCACGGAGACGAATTTCCAAGGTGATGTAACCACCGTGATGCGCTGACTCACTGGACATTTCACGGAGATGGCTTCACTTATCAGGCTCTTCGAAGACGAGCTCTGGTAGTCTCCGTGCAACTCGTTAGGCCGTTTCAGTCAAGCTCGGCTCGCTTGTTCCTCCTCCTCGTACCCTGCAGGCAAGAGCTGGAATTTCTGAGATACAACGCTAATTTCAGGACTCAAGTGAAGGACCTAATTCATTTGCAGAACAACCAAGCCGAAACCTGGCTGTCTGATGCTTAGTCAACTTGCGTCGCGAGTCTTTCCAAGGCAGTTGTATTATTTTTCATCGACTCATAGTATCACGAATTATAGTGGAAAGTAAGATCACGATTACAATTCTCCAGAGTTGTTGCGCGATGCCGGCCGAGTTTTTATCAATCTAGCGTCCATACGACCACGTACTTATCAGTGGTTTGTCGGGAGCGAGCAACCATGGCTCAGCGAGCGGGCTGGTTCTCGTCGGAGCACAAGTCGAAGCATCTGCTCGCGACAATCAAGGAAAAGGATGGCGAGATTGAAAGCCTTCACAAGACCATCGATTCCCTTCATCAGGTACAACTCAATCCTCTTTGCTCGAATTTTGAGTCGACTCAAACAAAGGCGAGATCGAGGGCCTTCGAAAAACCATTGATTCCTTCAGCAGGTACAATCCAAGATTGTTACGGGCGATTTCTGTCCGGGTAATTCCTGTGCGTCGACTCAAAAAGCGCCTTCGGTGCTTCATGGCTTTCACAAGACCGTCGAGCCCTGCACCAGATATAAGCGAACTCGTTGTTTCTTAAATGGGTGTGACGAGGTGGGCTTTGAGTCGAGTCACATAGTCGCTTCAATCCTTAGGGGTCCGACAACCTCGTTTCTGCTCGAGTTTGTGGTACGTATAATGAATTCGCTCGAGAACTTGTAACTGTTGGAGTGGTTCGCGACCAACAGTAACTGCTCACTGCTCGCTCAGAAGACTTCATTTGATAATGAGATATTCGTAATTCCGGTGGCTGTTCATCCACTGTGAGCGACGTCTGAGGACCTGATTGGTTGGACGACACAACGCAAACACGCTAACACACTCGTAACACCATTTCTTGTGTGCGCGTATGTGTTTTTCCCTGCAGGAACTGGAGAATGAGAAGTCGGAGAAGCGATCCATGACTCAGGTAAGGCCCGGACCCATCCTTTTGATTCCAGGTTCGTTACACCCCTCTCCCTGCTTTCATCCCCCATGCATGAGACACCTTCCCGGTTTTCGATGCACAAGCCAGTCTCCTATACCTTTCTCCCTTAACGTCCTCCGTCATCCCTCCCCATGCCCCCTCAACATCCGTCTGTCTTCCGTCATGTCACGTCATGCTCCGTCTATCTTTCGTCATCCTCCGCCGGCTCTCTCCCCTTGTCACTTTCGATTCTCTGCAGGATTTCAAGCGGCTAGCCGACACGGTGAAGCAGCTTCACCATGACTCGACCGTCAGAACCAAGGTAAGCCGTGGTTCATTGCGGTGCAGCGATGTTCTGCTCGGTTACGTCTTACAGTTACTACACAGAAAGTATCACCTGTTTGCTTCTTGACCTTGTAACCACTCCCTGCTCACACCATGTGTGCTCCGTGTATCTGGTACCCCTTGCGTTGTTTCTTTCCAGGAGAAAGCTTCCATGGAGCGGGAGAGGGTGCGACTGCAGGAGAAAGTTCAGAAGGCGGAGAGGGAGACGCACGTGCTGCGAGGGAGAGTGGGCGAGCTGGAGGAGCAGGTGCTGGCGCAGGAGCAGGAGCTGCAGGAAGCGACTTACCGCATGGAAAAGGTGAGAGCAGGGAATGGGTGAGGCACGTGCGGAGCAGGGAATGGGTTTGAAGGATGCGTGGAGAATGCGAGAGGTTTGAGGGAGAGTGGGCGAGCTGGAGGAGCAGGAGCTGCAGGAGGCGACTTACCGCATGGAGAAGGTGAGGCACGGGAGGCACGGGGGAAGTACGGTGCAGGGGAAAAGGTTTGAGGGAGAGTGGGCGAGCTGGAAGAGCAGGTGCTGGCACAGGAGCAGGAGCTGCAGGACGCAACCTACCGCAGGGAGAAGGTGAGGGAAGGACGGTAGGTAGGAGCAGAGACATGAACGATGAAGTTGTTTGTTAGTGGGCGAGCTGGAAGAGCAGGTGCTGGCGCAGGAGCAGGAGCTGCAGGAGGCGACTTACCGCATGGAGAAGGTGAGAGCAGGGAATGGGTGAGGCACGTGGAGAATGGGAGAGGTTTGAGGGAGAGTGGGCGAGCTGGAGGAGCAGGAGCTGCAGGAAGCCACCTACCGCATGGAGAAGGTGAGGCGCGGGAGGTACGGGGAAAGTACGATGCAGGGGAAAAAGTTTGAGGGAGAGTGGGCGAGCTGGAGGAGCAGGCGTGGAGCAGGTAGGAGCTGGAGGAGCTGGAGGAGCTGGAGGAGCTGGAGGAGCTGGAGGAGCAGGTGCTGCAGGAGGCGACTTACCGCATGGAGAAGGTGGGGGATGGGGAACGCGCAAGGCAAATGGCGCAGTGGAAGCCGCGTGAAAAATGAAGCGAGGGAAATTTGCGCGCTGATTGTTCTTTCTTCAACTGAGTGCGCATTGCGCGTTGGCTGTGCAGGCTGTGCGGGAGGAGGAGCGGAAGAGCGTGGAGATTCAGCGGAGGCTGGGGGAGGAGTATCAGGCTGCTATGGACGGGCAGAACCGGCTGCAGGCCATGTGAGTGGCTTGTTAGCGTTCACAGCAACGTTTCGAGGCGCCTTGGAACATTTGTTTGTCTCTCTTGGTTTCATCTTTCGGTTCCCACTCTTCTGTGTGTCAGGCTGGAGAAATTATGCGTCATTGTGATTCCCTGACTGAATCACCTTCTCCTCCCTTGGTTTCCATTCCATCTCTTGTGCCTGTCAGGCTGGAGGATCAGGGCAAGCGGGTGGATGAGTTGACAACACTGCTGAGCCAAAAGGGGTTGGAGTGCAAGGACGTTTCCCAAAAGCTGCATTCCGCGAAGGAAGGTGAGTGAGAGTATTACCTTAAGCCTTCTTAATCGGATCCTTAATAAGCCATTTTGTCCTTTCAGAAGCCAGTTTTTGTCAAGGAAGGTGAGATAGAAGGCAATACAGAAGCACATGAGGGGTGGATAGGCCGGGTGTACCTCTCTTCCACAAGCGACTGAAGTGGGGGAGTATACTCAAAATCTGACGCCTTGACTTGGCTTACGAAGGCAATAACCCTAAACCAAGCTGTTTCTCAATGCTTTTTAAAGCGCCTCAAAAAGCTCAAAGATTGGCTTCTGACCCCTCTTCCTGTCTCTGATTCCTCCTTTTTCTAATCTGCTCCTTCCAGAGAATAACAAGCTGCGGCGAAGGCTCAAGGCCACTGCTCTGGCCCAGAGCTGCGAGGCAGGCTCGGCAAGCCCGGACCTGCGGGAGGCTCTGGCTCGGGCGGAGAGGCAGCTGCTGGAGAAGAAGCAGCAGGTGGAAGTGGCCGAGGCTCTTAACGAGGAGCTGAAAGAACAGGTGCGTGGGAGTGGGCGAGTGAGAGTGCAGGGTGGAGAATGGGCAGGGCTTGGGTCTCTAGTAGCTGCTGGAGAAGAAGCAGCAGGTGGAAGTGGCGGAGGCTCTTAACGAGGAGCTCAAGGAACAGGTGCGTCGGAGTGGGAAGGTGTTCTGGATGGGTCTGGGTGGGTTGGGCGAGTAAGAGCGTGGGTGGGAAACGGCAGGGTTTGCGTGTTGGGCTGAGAGGCAGCTGTTTCTGGAGAAGAAGCAGCAGGTGGAAGTGGCCGAGGCTCTTAACGAGGAGCTCAAGCAGCAGGTGCGTGGGAATGGGCGGGCGTGAGTGAGAGGGGTGAGAGAGGGATGTGCATGCGGATCTGGGGGCGCAAGTAACCCGGCAAGCCTCAGGAAAATTGATCAGTTCATTAGTTGGTTGGTCGAGCCAGGAGGATCGCCAGTTTTCTTCAAGCCTTGGCTTACTTCCGCTATTCCTTCTAACCCACGATCTCCAGGTGAAACACCTGACGGCCCGGCTGAGCCAGGAGGATCTTCAGGTGTTTCGGCAGTCCTTCAAGGGGCGTTTGGCAGCTGCGGAGCAGTGTATATCGGAGCAGGAGCAGAAGAGCAAAGCGCTAAGCCATGCTGCCGAGGCACACATGGGACTGGGGGAGAGATTGAAGGAGGTGGAGGAGGAGTGTGGGAGGTGGAGGGAGATTGCCAGAGAGAGTGAGATAATGGCGGGTGGGGCGGAAGAGGCGCGTAGGCTTGCAGTGGAGCAGCTTGAAACGAGGATGCGGGCGTGGGAGAGGGAGAAGGAGGAGCTGGTGCGGAGGATGGAGGAGTTGGAAGGGGTGGAGAGGGAAAATGGAGGGAAGGAAACAGAGGGAGTTAAGGAACAGTTGAGGATAGCAGAGGAAGAGAGGGAGGAGATGCGGAGGCGTTTGCAAGAGGCTTTAGAAGCTTGCTCCGAGAGTGAGGCGCTAGTAGATGCTATTGAAAGATCAAGGGAAGGGCTTAAGCAGGAAGTGCAGGGGTTGAGTGAGAGGAACCGGGAGATTGAGGCGGAGTTGGTGAGTGTGAGGGAGAGTGCGAGGGAGAGAATGAGGGAGCGAGTGAGGGAGGCGGAGGAGGCAGTGGAGGAGGCGAAAAGGGAGTGTGAGGAGATGCGGTGGAGGGTGGATGAGGGGAGGAGGGCAGAGAGGGAGAGGGAGGAGGAGGTGGAGAGGCTAAGGGTTCAAGTGACGGAGGCTGTAGAGAGGAAAGAAGCGGCTGAGGAGGAAGCTGAGCTGGTAAGGAAGGAGTTGAGTGTGGTGCAGAGGGAAGTGGAGAGTGTGATGGTGGAGCTAGAAGCGAGGGAGAGAGGGATGGCGGAGCGGGAGGAGGAGGTGAGGGGGCTTGAGCAGCAGATTGAAGGGCTTCAGGAAGAGGTGGAGAGGGAGAGGGAGGCTGTGAGGCGGGTAGAGGCAGACAAGCAGGAGATTTCTCAGAGGATTTTTCAGGAGATTTCTCAGGAGATGGAAGCAAGGGTTGAGAGGTTGGAGGAGCAGGTTAGGGGGCTTGAAGGGGAGGTGGAAAGGGAGAAGGAGCGAGTGGTGTGTGTGGAGATGGCGCTTAGGAGGAAAGAGGAGGAGGTGCAGAGCGGTAGAGAGGAGCGGGAAGGGATGGAAAGGGAGATTGAGAAAATGCGGGAGAAGGTGGAGGAGGAGGTGAAGGGGAGAGGTGAGGCAGAGGGGAAAGTGCGAGAGATGGAAGAGGAGAAGAGGAGAGCAGAGGAGGAGAGAGAACAGGAGGTGGAAGGATTGAGGGGAGAGGTGGAGAGGCTTGAGAAAGAGGTGGAGAGGGTTCGGGAGGAGTTGGAGGGAGTGAGAGGGCAGGTGGTGGGGGAGAGTGAAGTGAGGCGAAGGCTGGAAACCGTTGAAGGGGAGTATGGGCGGCTTAGGCTGGAACTTTCTACGAAAGTGAGGGAGGCTGCAGCAGAGAGAGAAGCGACGGAGGAGAAGGAGAGGGAGTTGCAGCAAGTAAGGGAGGCAGCAGTAGTTGCGACTGAGGAGTGGAAGAAGGAGTTGGGAGAGGTTGAGAGGGTTATGGGGGTGATTCGGGAGGAGCGGGAGGCGGTGCAGAGGGAGTGTGAGCGGTTGAGGAAAGAGGCGGAGGAGAGGGAGGTGCAGGTGAGGCTGTTGGAAGGGGCAAGGGATGATGTGGTTGCTGCGATGGGAGGGATTCGGGATGAGAAGAGAAAGGTTGAGAGGGATATGGAGGAGCGGATTGAAGCTCTGAAGGTGGAGCTTGAGGAGGTGAGGAGGCGGGGGGAGGAGGAGAGGGAGGCGCGGGAGAGGGAGAGGAAGAAGGGAGAGGAGGAGAGGAAGGAGAGGGAGGAGGAGAGGGAGGAAGAGCGGCGTGTTATGGAGGCGGAGAGGAGGCAGTGGGTGGAGGAGAGGGAGAGGATGGAGGAGGAGAGGAGGAAAATGGAGCAGGAGAAGGGGAGGATGGAGGAGGAGAAGGAGAGGATGGAGGAGGAAAGGAGGCGGTGGGAGGAGGAGGTGTGTGCTGCGAGAGAGGCAGCAGAGGAGGCGGAAGGGAAGGCGAGTGCTGCAAGAGAGTTGGTGGACGAGCTTCAGAGAGAGATTGATGCGCTGCAAGGAGAAATCGATGTGCTAAGGGAGCAGGGGCAGGCGCAGGCGCAGCAACAGGCACATCAGCAGGGGCAGGGGAACGGAGGAGAGGCCAACGACATGATTGAGCTGGTGAGTGGTGGCGTATGATGGCGTGATTGTATCGAAAGTAGATCGTGACTTTTGAGACGTCTCAAAAGTATGGAGGAGAGTCAAATGACATGATTGAGTTGGTGAACAGTTGTATATGATGGTGTGATAGTATCGAGAGTAGAGCATAACCAGCACTCCTGAAGTCAGCATCCACGCCTGTGGTCGGTTCCCCTAACAAAGCAAAGTCTACTTCTCCTTTTCCCCGCGCACGCCAGGTGGAGGAGCTGAAGGAACAACTGAGGGAGGCTGAGGACGCGCTGAGTATGAACGAGACGAACCTGTTGATCTTACTTGGGACTCATATTCCCTTGCCAATTCCGGCGCCCTTTTCCCCACACCAAGCAGGTGGAGGAGCTGAAGGAGCAGCTGAGGGAGGCGGAGGAGACGCTGAGTATGAACGAGACGAACCTGTCGGCTTCTGACTGGGCTGTGCAGCAGCTGGCTGGGGAGTTGTCTACTGTGAAGAGGGTGAGTGGGCTGAGGGGGAGTGGGGAAGGTGGTGTGCGAATAGATGAAAGGCTGATGATGATGAGAGCTGGTACAGAGACCTGTAGGTGCCTGTATGAATGAGACGAAGCTGGGGGCGTCTGACTGGGCTGTGCAGCAGCTGGCAGGAGAGCTGTCGACTGTGAAGATGGTGAGTGGGGAGGGTGGGTGGGGAGGGTGCGAGTATGATGGAGCTATCATGCACGACACAAATTTGTTGGCATCTGACTGGGCTGTGCAGCAGCTGGCAGGGGAGCTGTCGACTGTGAAGAGGTTGAGTGGATTGAGGGGGGATAGGGGGCTGGTGTTCGAATGAATGGACTTGAGTCCACTCACAATGACAGCTGGCTGGTACTGAGACGGAGACCGAGACGGAGACTGAGACCGAGACCGAGATTGAGACTGAGACCTGCCTGCACGAGAAAAGGAATCAGCAAAGCTGATGGATCAGGCAGCGGACGAGAATAGCCACGTGCAGCGAGGGTGTTTTTGAGATGTATCGAAAATCAGGCAGTGGAGGAGAAGGAGAGGGATTTGGAGTGAGCTCTTACTCTTGCTGCGCTATGCTCACCCACTCCCCTTCTTACAGAAACTGGTAGAGCGGGAGAAGGAACTAGCTGAGGTGCAGGACAGGTTGTCAGTTCTGGACCATGCAGTGGACGAGAAGGGGAGGGACCTGGAGCGACCTCTTATTCTTGTTGCCCTGTGCTCACCCACCCTCCCACGCCTCCGAACCCCTTCTAACCCCACAGAAACTGGTGGAGAGGGAGAAGGAGCTGGCAGAACTACAGGACCGGCTGTCGGTGCTTGATCACGCAGTGGACGAGAAGGAGAGGGATCTAGAGCGACTGGCAGCAGCACTGCAGGAGGCGAACAAGAAGCGGTGGGCGCGGGCACAGCAGATCAAACAAATGGAGGGAGAAATGGCGGCTCTGCGGGAGCAGGTGCAGGGGCAGGTGGGGACTTTGGAAGACGCGAGTGGAGGTGAGGGGAGTGCAGCGAAGAAAGATGTTGGAAGGGTGGGTGAGGGAGAGAGGGAAGATGAAGTGTTTGAGAGGCAAGGGCAGGAGTTGGGACACGGGCAGGAACAGGAGCATGATCAGAAGCAGGAGCGGGAGCAGGGGCAGGAGACGGAGAGGGAGTTGAGGGAAGCAAGGGAGGCAGTTCAGAGACTGCTGATAGAGGTGGAAGAGGGAAGAAGGGAGGTGGAGGAGAGGAGGAAGAGAGAGGAGGAGCTGAAGGAGGAAGTGGAGGAGGGAAGGGAGAGAGTGAGGGAGGTGGAGGGACGGCAGAGAGAGGCGGAGAGGCGAGTGAGGGAGTTGGAGGAGGAGGTGTGTGGGTTGAAGGGGGTGATGGAGAGGAGGGGTGAGGAAGTGGAGGAGAGATTGAGGGAGGTAGAGCAAAAGCGAGGGGAGGCGGAGAGGCGAGTGAGGGAGTTGGAAGGGCAGCTTGCAGAGATGAAGGGAGATTTGGAGAGGAAGGAGGAGGAGAGGAAGGAGGCTGCTACTGCTCTCGCTGCTGCTGCTAAGGCTGCTGCTACGTCTGATGCTGCTGCCGCTGATGCTGTTGCAGCTGCTAGTTCTGCTGCTGCCGCTGCTGTCTCCCTTTGTGCTGCTTGCAATGGCTCCGCCAGTGCTGGTACCACCGCTTCTGCTGCAGCTGGTGGTGGTGCTGCTGGGGCCTGGAGCGCAGGGGAGGAGGGGCGTATATGGGAGCTACGAGCAAAGCAGCTGGAAAAGGCAGTGGAGCGATGGAAGGAGTTTGAAGCAGCAGCGAGGCGGGAGGCCAAGTCCAAGAGAGAGGAGCTGGAGCTCAATAGCAGACTGCTGGCTGATGCTGTTAGCCTGAACGATGAAAACGAGGTGACTCTGAAACGGCTAAGGGACGAGGTGTTGGCTCTGCGGGAGAAGTTAGAGGGTGTGGAGGCGGCGAGGGAGAAGGAGAGGAGGGGAGGAGGTGGGGGAGTGGGGAGTGGGGGGGAGAGAGCGGGTGGAGGAGGAGGGGAGGGGGAGCTGGGGCGGTTGAGGGAGGAGGTGAAGGGGCTGCGTTCGAAGCTGCGGGTTGCAGAGATGGAGTGGGAGAGTGAGAGGGCGCAGAAGGGGCGGGCAGAAGAGGCACTGGCGAAGTACAGGAGGAAGCTGAGTGAACGGGAGGAGGAGCTGCATGATGCCTTGGATAGGCTCTCTGCTGCTGCTGCTGGTGCTGGTGGTGGTGGTGGTGGTGGTGGTGTCGGTGCTTCTAAGGAGGATTCTGCAGCAGCAGCTGTACTACAAGACAGGGTGTTTGCGCTCGAAAGGTGTGTTGCAGTATCTGTTTATATGGGGTATAGGTCTGGGGTATAGGTCTGGGTTATGGGGTGTCGCTTGAAGTATAAGAGGAAGCTGAGTGAAAGAGAGGGGGAGCTGCATGATGCCTTGGATAGGTTCTCTGCTGCTGCTGCCGCCACTGCTGCTGCTGCATGCAGACCAGCATTTCGCTGCCTTGTTATCCCTTGGCCTCATGCCCCCACTGAATTTACCTCCCTCTTTCTCTCCCCCCTTTTCTCTCCCCCCTCCTCTCTCGCCCATCATCCCTTCCCGTTACAGGGAGAAGACAGACCTTCTGTTTCAGCTGGAGCAGCAGCAACACACGGACCGCCTTATGGCTGCCTCTGGCCTCACCCCTGCTCGATCCAACCTTCTGTTGCAAACACCTGCTCAGACACCTGCAATGGCACCTGCTAGAACACCTGCCAAGGCTGACTTTGCAGCTACAGCAGGCCTCGCTACTGCAGCAGCTGCTGCTAAGACACCTGCTATTGCAGCTGCTACAGCTGCTACCATCACCTTTGGTGCCGAACCGAAATCGCCTCTTGGTTTTGGAGCTAATGCAGGGGCGCCCATGGCGTTCAGTGCTCAAGCCACGTCGCCCACCCCGTTCACCCCGTTCAGAACCCAAGGTGCCTCTCCTGCAGATACGGGAGGTGGAATCAAGTCCCCCTGGAGGCGCCGGGCGGCTGAGAAGGTTCCTGGAAGTTCCCCTTGGAGGAGGAATCTGCAGGGGGTGGGTGCAGGGGTGGTGGGGACGTTGGCAAGTGTTGGGAGCGGTGGTGGTGGGGAGGGAGGGAGCATGGATGAAAAGGAGGAGGGACAGAAGCAGGAAACGAGTGTGGGTTTGGAGGAAGGAAAGAAACTGGAGGAGGTTGGGGTGGGTGAGGAGAAGAATATAGTACAGCAGGGAGGGGAGCGGGAAGAGATGGGGGAGAAGGAGATGAAAACGCCAAAGAAAAGTACGAAGCAGGGGGGAGAGCAGCAGGAGCAAGAGCAGCAAGAGAAGCAGGAGGAAGAAGAGTCTGGTAGTGTCGACCTAGAGATGGTGAGGTGTGCTTCGCTCTCCCCGTCGCCCTCCCAAAACATCATCCCAGCCAACTCCCTTCAGAAAGCTACCTCTGAAAAGCACTTGCGCCGAGCTATGAGGCAAGCAGAGGGGCCGGATAACAAAGAGGGAGGGGGCGAGGTTGGGAGTGGGAGTGTGGAGAGGAAGGGGGGAGGAGGTAGGGAGGTGGAGGGTGGGGGGGATGATGTGTCGCCAACCAAACGTGTGCGGCTGTCCATGCTGAGATGATCCTGGGGAGGGGAGATGAAACTGTCTAGCGGGCGAGATGAAACTGTGCAGGAGTGGAGATGATACCATGTTGTGTGACGGTGAGGTTACTGGTATGGTAATTGGTACAGATTTCCGTGGGTTAGGAGGATAGAAGGTTTCGGGGGGAATGAGTCGAGCAGTACTTGTGAGGTCTGGGTTGGAATAGTCCAACCCTGAAGTTTGCCACGAGTGTAGAGTGAGTAGTGTACTGGTAGGTTGTTTAGAATCAGGGATTAGTATCTGTTTGGGGTGTAGATCTCTGTGGGCAGAGCTGGGGCAGCTGTGGATTTGTGAAATGAATCAGATCCTGTCTGATTCTTACTTAAAGCCCGAGTCCCAAATTGCGGAGCGCGTGGGTCAAGTTTTTAAAACTTGATAACGTTGACTTTGCAAACTTGAAAAAAGAACCAGTGCAATTTGGGACTTTCGAGTAGCAATCGGAACCACCAGGGGAAATACAAGGGTTGGTTGGGTTTGACGAAAAACAACGAAATTCCCGAATTCCGAATCTCTCGCCACAACCCAACTAGAAAAACTACCGTAATCACCCGGACAAAACACCCCCCCGTAATAGTACACCCCCGGGTAGCTTGTGCGGGGGGGGTGCTATAGCCGACCTCGTTTGTACTATACCCCCCCTTTTGGGGTGATTCTCTATAACACCCCCCTTTTCTTACGAAACCCTATTATAGCTGTTATCGAGTCAGATTTTTTACGGGAGGATATGACGAAAATCGCTTCCTGAATGAAATTTCGCGTGCACTTTCACTTCGAATCTACCGAGATTCCCTCCCTTCCACAATCTCGCTGTCGCCACACTGACGAATCTTCCGCTGCACGTGGCCCTGTCAGAATCACTAGGCAAGAATGAACGAAAGGAGAGAGAGGTTTGAACTAGCAGGCAGTTGAGTACAAATAGCAAACCCTAGATTGGGCTGTACTCGCTATAGAGTACCCCACTGCAGGCTAGACAATAATAGCATTCTGACACACCCCCATAGCCAAAGTGGGGTGTAATCAGCAGAGCAAGCAAAGCAGTACAAGCTCAGGGTGGATCACAATGTCACCACACATTCTGAGCACAAGTTCAAGAAGCAATAGTTTAAAGTTCACAGTTATGAGCAAAGCTAGAGGCAGTCACAGAGGGCAAGCGAGGAGGAGGAGGGCTGGCGAGAGGAGAGAAGATGAAAGGCGCCGACTGAAGCTGCAGACACACGGGCAACAGGAGCGGCGCGCACAGTGGCTACCGAGCGCACGAGGGCACCGGACTACGGGAGTATCTGGCTCCGCGGCTACGACGAGCACACACAGGAGCAACGGACCCACAGGCGACTGGCGAAGCAGGCTCGCTGGGCTACCGAAACGCGCGAGGGCATCCGGACTACTGGCGCTGCTGGCGTCACGACGGCTACCTCCACGCAATCTCCCCCGACCGTCCCACGCCCCTCTCACACACCCCCTGCTGACACCCTAGCTCCACTCCGACGGTACCCCCCTTAAACCCCAAACCCTAGGCTCCCACACACCACCCCCCTCAGCGGCAGCTGTAGCAGAGGGAGACGAGGGAGGAGGAGGAGCAGGGGGAGGAACTCACAACCGACACCCCCATAGCCGCCACCCCCACACTCTTCACCCCCAAACCCTAATTTAGGAGAACGGGCTGTAGGAGGGGTGAGGCGCCGGTAGAAGCACGGGGGACAGTGGAGAGGGCAGGAGCAGCGAGGAACGGGCCGCCCACGGGCCTGGTAGAGCCGCCCGAACCGCGCGCAGGCGGCCCGAGCCGCGCGCGGGCCTGGCGCTTCCCGTACGGGCCGCGCGCGTGCCTGGCGCAGCCCGTACGGGCCGCGCGCGGGCCTGGCGCAGCCCGTACGGGCCGCGTGCCGGGTGTACGGGCCGCGCGCAGGCCACGACGGGCGACGGGGGGCGACGCGCGGGTCCCCGTCGCCCGTCGCAGCGCCTCCCGGGGGCGACGTGCCGAGTGACGGGGCAGGAACCCGCCGCGCGCCTCGGGGCACACGGCGGGCAGAGAACCGCCGCGCGCCTCGGGGCGCACGGCGGGCAGAAAACCGCCGCGTGCCTCGGGGCGCACGGCGGGCTGAAAACCCTAGTTTCGACGCCGCGCGCCACGGGGCGCGCGGCGGACAGGGAGTAGCAGTAGCAGTAGCAGTAGCAGCGGAAGGCTTAGGTGGTGGGCCCACCCACAGGATCGACCCAGGAGGGTCGACCTGCTCTGATAGCATGTTAGAATCACTAGGCAAGAATGAATGAAAGGAGAGAGGGGTTTGAACTAGCAGGCAGTTGAGTACAAATAGCAAACCCTAGATTGGGCTGTACTCGCTATAGAGTACCCCACTGCAGGCTAGACAATAATAGCATTCTGACAGGCCCGAGAGGTGAAACTCACATTCTCGCCAAAACGCGAATTCTCGCCTCAACCTGTGATGTTAAAACGACTATTGAAACACCCAAATTGTCTAATACAACTTTTTTCTTACACTAAAAAGTGCCATATATAACCACCCGGGTATTATATAGGATTTTCCGTTGAGAGCACCCCCCCCCTTTTTTTCCCTGTGGTTATCATAATACCCCCGGGTGTTATGTCCGGGTGATTACGAGTACTTCCCCGTCATGCTTTTAAAACATGAACAATTTGGGCCGCCGGCTTTAATGCACTCTTGTAGAAACTGTGCATACGTGCATGTCATTTGTTTTGCATTGAATTATACTTCATGCGTCAGGTGGTAGTGTATCATGTGGCACAGTGCACTTTCTGTTAGCCTGACAGACACCCAAGGGTGTAGGTCAAAGGAATCAAAGGATGAGGCAATCTTAGGGGATAGATATATGAAATATTAAACAAAGTAAATTGCTCTGCATCAGCACGTTTCATTTAAGCGCCGTACACCTACCACGAGCCTAAGTGTGACGGCACCTGATAACATAACCCTGCTGCTGCTCCTGCTGCTGCTGCTCTTGATGCTGCTGTGTCCCCTGCTTACTTTCTCAATGCACTTTGCTTCTCCAAGGATCTTATCAGCTACAATTGCTTTCCCCTCCCCAACCCAACTACCCCTCTTGCTCCTCCTGCTCCTGCTGCTGACGCTCCTGCTGCTGACGCTCCTGCTGCTGTCCCTGCTTTCCCCCCCAGCCGGTTCGCTCCTCTAAGGATAATATCGGCTACACTTGCTTGCGCCCCAGGAGCACTGGGAAGCCGGCGACAGAAATCCCTTCCTTCTTCCGATCCATCAATTTCTGACCATAATCAGCCGTGATACTCCTTGCCTCATCTTCCTTGTTGCCCCTCTGCTCCCCTGCCTCCGCCTTCCCACCCCATCGCCCTCCTTCAATAGCAGCAGCAGGTGATCTCTCACCCGCCCCACGCACAGATGGAAACCCCATCCCTTCTTTCTTCCGATCCGACAATTTCTGATTATAAGCAGCAGTGATACTCCTTTCCTCAGCTTCCTTCTTGCCCCCTTGCTCCCCTCCCTCCACCTTCCCACCCAGTCGCCCTCCTTCAATAGCAGCAGCAGGTGATCTCTCACCTGCCCCACGCACAGCTGGAAACCCCATCCCTTCTTTCTTCCGATCCAACAATTTCTTACCATACTCAGCCGTGATATTCGTTTCCTCATCTTCTTTCTTGCCCCCCTGCTCCCCTGCCTCTGCCTTCCCACTTCGTCGCCCTCCTTCAATAATAGCAGCAGGCAATCTC